ATAACATGATCCCCCCGCCGCTGCTTCTAACTGAAGTCCAGCTACAAGTCGACCGCCTCTATACCCCCTTCTCCATATTGGTTGATATCCAGCCAGCATGGATTCAGACAAAGATTCTGAGGTGGAGTTCGCTCCCATTACGGAGCGATCCCAAACCACCATGACTGCTGTGGATGAGCGCGAAATCGAGACTCTTGGCCGTATCGCCTCCAGTCGACTTGGCCAGGCTTTATCTGCAACAATAACAAATGAAAAGAAAGACCCCCGCTTAGACCCCGAAAACCCCCAATTCGACCATAATCGATGGGCTCAGAACCTACTCATCAAAGTTCACGAGGCGGGAATCGATATCCCAGACCAGGGAATTGTCTTTTCGGATCTCTCCATCAGTGGCTCTGGTGCCGCCCTCCAGTTCCAAGAGACCCTCCTCTCAAGTCTCACAGTTCCCTTCCGCAGCGCTGCGAGAGCCCTTTCCGGCCAGAAATCACAACCGCGCCGCATCCTTCACAGCTTCGATGGTCTGCTTAAAGGTGGTGAGCTTCTGCTCGTGCTAGGGCGCCCTGGAAGTGGCTGCACGACATTCCTCAAAACACTTTGTGGCCATCTCGGCGGCCTTACCATGGACCCAAATAGCAAAATCCATTTCGAGGGTATCGATTACAACGACATGATCAAGTACCACCGCGGCGAGGTTGCATACAACAAAGAAGTTGATCTTCATTTCCCCCATCTGACCGCCGGCCAAACTCTCTCCTTTGCCGCCCATGCTCGAGCTCCTCACCGTCGCCTCGAAGGTGTTAGCCGAAATGAATATGTCGATACTCTGGTGAAAGTTGTGATGTCAGTCTTTGGTCTCACCCATACCTACGACACCAAAGTCGGTAGCGAGTTTGTGCGGGGTGTAAGTGGCGGAGAGCGGAAGCGCGTCAGTATCGCTGAAATGTTTCTGTCTCGTTGCAGAATCGGAGCCTGGGATAACAGCACTCGTGGGTTGGATGCAGCCTCGGCTCTCAAATTTGTCAAGGCTTTGCGTCTTGCTGCTGACATGGGCATGTCTTGCCACGCTATAGCCGCGTACCAAGCATCGCAGTCCATGTACGATCTGTTTGACAAAGTCGTCGTACTCTACGAAGGTCAAGAGATCTATTACGGCTCCAGGGAACGCGCTGTCTCCTATTTTCAGGATATGGGTTGGACACGCTCCGAGCGTCAGGTCAGCGGTGACTTCCTCACTGCTATCACCAATCCCAGTGAGCGCAATGCCCTCCCTGGGATGGAAGATAAGGTTCCACGTACTCCTAAGGAGTTTTCCGAGTTTTGGAAGAAGAGCCCCGAGTACCATTCTCTCCGCAAACAAATAATCGAGTTTGAGCAGCAACACCCTCCAAATGGCAACGACGCTCAACTCCTCCGCTCCACTCACGAGGCACACCAAGCTCGCCACACTCGAGCCAAAAGCCCTTACTTCCTTTCTGTTCCTATGCAGATTCGACTCTGCACCCAGAGAGCCTTTCAGCGCATGAAAGGTGATCTGGCGACCGCCATTGCCCCTCTGATTGTCCAAATTATTCTATCCTTGATCATTGGATCTGTCTTCTATAACACCCCTGACACCGCCGACTACTTCTTTCAAAAAGGCGCTGTTTGCTACTTCGCAGTGCTCATGAATGCCTTACTTACGATGAACGAAATTCTCCAACTTTACAGCCAGCGACCGATCGTGGAAAAACAGGCTGGCTATGCTTTTGTACACCCATTTACAGAAGCTTTGGCTAGTCTTATTGTCGACCTACCCATCAAACTTGTGCGAATCTCAGCGTTCAGTATAGTCCTATACTTCATGGCGAATCTGCGTCAAGAAGCCGCCAACTTCTTCATTTTCTACCTCTTCCTAATCGTCGCTGTTATGACCATGTCCGGTTTATTCCGCAGCCTGGGGGCCCTGACTAAGTCAGTAGGCCAGGCTATGGCACTTGCTGGTATCATGGTTCTTTGCATCGTTGTCTACACCGGTTTCACTCTGCCTCAGCCTTATATGCACCCGTGGCTCTCCTGGATTCGTTGGATCAACCCGATCTACTATACCTTCGAGTCTTTGATTGCGAACGAGTTCCATGGCAAAGATTATAGCTGTGGATCCATCATTCCGAGCTATGGCACAGGAACGAATTTCATTTGTTCCACCGTTGGAGCCGTGGCAGGTCAGGACTTTGTCTCTGGTGATGCTTTTATCGAACAGAACTACTACTACCACTACTCTCACCTGTGGAGAAACTTTGGTATCCTTGTCGCATTCATGGTATTCTTCAACGCACTCTATCTCACGGCCACCGAATTTATTTCCAGTGATAAGTCAAAGGCGGAGGCTCTTTTATTCCGACCCGGGCATGCTCCAAAGTATCTGCAAGATCAGGATGCTGAGGGTGGTGCACCAGACACAGCCAAACTTGAAGTGCAACAGACAAACGACACTATTCGCCTCCCAGAACAGTCCGATGTTTTCACGTGGAGCTCTTTGAACTACGACATTCCTGTCAAGGATGGAACCCGACGCTTGCTGGATGATGTGAATGGCTGGGTCAAACCTGGTACTTTGACGGCCTTGATGGGTGTTTCTGGCGCCGGTAAAACAACTCTCCTCGATGTCCTTGCCCAGCGTGTGTCGATCGGTGTCGTTACTGGTGATATTCTCGTTAATGGCCTACCTCTTGCCGCCAACTTCCCTCGCCGCACTGGCTACGTGCAACAGCAAGACCTTCATCTTGACACTACCACTGTGCGAGAGGCTCTACGTTTTAGTGCAATGCTTCGTCAGCCTCAAACAGTTTCCAAGCAGGAGAAGTACGAATACGTCGAGCAAGTCGTCAAGGTGCTTGGCATGGAAGATTTCGCTGAAGCTGTCGTTGGATCCCTTGGAGAAGGTTTGAATGTGGAGCAGCGTAAGCTTCTGAGCATTGGTGTCGAACTTGCTGCCAAACCTACTCTACTCATTTTCCTCGATGAACCGACTAGTGGCCTTGACTCCCAGAGTTCATGGACAATTTGTCAGTTTCTTCGAAGACTGGCGGATCACGGGCAGGCTGTCCTCGCAACAATTCACCAGCCTAGTGCAACCTTGTTCCAAACCTTCGATCGTCTGCTCTTCCTAGCGAAGGGAGGCAAGACAGTCTATTTTGGCGATATTGGCGACAACTCCTCCATTTTGCTAGAATACTTTGGAAGAAATGGAGCTCCTCCTTGCGAAGAGTTAGAGAACCCGGCCGAGTACATTCTCGAGATGGTTGCAGGAGATGGCTGCCCCGAGGTTGACTGGCCCACAGCTTGGAAAAAGAGCCCTGAGCGTGAGGAGGTTTTAGATGAAATTGAGAGAATACACTCTGCTCGCCGACCCTCGGTTCACGACACAGTCGGCGATAACGATACTGCCGAGTTTGCCATGCCCCTTTCTACCCAGCTTTCCATCGTTCTACAACGCTGCTTCCGGAGTTACTACCGCCAGCCCGACTACATCTATGCCAAGTTTATTCTCGGTATCGCGTCTGGTTTGTTCATCGGATTTTCTTTCTGGAAAGCGGATAATACCCAGCAAGGGTTCCAGAACGTGTTATTCAGCATCTTCCTGTTGTGTACCATCTTCAACACCCTCGTCAACCAGATCATGCCTCGCTTCGTCGCTCAACGCTCGCTTTACGAAGTTCGCGAGCGCCCATCTCGTACATACTCCTGGAAGGTCTTCATTGTTTCACAGATTCTCGTTGAAGTCCCCTGGCAAGTTTGCCTGGGAGTCTGCTCGTGGGCATCCTTCTACTGGTCCGTCTTCGGCACTGACCAGGACGCTGAGCGCCGCGGATTAATTATGCTCTACATCGTGCAATTCTTCATCTACGCTGCCAGTATGGCCCAGTTTGTCATTGCTGCCATTCCCGAGCCCACCCTGGGTGCTATCATCGCGACCATGACGTTCGGTCTGTCATTCATCTTCAATGGTGTCATGCAACCGCCGAATGACCTGCCACGATTCTGGATCTTCATGTACCGCGTCTCTCCATTCACATACTACATCAGCGGAATTAGCAGCACAGCCCTGCACGGCAGACAAGTGCAATGCAACTCAGCCGAGCTAAGAGTGTTCGATCCTCCTGCGAACCAGACTTGCGGAGAATATCTCGGCAAATACGCAGAAGTGGCCCTGGGCTCTATCTACAACCCCGATGCCATGTCTGACTGCCAGTACTGTACCATGCGCGAAGCTGATCAGTATCTCGCAGCGCGTGAGATTTACTGGGAAGATCGCTGGCGCAACTATGGAATCTTCTGGTGTTATTTTGTTTTCAACATTATTGGTGCCATCACGCTCTACTATATTTTCCGGGTGCGCACTTCGCGAGCAAAGGTTGGAAAGGGCAAGAAAACTGCCTAGGTGTCTTGAGCTGTATACTAGCATGTGTGGCTATGCCATGATTTTGAAGCGTTTTGCTCTATATTTTGAAGCATAAAGGATTACAACTTACTTACCAATTTAATATATTTACTTCTTCCTCTCCCCCTTTTCAAGACTCAAGTTGCTAAATGGTCCTTCATAGAATATCAAAAACTTGAACCTGCAATCCCCAAGGGACACTACTAGTACTCTACACATTAGTTCCTCGTATATCCTTTCTACAATGTATGATTGAAAGCAAATATCAAACTAACCAATTCACACTAGTAGCATCTCATTTCGATTGAATCACTAAAACAGTATTGACCCCCCTTATTGACTACCCAAGTGAGACGTATCACGTGACAAGACACCCAAGATATGGCGAAATCCCCGGAATCAGCGATCTCCAACCAATAACCATCCCTCATCGACAAGACTGTTGGAATGTCACCCCACTTTGCCCGTTTAGATGCGAGCGGGTGGGCCAAGGATCGAGGCCAAGGATCGGAGCCAAGAACGAGCTCATTTCACATTTTGGATTGGAGCACCCACGCGTCTTTGACCGCTCGTGGCTTAGATGCCTCCACAATGCGGTCAGCTTCCCCATTCATGTGAGCCTTTTTCGAGAGTATCTTTCTCTTTCCCAACTTCTGCTGCGTCCCCTGCTGCTGCTGCTTCTCTTCTTCAGCATCATGGCGAACAGCACCATCGCCGCCGCCGCCGCGGCCACCGCGGCCAGCAACAGAGCTACCCCACAAGGTGGTATCCTCGAGGGGGGGTAATCCCACTCACTATGACACGAAAAACCCCATTGTTGTGTTTATTATTCAGGCTGTCATCATTATCGTCCTTTGTCGTCTCATCCACTGGCCACTCTCCAAGATCCGCCAGCCACGAGTCATCGCCGAGGTCATCGGCGGCATTATTCTAGGCCCCTCTGTTATGGGCCACATCCCCGGATTCACTGAAGCTATCTTCCCCACTGCCAGTATTCCCAACCTCAATGTCGTCGCAAACCTGGGTCTGATATTGTTCCTTTTTCTCGTGGGCTTGGAGACCGATATCCACTTCCTTGTCAGCAACTGGCGCACCGCCGTCAGTGTCTCGGCAGCTGGCATGATCCTACCCTTCGGTCTGGGTTGTGCTATTTCCTTCGGCCTATATCACGAATTCCAGGAAGACCCTGGCACCGTCCCGATCGAGTTCGGCACATATCTTCTCTTTATCGGTATCGCCATGGCCATCACAGCCTTCCCTGTGCTCTGCCGTATCCTGACCGAGCTGAAGCTTCTGGGTACCCGAGTCGGTGTCATCACTCTATCTGCCGGTGTTGGAAATGATATCGTCGGGTGGGTCCTTCTGGCCCTATGTGTAGCTCTGGTGAATGCAGGTACGGGGCTCACGGCGCTGTACGTTCTGCTCGTTTGCGTGGGATATATGCTTTTCCTGATCTATGGCTTCCGCCCGGTCTTCTTGCGCTTCCTTCGACGTACTGGCAGCCTGCAGAAAGGACCTAGTCAGTCCGTTGTCACTTTGACCCTGCTCATTGCCCTGGCATCTGCGTTCTTCACGCAGGTCATCGGTGTGCATGCCATTTTTGGCGGCTTCGTTATTGGCTTGATGTGCCCTCACGAGGGCGGTTTTGCCATCAAGCTGACTGAAAAGATTGAGGATCTGGTAACAGCGTTGTTCCTGCCACTTTATTTCACACTCTCGGGTCTCAGCACGGATCTCGGATTGCTGAACAGTGGGATCGTATGGGGTTATGTCGTTGGCGTCATTGTCATCGCCTTTACGGCCAAGGTGACTGGAGGCACATTGGCATCCCGTTGGACTGGCCTTTTGTGGAGAGAGAGCTTCTCCATTGGTGTCCTCATGAGTTGCAAAGGCTTGGTCGAATTGATCGTTCTGGTGAGTTCTGGTGATACCCAGGAAGGAGGAAAGAAGAAGAATCAAAAACTAACGTGCATCACAGAATATTGGTCTTCAGGCAAAGATTCTGAGTACTCGTACTTTCACTATTTTCGTCGTCATGGCCTTGGTCACAACCTTCCTGACCACCCCTCTGACCACTGCCCTCTACCCCGATTGGTATCAGACGAAGGTCGAGCGCTGGCGCCGAGGAGAGATCGATTGGGATGGCAACCCTCTCCAGCATGATCGCCGGTCTGATAGCGTCACCGCTGCCAAGGGTCAGCTTAAAACTGTTCCAGTCCGCAAGCTTCTAGCTTATCTTCGCCTTGACGGTCTGTCAGGCATTTGCACTTTGGCTGCTCTGCTTAGTCCCAATCGCGGTTCCGCACTAGCGTCGCCTCGCATTCACCCCTCCAAGGAACCAAAGCAAACTGATCAGGGCATTGAAGACGCCATCTCGACGGATCAAGATGAAACGGCGCTTCGAGTTCATGGCGTTCGACTTATTGAGCTGACAGATCGTGACTCCAGTGTCATGCGGGTGTCCGCTGGCGAGCAGGCTCTCTGGGACCCCGTTGTCAACACATTCCGTGCCTTTGGAGAATGGCATGATATTGCTCTCATGGCGGGTGTTTCGGTCGTACCGGAGCACAGCTATGCCGATACCGTTGTCAACATGGCTAGTCAGGAAACGACGGATCTACTTCTGCTTCCTTGGAGCGAAACGGGGACTCTGACGGATCGTCAGAATGGGTTAGAGGTCGATACCGCCTGTCGATTTTCCAATGGCTCATACACCGATTTTATCTCCAGTGTTCTCCAGCGAGTCCCCGGCCATGTGGGTATCTTCATTGAACACAACCCCGAGTCACGCTCTCCCAAGCGACCCTCTCTACCCCATCCTTCGGCCAGCGGAATGAGCATTCAATCTGTATGGTCGCGAAAGGCCTCTGGTGACCGCTCTCACCATCTTGTCCTCCCGTTCCTTGGAGGCGAAGACGACCGCTTCGCCCTCCGCTTTGTTCTACAGGTAGCGCAGAATGACCAGGTCACGGCGACCATAATCCAAGTTCCTGGCCTACAGCTTCCTGCTTCCAGTTCCAAGAATACGGATGCAACCAGGGATAGCCAGTCTGACATTGTTTTCTTCGAGTCCCTTCGTGATTCTATCCCCGAGGAGCTGAAGGAACGTGTCGTCTTCCAACAATCCACCACGCGGGAAACTATCAGTGATCCCACCCAACTAGCTCTCTCCGCAGTGCGGAGTGAACTGGACGATAACATTTCCGGAAAGTGGGGCAGTATCGTCGTCGTTGGTCGGAACAGTACCCTGGCCGAGAGTGGCGCGTCAATTGACGACAATATTGGAACTGATACATACCATGCCCTTGGTGCGGTTGCCTCCACCATGGTCGATCCCCAGAGCAAGGTCTTTGGCAGTGTTCTTGTGTTACAAGCGAGCACTAAGACGGTTGTTGATTACCGATGATGAGTTTATGCACGATGCATTGAATTTCTTTGTGGTTAGCTAGCTTCTTTTGATTAAATACCTATGAAATCTTATGTGATACATGCACAGGAATGACCCGGATAGACAAGGAGATGGATGGAGTTGAAACGCCCGAATAGATGATGATACAAGTGTTGGGGTATCGCAGTCTTAGTTGTATTGTAGTAGATTGTAGTAGACTGGGTGTAAAAAGAGGGTCTCAGTTGTGGCAGCGTTTTAAAGTCTGAGGGAGGAGGTATTGCTGGTTTGGTGTGTATCCTCCCAAAACCAAGGAGGGCTGTATTGTTGTGGCATATTGCGGCGGGATTCCGAATTGAGCTGCGACGGTTCTTGGGAGGATGGGTAGGAAGGATAGGGGTTTATTTCGCGGGCGCTGGAAGGCAATTCCTCGCTGTTGTAGGTACCGCGGGCGACAGCGACGAGTTTCCCCAAGATGGCGTACTCCAATTTCAGTTTGATCCCGTAGGCGACGGGTTTGAACATCACCTGGATCGAATAATAGCCGGTGTACTCGATAGCCACGATGGCCACGTCCAGGATGAGAATGACGACGTTGATGATGAGGAGTTGATGCAGAATTCCATTTGGCCGGCCTTCTGGACGCAGTTTGAGGAGTTTTACAGTTTCCCATATGTATATGCCCGAGATGATGAGTTCCTGGAGACAGAAGCCGACCAGTTGGATTCTTTCCATGACATTGTAGCCCTTCGCCCAGGGCCCAACCGGGTAGGTCACATTTCCGTACAGCAAGACCGTTGTAGGGACGTGGAAGATGATGGCATCGATGATTATCATCCATAGAACCCCCCAGAGTACTTTCGAATTTTGCAGCACCAGGTGTAGACGTGACCATAGAACGACGGACTGCCCTGTCACCATGGCAATCCAGCCCACGATGACGAGAGTGACACAGATATAGGGGGATACCCCGGTTCGGAATAAAAGAAGGACATAGCCGAGGACATGAGGGATGATGGCGACGGAGGAGATGAGGAGACTCCAGAAGTAGCAGCCACGGTGACGTTTGAAGGAGACGAAACAGAGGATAATCAGCTCAATGGCATTGTACCAGGCGATACCAGCGAAAGCGGCAAACACATTTGTTCGCACAGGATCTCCGACGTCGGATTTGTGTATCAGCGACTCCGCGAGGTCCGACGCGATATTCTTCGACATGAGCGGAAGGGGCACATCGCTCACGGTAAGTCGAAGGCACACATCTGGGGAGAGCAGGGGGGAAGGGAGACAGGGTTTTGTTTATGAAGAAAGAAAAGGGAAAAAAAAAAAAGAAAAAGAAAAAAGAAACCAAGAAAGGGATGATGTGAGTGGCCAGCGCTCGAGCGTTGCCGATCAAGGGTCTTCCTGCTGAGGAAGGTTCCTGAGTGTTGGGATTTTGTGGGAAGAGTTAGCCCTGGGGAAAATGACCGGGGAAGAGGAGAGGAAAAGTATTCGAGCACATTCCCGGTCCAAGCGTCAGGGATTAACATTGACATTGACCTTGCCATCCGTCGCCGGTGGACATGGAAGCGGAGGTGCCGGAGGTGGAAGTCTTCGGATCCCCGCGCTTTTGCCTTCTGAGCTGCCTGAGCTGCCTGAGCTGAATTGAGTTGCACAGAGTAGAGCAGAGCTGTCTGACAGCTGCTTTAGGGGGGACTCATTCCATGGAAGCACCAGTAGGGGTCGCAGATGCTCTCAGGTGCTCACCGGTGGGTGGCTTTTGGGAAGCGGACCCAGGGATCTGGGCCAGTCTGGGCATCTTCGAACTATGTATTGAAGTGCATGCAGGAGGCGATGGAGCCGATCTTAGGCGCCGATCATTCCGGGGGGGATCTTGTTGGTTCGGGAGTGGTGGTGGATGGGGCTGATTGGGGGTGGGTGGAGGCGGGTGGAGACACGGAGGGGAACCCGTTGTAACAGGGAGATCTCCTACTAGTATTTTTGAGACGCTGGAGATTGAGGGGAAGAGAGAGGAAGTTGATGGTGATGGAGTGGTGGGTGTGAGTGAATGAAAGGAAGTGCGGAGGAAGTTGGCAAGTGGAGAAGGTGAAGTGCTGGCATGACAATCAATGAGAATACCTTGAACAACCACAGATGCATAAACCCCTGGCGCTAATCTCAATATTTTAGTCATGGTCAGAAATATACTGCAACTTTCATTCTGCGCATAAACCTTGGAACGTCTTTGCCTAGATACCAATTAAAGCCACGCTGGGTAATAAAGTACAAGTATTTCATACCCCAATCCATCAATCCATACTACTAGTATATATCTACTAGAGACACTGGCACTACCACGGTAATGTGGTGTCAGACTTGACTCAATGCCGAATCCCGATTGATCATCCAAACAAAGAGTCGATAGGGAAGAAAGGTGTTGCAGATCCAACTCAGAGTGGAGGCCTGTCCACGTCGAATAAAAGGACCGCAGCCCTTAAGCACATCCTCGACCACATTGGTCGCAGCAGTGTTGATATTCTGCTTATTCGGGTGGATTTCAGTCTTCTTGTGGCGATCGATGATGCTGGTGATTTTCTGATAGTGCGAATTGGAGGGTAATTCAAGGTCGGGAATATTCAACGGATTGTTTCCGCTAGTTTCAACACCACCAAGGATGACCGTGACGACTCGCACGCCGAGGGGGGGCCATCTCGAGGCGCAGTGTCTCCGAAAGCCGGGTCTGGGCACTCCGAGAGCTGCTATAAACACCTGCACCAGAGATAATTAGTGTTCTATAGCTCAGGATTGCAATGGTCCGAACTAACCCGCCCATGCAAAGACCATTTCGCCAGATACCGAACTGACATTGCACATGGTGCCTTTGGTCGCAATCAGCAGGGGCGAAAAGGCTTGCGCCATAGCAACAATACTCCAAACGTTTGCATCGTAAACCTTCTTGGCATCGTCGATAGATGCATCAAGAAGGGGCACGATAGCGTTGACGCCGGCGTTGTTCACCAAGATATCCAGTCTCCCGTCAGTGGATTTCGCAACGGTATCGGCACATTTGCGAATAGACTCCACCGATGTGACTTCGAGTTCAAGAATTTCTATACCGTCCATGTCGAGCAAAGACCCTGCCTTTGTTATGTTGCGTAGCGTTGCGAAGACGTGGAAACCTTTTGCACGGTAGACCTTTGCCATTGCGGCCCCGAGACCTCCATCGCTACACCCTGTGATTAAAACTGTCTTCGCCATTTGTTGAGAACTCTGCAAGTTTGGCAACTTGAAGGGATTGGATTGAATCCGAGTTAGTAGACTATTTGGGGCTATCTGGTGGCATTTTGTGCAAGGCAATTCCGAAGCTAAATACTCTATTCAGTGAACCTTGGAATAGACGGAAATGACCTCGGGAAGTGGTCAAACCCGGCGGTACCTAGTTGTATGTTTACAGAGAGATATATTTGGAGCTGGGAATACAACTAATATGAGATCCTTTAAGATACCAGGAATAAATGGCGAGATGAATTAACCAGTAAAACTTCAACGGGCCGACATTGCAGCGGAATTCCGTGGTGAAACCCGTGCAGCTGAACCGGAGATAGCGGAAACAAATGTTATGACCGGATCCAAGATGCAACAGGCCACTCGTAGCAGTAGGTCTATAATGTAATATATCAAAGCAATCATTTACAGCGACGTCGATCTTAACCGGCTCGATGACTCTCTTAAACTCGATAATGCCACGTCCGGGTGAGTGAACTGACAGGACAAGCCCATCCAAGGCGAACGTTGCATCATTTGGATAGTCGCCAAAGTCTTCCCCCATAGGCGTAGTAACCTTTGTCTTCCTTCCACAACCCGAGATTTGCAAATTCCCAGACAAATCCTCCTTGCAGACGCCGATATTTATGAAACATTTCCTGGTATTCCTCCGATGCTCCTGGTCCATTCCCAAGTGCCATTCCGTACTCACACAGGATTATTGGCTTCGTGAACTCATCACCTTCCGCCAATGCCTTCCGTTCCATATTCTTGAGTTCAAGGTACATGTATGAACAAATATCTGTCGTTTCGGCCTTCCTGTTTCCTTGGTAATGGACGAGCCGTGTGCGATCGTGCTTTTTGACGTACTCGTACATGACGGCTTGGTTGCAACCATCCCACGCCTCATTCCCGAGGCTCCGGATGAAGATTGAGGGATGATTCTTGTCTCGTTGAAGCATTTATTCAATACGGTCCAGATATGCTCCGCGCGAAGCGGGATTGTCACTGGTGTTTTTGGCCAGTGTAGGACTGAGATACTCTTCAATTGAATCGGCCCCATCTTTCTGTCAGATCTCCTGGGGTACGCTCTTCAGGACCACATGACTTCGAATAAAGCCAGATGTGACTGGAACTTGAACTCGAGCATGTCGGTATTCCAAGGCTGTGTTCCAACATTGTTTTGCATGCAGTTACTAGTAATTTGCCATTTCTCAGACAACCAGCCGCTGTTATACCACGGGCGATCTCGTGCGACAACATCACAACGGGAGCTTCACTTTTGTGGGACGCAAAGACTCCCAGATAAAGCTCCGTGGCCAGCTCATTGAGTTCGGTGAGATCGAAGGTCAGATTACAGCTGCATTGTCTTCCAAAAGCGTGGCTTGGACAATTGCCGTGGAGGTCATTCACCCTCCTGGATCCTCCGAAGCCCTCGCAGTATTCTACTGGCCAATGACCCGGTCGACCATCGCCAATACCACTTCAACAGAAGCTATTCCAGATGCTCCGCCGCAGGTCAGAGACGTAAGCGAGGAATCCGCAATGATTTTCCGTGAGATGAAAACACAGACAGCGTAAGTATTGCCGAGTTATATGATCCATACGCTTGATTTCCGACTCCCATTCTCGCCCAGCACACGGACGGGCAACTCGATCGACGTGCATTGCGTGGTCTCGGGTCAAATCTGTCCATAGCGCAAACCACAGCATTTTCGGCCACGGGGTGCATCGCCGTTGCGAAAGTCACGCCTGAGACGGAGATGTTTTAACAACCTGAAAGATTGTGTTCTACACAAAGGTCTAAAATTGCATTTACATACCAGTCTATCGCTCCTTCTCCCAAGGCAAAAATCCCTTGTTCTCCTCATACTTGCCTCCTTTCGGCCTATACATCGGCCACCACGCAAATGGCAGCAACAACTCGCCCAGCTCGTGACGCTTTGAAGTTGCGGGGAAATGCGCTAGCGTGAACTCTCTCTGTCTCCCTTCTACAAAGCCCCATTTGCCGTATAACTCACGCCCGATTTTCGTGGCATCTATATAAGACTCCAGGCCCTTCGCTTCAGCCTTCTGAACACCCCACTCCATCAACATATTGCCCACGCCACGTCGTCGGTAGGTAGGATGCGTAAAGCATATATCTAGGACTTCACACGGAATACGTCATTAGGTATTTGTATGCAGAGGAATGTTATAAAAAGAACTGGGAAACGAACAGACGTGTGGTTTACTCATGTATGCCATTCGTGGAACGAGGAACTGCCCCATGAGTTCGTTGGCAATATTACGGGCCTCACCTGCAGGCCACCAATTGCACTCATCATCGGAAATGACGGTATAAGGGTTGGCCTCATAAATGTGCCAGCAGGCGGCGCCAGCTGTTTTGCCAGACTCCACATCTACCACCTTGATCCACTGGCTGGTGGGGTCGGAGCGGTGCCAGTGTATCTGGCGCTTGACGGCATCTTGAATAGCTGCCTCGCGGGCAGCGGGTGAAAAGCCGTGGATGGGAAAGAAGAGCTGTTTGAGGTTGCATTGGGGGCTCTCATACGCATCAAATTCACACCGGACGAGTTCGTCAAATTCGGAGTCCGAAGCCACTACGGTCAACTTGAGGGGCATCTTGTGGGAGTGAAGTTTTGCAGGAATGTAGAATATGTGTCTCTGTCTTGATGCTGTATGTCAGTGTTAGGCCCGAGGAGTAAAATAAGGGAGGGGTGTCGTACGAAATCGTTTGGGGAGAGGGGGAGGGCGGGGCATGAGGTGATTTTAAGTCTGTCTGGGTAACAGTAGGCCACGCTAAATGTGGGTTTGGATTAGGTCTTCAGTATGCACTGAGTCATGGGTGGCCTAATCCCCCAAAATATAACACTGCCGTATGTGACGAACCTGGCCTGCATGCCAATGTCACCTGACCAGTTAACGTATAAAGACCTGGCATATGGGCATGCCATGGGCCTAGATTCTGTGCCCATGATATTCATTCGTTTTGCATAAAATTAGTGGGTATTTTATATAGTATTACTGCCCTCTAATAATAATATTAGTAGTATTATATATGATCCCGGAAGTGCCCATATAGTCTATTATATTTACTATAGTTAGCTCACTCTTCTATATAGAGTAATCTACTAGATATAATATAGGAATGGCATTAGGTATAATCAGGGCTTCGCCACTTGCCATGTTTCTTCATACAAAAAGAAAGGTGAGGTTCAGCTTAAGCATCTTCACAATCACAAGACAATCTTTCTCGTTGACTCTGTAGTCAACACCAGCCAGTCAATCTTGGAATTCACGCGGCACATTCAAAACTTTCATCCCTCTATCCACATTATCATCATTGCTAGAGTCATCCAGGCAAAATTGGTTCCAGCAGCTATAGATTTTTCTTCTTAGGAGAAAAAAAGATAGCTAGCTCTATTCTAGAGAATAAAGATATATCTGTCGTTTATCTACATAGCAGATATTTTAATACCTACAAATTAAAATAATACCAGTCTCAATAATCAGCTTAACCCTGTATACATAAAGAGCTAAGCCGATAGTTATAATATACAAAGTTAACAAATCTAAGGATAAGAAACCCAACAAAATATTAGGATTTAAATATACTAAGGACGCTATAGAATAAACTAGTAAATGATTTCAATATAAAGGTATAATAGTAAATAGACATATAGTATAGAAGCCGTATCGTGTCGTGGTTACTAAGTTGTCAGGCTAGAGACCTATGACTAGGCAAGGATATCACATAGTGGAAATCAGATTAGGCAGTTAATACATAGACTGATTCTTAAACAAGACAAGAATCATAGCTATCTTCGTATGTTCTAATAATACTAGGGCTAGGGCAGACCTGCATACACTAGCAACTTAGGGGGGGATTCGGCCTTAGATTGGCCTCGAGAGTCCAGGGTATCGCATACTCCGAATCCTGTAACATATCGGATGATCAATTACATACAAGACTTTCTGGAGTCTGTAGAGGAATTAAATCTACAAACCAAGACAGGGTATTACTCAAATACCTCTCATCTTGTGGAATCATCAAAGACGCAGGTCAAACACTTTTCAGGTCATTCTTGAATCGAACAGATTACAAAAGGCCAGCAGGAGCGCTACTAGATAGTATACATGGATATTCCTGTACCCAATAGAGTACTACTAGTACTGTATTTTATTCAAATTTAATCCGTTCCGTACTACTACTACTACTACTACTACTACTACTACTACTACTACTACTACTACTACTACTACTACTTCTACGCTGTTCTACTGTTCCGGTGCAGATCGTCATCACGTGAATTTCAAATTCCAGAGCTACAGAGCTCCAGAGATCTCACTGATTCAATCCAATTAGACCAATTAAACCAACCAGGTCAACTACAAGTACTAGTACTACTATGTTAGTAGGTCAATTCCTTCCTCACCCTCAAACCATGGAATTCCATCCGCAATGCCAGGATTGCACTGCGCCGCGATCCCAGATCGGGTGACGTCAAGAATCCCGATCGCTCGATCGATGACATCCTACGCGTCTCAGACCAACCGATGGGATGCTACTAGCCTCCCTTAATCGGGGCTGCGCGCCTGTTTGCCCGAATCCCATCGATGCATCGATTCACCCCTGTCCACCTTCAGGTTCTCACTCGACTCCTACACCCACTTAAACCTCCATCACCCCGAACCCTGTGGCCCCGTGCCTCTATATTCAAGTTCATCTCTACATCCGCATTCACAACCACTGCCAGATTCACAATGGCTCCGAAACGCAAGACCTCCGATGCGAGTGTCGATAATAAACCAAACGGACACACGTCCAAGAAAGGTCGTACCGGCCTGCGTGAACCACACCCCAATGCGAAACTGACAGAAGACTTTGGCATTGTCCTGCGCGACTTCTATCCTCCGGAGATGAGCAATGAGCGATGCAAGGCATACACAAATGGCACAATCCAACGACCCATTGAAACACTGCAAGAGGCGTGTCGCGCCACCGCGGACAAGCGTCATTCCATTGAAGCGGGTAAAGCGGTGGTTCACTGGTTTAAGAGTGACCTCCGGTTATCCGACAATCGGGGCCTACATACTGCATTCCAACTCGCCCGCGACAACCAGGTGCCTCTCATCGGTCTGTACATTGTATCCCCCGAGGACTTTGAGGCTCATTTAACAAGTCCCGCCCGGGTGGACTTTACCTTGCGGACCCTGGAGCGATTGCAGCGGGACTTGGCCGAACTCGATATCCCCCTCTACATGGAAACGCAGGAGAAGAGGAATCGAATTCCCGATCGCGTGGTTGAGCTGTGCCAGAAGTGGGAGGCGAAGCACCTCTGCGGGAATATCGAGTACGAGGTTGACGAGCTCCGACGTGATGCCAAGCTCGTTCGACTGTGTGCTTCGAATGATATCGATTTCACCCCCACCCCCGACACCTGCGTGGTCTCGCCAGGTTCACTGAGTAGCCAACAGGGGAATCAATATGCGGTTTATACGCCCTGGTTCCGCTCCTGGCTGGCTTTTCTCAAGGAGAATCCGGATTACCTGGAGCTGTCCGAGGAGCCGGGCTCGAATCCCGGGGACGCACGGAAGCAGTTCTCCGACCTGTTTGACTGCCGAATTCCGGCTTCGCCAAAGAACAAGCAGCTCTCGAGCGAGGAGAAGAAGCGATTCGAGGAGCTATATCCGGCCGGGGAGCATGAAGCGATGCGTCGATTGGAAAAGTTCCTGGAAGAAAAAGGTCACAAGTATGCGGAGATGCGCAGTGTGCTCCCTGGAGAGAATACATCGCTACTCAGTCCATACTTTGCAAGTGGAGCCCTCAGCGCGCGGACAGCGGTGGTGACGGCGAAGCAATTGAACAAGAATTGGCTCGATCGTGGCGACCAGGGATACATGACCTGGATCAGTGAAGTGGCCTGGCGGGACTTTTATAAGCATGTCCTCGCGCACTGGCCCTTTATCTGCATGAACAAGTGCTTCAAGCCGGAACACACCAACATCGAGTGGGAGTATGACGCGGATCAATTCCAAGCGTGGTGTGATGGCAAGACGGGATTCCCTATTGTTGATGCGGCGATGCGACAGTTGCGGCATTGTGCGTGGATGCACAATCGCACGCGGATGGTGGTGTCGTCGTTCCTATCGAAGGATCTGATGATTGACTGGCGGCGTGGGGAGCGATACTTTATGGAGCATCTGATCGATGGGGATTTCGCGTCGAATCATGGCGGGTGGGGATTTGGGTCGAGCACTGGAGTTGATCCACAACCTTACTTTCGGATTTTCAACCCTCTGCGACAAAGCGAGCGGTTCGATCCGAACGGTGAGTATATTCGACAGTGGGTTCCGGAGTTGGGCGAGATTGTGGGCAAGGCGATTCATGATCCTTATGGGAATAAAGAGGCGGCGGGGGTGGCGGAGAAGAATGGGTATCCCAAGCCGATCGTGGATCACGCGGAGAGTCGAACACGGGCATTAGAGCGATTTAAGAGTGCTCTCCAGAAGGATAAGGAGTAGAAAAGTGGGAGAGGGCAATGGGAAGAAGAGAGAGAGGAAGAGTGAGACATTGATATACGTTGAATACGAAGGCAGTCACTTTAGCAAAGGGCAAACTCAGAAACACAATCTCATAATGAACTCAATACTATGGGGCAGCAGTTTCAGTTTTCTTTAAATAACACACTAATCCACACTAGTATTAGCTGGAGTAGATGGTGACTAGTGCTGAGTGGTCACTGGGCACTTCAAGGCACTTCAGAGCACTTTGACGGTCTTCCCCGCGCTTTCTCCATTTCTTCTCCAGTTCCCCATTCTCTTTGCATTTCCCCCCATCTTCACTTCCCACCCTCCCTCTCCCCTACCCAGGTATACTCCATGCGATATTCATGACCTGATGGAATCCCAGGGGGATCCCCAAAGCCCTGGCCCCGTCGATCTCCCCAATGGCAAGCGACGTTGGCGCCGAAATCGAGTGGCCTGCGATTCCTGCCATACTCGTCGGGTCCGATGCGACCGAGCCTTTCCCTGCTCGCGATGTCTACGAAGTGACATTCATTGTGAATTCACCCGCGAGCGTCGCAAACGAGGGCGCATTGCCCGCTCCAAGTTGACCTTGAACGGCTCTATGGATCCCGCCAATTTGAACTACGATGATCAGGATGAGGATGAGGATGAGGATCCTGATCCTCATCCGCAAAATCCCTCGGCTCGCAAACCCTCCACCTCCAACGGTGACCAGAAAGTCTCCCAGTCCGCCCTCTCTCCATTACAGCAGAGCTCCTTGTCGCCAGAATCCGCCTTCCCACGGCGATCGCCAGGAATTGCTTCCAATCACCTCAGTCTGTCTGCGCCGAGCATCGAGGAAGACTCGCGCTCGCACCCACGTTTGCGCCCACACCCGCGACCAGAGACCGAGGCCAATGCGACGGAGGAGTGGTTGTCTGGCGCACACCTCTCGCCCGAGTCTTATGATATCTTAGGAGGCGTACATGGTAATGATGGACCACTGCCGCGATTATACGATATCTGGAACCCAGTCGACCTCGGCGGCCATCGCTCTCACTCTCACCCTCAATCTCATCCTCGACAACACCACCACCACCAACACCAACATCATGCACCCCAGCGCCCTCAGCGATTACCGTCCATCTCCGCACAAACTCACTCCCAGTCCGGCCAGGGAGCGCCCTCAGCCTCACGATCAAGTTTGAAATACCCCGTGCTCGAACCCATAATGCCGTTCCTCGAATCCAGTCTGCCCCGCCGGCTCGTGTGCGATTTGTTGGAACTATATTTCACCTCCGCTTTCTCGACACACATGCACCCCGTGTGTCACCACATCCACTGCTATGTCCTACGCAAACCATCTTTCCTGAGCACCGACCGACCGCGACCGAGCAGCCCCGCATTGTTGGCGAGTATGCTGTGGGTGGCCGCCGTAGATGATCGCGCATTCTCCCTCTCCATTTCACCACTACAACGTCGCAAAATCTGTCAATTCCTCTGTGCTTTGACGATTCGTCTCCTCCGACCATTAATTCATGTCTCATTCAAGGACCAGGAACCACCGGAGAACCCAAATGTCCCGCAGGAATTGCCGACCGCCGCGGTACACCACCCGTTTGAAGGAGTGGGCGATGATAAAGGGTTGGTTGGGCCGGCCGGATCTCTTGACGACGTGATTACATATATCCATGTTGCATCGATTATTTCATCGAGTGAACAGAAAGCGGCGAGTATGCGGTGGTATGTGTTCCCACTTCCCTCACTACCACCACCATGCTAACATAACACTCTCTCGTTCTAGGTGGCATGCGGCCTTCACTCTCGCTAGAGAACTCAAGCTTAATCAGGAGATGGAAGTCATGTCGAACATGGATAGTCAAAGTGATGGGTCAAGCCCGTCCTTTGGCTACCCCCTCGCAGCGTGGGCGAGTTCCCCCGGCGGTGCCGCATTCGACTATTCGAATCCATCTCGACCGAGCTTAAACTGCGTCTGTGAGGAAAAGCACGACCCGCACAGCAATGCTGTAATCACCGAAGAACATCGTGAAGAGCGGCGTCGTACATGGTGGCTATTGTATATCATGGACCGACATCTGGCATTATGCTACAACCGGCCACTCGCCCTCCTCGACGCCGAGTCGGAGGATCTACTCCTCCCGCTAGACGAGGGGTCGTGGCAGGCTGGAAATATCCACAGTAACAGCCCGCGCACCGATGGCCCCCAGTGTATTCGATCCGGGGATCGAAATAAGAGACGCGTTTTCCCCAACTTCATCTGCCACGATCACTCGATTCTCGGGTTCTTCCTTCCACTAATGACCATCACGGGGGAACTGATCGATTTGAACCAAGCGCGCAACCACCCAACACTCGGCCTCCGCCTTCAAGGCAAAGAGGCATGGGAGGTGCATGTGGCGGAGGTCCTCCGACAATTGGAGGTCTACAAAGCCAGTCTGACGACCTTTGCTGCAACCACGGCGGCACCTGATCCCGAAGGCGATCAGCAATCGGGAGACGGGGGATCATTGTCGCAGGCTTATTCCTGGCACACGCAGACCGTGATCGCATATTCCTCCTACCTGGTGCATGTCCTACATATCCTGTTGGTGGGTAAATGGGATCCGGTCAGCTTAATCGAGGACAAGGATTTCTGGACCTCCTCGCCGGCGTTTGCCTCGACGATTTCGCACGCATTGGAAGCGGCGGACTCGGTGCAGCAGATTTTGCGGTTCGACCCGGATATCAGCTTCATGCCGTACTTTTTCGGGATTCAGCTGTTGCAGGGGAGTTTCCTGTTACTGCTCATTGTGGAGCGATTGCAGAAGGAAGCCGGGGAGGGAATCCTGAATGCGTGTGAGACGATGATTCGGGCGACGGAGTCGTGTGTGGTCACGTTGAACACGGAGTATCAGCGCAGTTTCCGGCAGGTCATGCGCAGTGCGGTGGCGCAGGCTCGGGGCCGACCGGTGAATCCTAGTGAGATTCGACATCGTCGGAAGGCGGTTTTGGCGTTGTACCGGTGGACGCGGAAGGGGACTGGACTTGCTCTTTAGCGGAGTGGATGGAGTGGAGTGGAGTATGGCGTTATAGGGAGCATATTGTATATTGTATAGTAAAGTGTATAGTGTATACTAGTAGTGTATATGTCCACTGAAATGATGAATGGAAGCGAGATATGGCGTGATGATCTGGATACTCGAGCCGTAGGGAAATAGTATTATTATTTACCTTATTCTCTTAGCCTCGTGGTGGAGTCAAGTTCTCCTTGTGAAGTCATTGCGGCGACGAAGCACGCAATTGTGGGGCAGAGGAAGAGCCGGAGTACCTAAATAACTGTGTATAATAGTGTTTATAGTTTACTAGAGTACAGTATAGTATACTATAGTCTACTACTACTATTATATAGTTAGCATACTAGTATACTAGTATACTACTGTAATAGAATAAACAACCAGACTGTGCCTCTGTGCCTGGTATCACCCGATATCGTAAGTGACACCTGCAGTCTTCCGTGTGGCTGCAGGGTATAGAGTGGAGAGTATAGAGTATACAGAGAGATTGGATCAGACCAGTGCATACATTCAAGTTTACACTAAATGCATACCATACTAGCACTAGTATACGAATAGACTCGTACATATAATACTATATGCCCTCATCACAGCTGGCGATGGCATCATACTCTACTAGTACTAGTAACCTTCCCCACAGTCATTGCCGACGGTTCCACTCAACTTGAACCTTGGAATTCATGGGAGACCAAGAGACTCGAAGAGTATTAATACTTACTCTTCATACTTAACTTCAATTATATCTCTGAAACCTCTAATGCTACCCCCATCATGAAACTCTCCCTCACCCTGGCAGCCACCTCGGCTCTTCTCCAGAGTGTGGCCAGCTCCAACCTCAACAACTTCAACCTCCAAAATGCCCTGCAGTCCGTCTTGAGCGCATCTCCGCACTTCTCCTCCTCCTCCTCCCCCTCCCCTCCAAACATTCTCCTCGTCATCACCGACGATCAAGACTTGCAGCTGGACTCAATCGACTACACTCCTCACATCACCCGCCATATTCGCGACCAAGGCACCTTCTATCGCAATCACTTCGTCACCACCGCTCTTTGTTGCCCCTCACGCGTCAGTCTGTGGACCGGGCGCCAGGCTCACAATACCAATGTGACTGATGTTCACCCCCCGTATGGTAAGTAGAATCTATCCAGAACCCTGCGACGAGCAGCTAGCAGAAGCTAACATTATATCTATGATTGAAGGCGGATATCCCAAGTTTGTGGACCGGGGCTTCAACGAGAATTTCCTCCCCGTCTGGCTGCAACAAGCCGGCTATGATACCTATTACACCGGCAAACTTTTCAATGCCCACACCGTCGACAACTACCACAGCCCCTATGTCAATGGTTTCAATGGCTCCGACTTTCTCCTCGACCCTTACACCTACTCTTACCTCAACTCCACCTACCAGCGCAACCAAGATGCCCCCGTGAGTTATGAGGGATACCACACCACGGACGTGATCACAAAAAAAGCCTTGGGCTTTCTCGATGACGCTCTCGAGGGGGAAAGACCTTTCTTCCTCACCGTCGCTCCCGTCGCCCCGCATTCCGACGTGAACCCGGGGAGAGCCCTGGCCGGAGAAATCCCCATCATGACGGCCCCCATCCCACTCGAGCGACACGAGCATCTCTTCAAGGATGTCAAAGTGCCTCGGAACAAGAACTTCAATCCCGATGAACCCAGTGGTGTGAGCTGGGTTAGAGACCTGTCTCAGCAGAATCAGACGGTCGTGGATTACAACGACCACTTCTACCGCTCGCGTCTTCGCGCTCTGCAAGGTGTGGATGAATTGGTGGATGCACTCGTCTCACGCGTCGAACAGAGTGAGAAACTGGATAATACCTATATTATCTACACCTCCGACAATGGATTCCATATTGGTCAACACCGGTTGCCGCCCGGGAAGACCTGTGGTTTTGAAGAGGATATCCGGGTGCCGCTTTTCATTTGGGGGCCTGGAATTCCAGAGGGTGGAGTCGAGGATTCGGTGACGACACATATTGACCTGGCTCCGACGATCTTTGAGTTGGCGGGAATTCCGGCCCGCGAGGACTTCGATGGAACGGCTATTCCGGTCACGGATGGATTCTCGGGTACGCGACATGAACATGTTACGGTGGAGTATTGGGGGAGAGCAGTTGTAGAGGGGGATTACAGTGCAATTGGTGAGTTTTTCCTCTATTATTTATAGACAATGTCGACTCAGTACTAACCATGCATCCATTGACCCAGGTCCCAATGGTCTACCGCAGTTCCCTAACAACACCTACAAATCGGTACGCCTGCTCGGAGAAGGCTACAACTTCTACTACTCGGTCTGGTGCAGCAATGAGCATGAACTTTACGATCTATCGGTGAGTGATGGTTCCTAACTTAAGAAAAAGAGAAGAGTCGCCAACTAACCGAACCGAACAGACCGATCCGTATCAACTACACAACCTCTACCCGAGTACAACCCCGATAGCAACAGAAGAGCCCCAAATACTGGGTCGCAGTCTTTCGCAGGTCATCAGTCGACTGGATGCACTCCTTCTGGTGCTCAAATCGTGCCAGGGAATTACATGTATCAAGCCATGGGATGTCCTGCAGCCAAACGGCTCTGTGAGCAGCCTGCGGGAAGCTCTGGACGAAGGATATGATGCTTTCTATGGGGAGCAGCCAGGTGTATCCTTTGACTGGTGCGCTGATGGCTACATTATCGCTGCTGAAGGTGCGCAGGTGCCATTGACGACTCGTTATGGACTGCCGTGGGATGCGTGGGTGTAGTGGTAGTAGACATATTCAAGTTCAAGTTCTAGCGTTAGATTGTATATATTATGGTCATCATTACAAGAGCAGATCTTCATACAACAGAGAATATTTACGAGATAATGAAACTTGAAATTAAATGTTAAATCCACTGGCCCTGTAGTAGTGATCGTGAATGGCGTCAGCTCGTAAGAGTGTCCCACACAGTATTACTGTATCACCAGGTGCCAGGGTATGACTGCAACAATAGCCGAGCCTCGTGGCTTGACTGATGCGTATTGCAAGTGCCGAGATGCTGATACAGCGACAGCTAATAAAAAATGGCATTCGCCAATGGAAAAAGGAAAACTGGGGCGATTCTCACGATGTTGTTGATTGATGATTGCGCCATAACTCCCCGCCGTGTCGACAACACTAAAACACTCCCCGAGTACGCAATGGTCTCGCTTGGCCGGCTTTTTTTTCTTTATTTTTTGGCTGTGCATCGGCAGATGCAATGGAAAATAAAATGTATAAGACTGTGACTGTCGTACCCACCGGCTTTGTTGACATTCTCCAACTCGAAATCCCTTGAAGTATCGTATCCCCTTGCTCACCATCACCTTCACGATGTCCGATCGGGCGAGCTTCAACGAAAAGCACATCAATGAAAAAGTCATTGATTCACCACCGAGTGAATTGGATCATGGAATTGTTAAAGATTGGGATGAGGAGGAGTCAGCTGTGACGCGCAAGTTCGTGTCAACACCTCCAGACTAGATTCAAGTCCAGTATAAAGGTCAAAATAGACACGAAAACTGACATTGACACTGTCACTTTTGATAGAATCGACTTCATTATCTTACCGACTCTGGCCCTCGCCTTCTTCTGTCTCCAGATGGATCGAGGCAATATCAGCGCCGTTCTTACCTCGACTATTACCAAAGACCTGAATATCACCACCAACCAGATCAACATCGGCACTCAATTGCTCTCTGCCGGCATCGTGCTCGCCGAGATCCCTTCCAATATCATTATGCAGCGCATTGGGCCTCGCGTGTGGCTCTCTGGTCAACTCTTCGCTTGGGGGGCTAGTCGCCACCTTCCAGGCCTTTGTCCAGTCATATCCCGCATTCCTTGTCACTCGCATCTTGCTGGGCTTCTGTGAGGGTGGTTTCATTCCTGGTAAGTTAACTCGGGTCGGGTTGAGGAAGGCTAGCAGTAGCAGTTGAAGCTGACACGATTAGGTGCTCTATACTACCTGTCCACCTGGTATAAAAGAGAGGAGACCAGTCTGCGGACTAGCCTCTTCTTTTATGGTCAGATGTTTGCCTCGGCGACATCAAGCCTGATCTCCGCCGGCCTGCTGCGCCTTTCTGGAACGCATGGAATGGAGGGTTGGCGATGGATTTTCCTGGGTGAGTTCGTTTCGAGATCCCTTTGTCTTCCCATTTGGATAAAACTAATACCGGAACAGTGGAGGGCCTTCTCACACTATTTATCGGCATCTTTTTCACTCTCCTTGTCCCACCAAAGGCAGGCGATGGCCGCCCGCTCATTGCCTTTGGTCGCTGGAGCTACTTCACCGAGCGCGAATCGCACATCATTCGCAATCGCGTCCTGCTGGACGACCCGCGCAAGGCGCAGGGCCATATCCAAATCTCTTGGTCGGATATTGCAAACACCCTGAAACAGCCGCGGATCATGCAGCACGTGTTCCTCACTCTTGTCTCCATGTCTGGATTCCAGGGTCTCACTCAATATACCCCCAGCATGATCAAGTCCCTTGGATTCGACTCCATCAAGGCGAATGCTTTGACCTCGGTCCCGGTGTATTGCAGTATAATATGGTTGACAATTTTGTCGCTTGCGTCGTAAGTTGAACTCCGAAGGGTTCCATTTGTGGACGACCATGGTCCACCCTGTTTCTTCTGATGGACATTTCTAACGATTAACAGAGACTGGACTGGTCACCGAGGACCCTTTGTGTTGGTCGCCATCACTTGGAATGTTATCTCCTACGTATGCCTGAAGACAGCACCATACACGTTGGAGAAGTGGCATCGATATGGAATCATTGCAGTCGCCAATATCTCCTATTGCAGCATGCAGTAAGTCAAGTCTCAAATCCCTTCGGCCTTTGGCCTTTGGCATTGTCCTTCCGATCTCTCGCTCCGGGTAAATACTAACGAGAAACAGCATTCTCAACGTAGGCTGGCTGTCCGTCTACTGTCGCACCCCGCAGGAGCGAAGTGTTGCCATGGCGTAAGTTCTTTCTCCCTGAACCTCGAAAGTAAAGTAACAAGCATACTAACTTTTCCTTTTCCTTTCAGCCTGGTGGTGATGGCGGCCAATTGTGCTGGTATCTCCGGCTCTCAGATCTTCCGCACCGCGGACGCGCCCAAGTATACGCACGGTCTGACGGCGATCTGTGCCTTGGCCGGAGCATCATGGGGCCTTGCAGCCATCCTTGGTGTGCAGTATTATATTCGGCGTCGCAAGGCGGGCGAAAATAAAGTATGAACGGAGCGGAGCTGTCCTGTCCGGGCAGTCACCTTATGATTGTAAATAGCGCATACTACTAGTATACATGCACATATTAAACTATACTTATAGACACTCCTCGTTGACTTGGGTGGCGAAGTACTTTTACGGGTGACTTGGTACCTTGGCTGCTATAGTATAGTTCTACCGAACAGGCTATTAGGTATACTTCTAACCACACCCGGCAAGGAACTGCACTGATTGTTCTTCGTCGCTTCGCGTACCTGGCAGTCGGCAGTCTGCAGAGTGCCGACTGCAAAACATCTCGTGGCGACTTGCGGGGAAATTCGGTTAAAAATGAAGCTGTGTTGGGGGGGCAAATGCACCGATTGGTGCATCGGTGGCCCTCGGGGTTCGATTGTTCGGCCCGACGCGTGGAATCCGGGGTCGGTTAATTCAGAGACAATTTATTTTTGATTTAATTTTTTGGGTTTTGACTTTGAGGATCATGCGGTCTGTCGGAGTGGAGTGCTGCCGTTGGCCTTTCGTTTGAATTAACCAGTATTCATCTTTATTTAGTGGTATATACATGGGTTATATGGACAGCTCTTAATTTACCGACCGGAGCTCGCTTGCAGCACCGCGTGTCTCCTGGCTCTCCGCATTTTATTTTAGCTCTTTGGTTCCTGACGATGAAATAAAATGGAGGATTCCCCAGGTTTGCGGGGTTCGTTTATTTCCCCGATTTATTTGAATATACCTGGACCTGTACTTGTCCGTGGAATATTTGTGGATCAGTTGCAACCATCGCATCTCTGCAAGAGAATGAGCACACGAACTTGAAAATCTCATTTCCATCTATTTTTTCTTTCAATATGACCACTGAATACTACCCCATGGCTCAGTGGCCTGCGCATCCTATGCAAATGGCCGAGCCCCAATTGATAACCCAAGAAGAACTCGACCAGCAAGCCTTGATGGATGCAGGTTTTCCCATGCAAACCGACTTTGAGCAATATCTCCCGCAGTTGGATGAGATTGATCAACTGGATTGGAACAGTGAAATGGCCGGCAAACAAACATTTCTACCACCATATCCCCAGTCATGGTACGAGGCAGGCCTTGTTAGTGACCAGCGCAAACAGCTAGAAGCATCATGGAAGAATGGGTGAGTTGAGTTGAGCCGAGCTGAGCATTGGCAGATAATCTGTGGCTCCATCTTGCAAAAGAGATAACTAATCGTTGAACAAGTACTAGCTTCATGATGCCAGAATATCAAACCATGACACCCACAGCCACCTACCACGATGCAGAAAATGACCTCCTCTCCCGAACCGCCAGCGAAAGAGCCCTTTTCATGACCCCACCGGCTCAGCCTCACTATTACCCGACATTCCCAGGCTCCCCGATTTCTGAACTTTGCAGCACCCCCGAAATGTCTCACTCGTCGCACTGGGAATCTGAGTACGAGGACAAAGAAAGGGATAGAGAAACATACACTCGATCGCCCTACACCGCTCCAGAACCACACCGACTGGAAAATGAAGCCGGGGATTATTTTTCGCGCGGGGTAGACGTGAATTCGCATGTGCATGTGCATGTCGACGAGTCGGAGTGTGAGACTGTCTTGGAAATGCCCGATGGTACCACCCGCCGCACGGCAAATTGGCTACCCGTGGACTCGAGCGCTGGGTTCACGATCGGCCCGGAGCAGAGAGGACTTTATAAGGACCGTCCGCAGATGGAGTTTGAGGATATTCAGGGGGGGTTTTTTCATGAGCCCTGCCAGATGATGGGTGTTTCGTCTACCTCGAATAATCTATACTATCATGGTATGCGCTGGCGCTACCATTCAAATATCGATCTCAGTGAAGAGGAAGGGGATTCCCGTTGGTCCGATTCAGCGATTCATGCACCTCGAAGCACGCGGGTTGTCGCGTCAAAAGTACCAATTAGCCCCTCTAATCTCGCCGAGTGGGGAGACTCGTGCGATCGGTTGCGTTTCACCTCTCCGCATCGAGGCATCCGCCCTAGCTACGAGTACGAGTATACGGGGACCACATACAGTACTTGGATTCTGGAGAATCCCAAGTCTATACTTGGTTCAAAGAGGATAAAAGGGTTACAACCAGACGCAACAGGCGCCTCCCCAGCTGCGCAACCCTGTGAGAAGACGAGCGCAGTGGGGCATGTGAACAAACTACTACTAGTAATTAGTGCATTTGGTGATGGTGCAAAAGAATTGATCGATGACTCAAAGCTATCGCACATCACTGAAGATTTCTAGCTATACCCGACGTTTCTGTAAATACAAAATCGGAGCCATAGAGCTTCAAAATCTCAAGTCCAAGAAATGACTTTCGTGAAGTCTATAGTCCAGCAGAAAAGAATAAAAAAGATTTGATCACGAACATCCACTCAAAGTTGCATACTCATTGTGAGACAGCACTCTACTCACCCGATCCTATCCAGAATCAGGATGTAAGCTCTACTTTAGTTACCCCAACCGTGGTGGTGGTGACCGTGGCCACCGTGCGCACCGGGGAAACCGCTCGACTGAGGACCACCGCTGGGCAGAGGGAATCCACTGGGAGCACCGCTAGGAATGGGACCACCGAATGGAGGAGCGGTAGGCTTGGTACCGATAGTCCTCCAAGACCATGTGGGAGGAGGTCCGGTAGGGGAAGCACCAGGACCAGCGGAGGAGAGGATGGGGAGGTTAGGGGCCCCCTGAGGAGGAGCGTTGAAGCGGCGGCGCTTGGAGCTGGAGCTCAGCTTTCCAACACCGGCATTTGCCAGGACAGAAGATTGGACGCGGCTGGCGTCGAGGACGGAGATGCCGGTTTCACCCTTTGGCCAGCTGGACAGGACAGATGAGTCGGAGGCGGACAGTTCACCGGAGGAGGTGAGGGTGTTGGCGACACAGGTGCGGCCGAGGGCAGAGTCGCAGGATGACTTGTCACTGGCGCTGACGGCGTAGGTCTGGCCAGGCGAGCTGTCGTCCAGGAAGGGAGTGTCGACCTGGTTGAAGACGTTTCCTTCAATCAGGGCGTTGGTGCCATCGCCGACATCGAATGCGTGGCCAGTGTTGTTGAACCAGTAGTTGTTGTAGGCGTGCCAGTAGCTGTTGAACTCGAGCTTGGGCGAACGGCCAGAGGTGTGGTGGATGTAGTTGCCAGTGAAGGTGACCTTGTCATTCTTTCCGTAGCCGAGACTGGAACAGTATTAGCCGAGGTCATATTTGACCATATGAATCGCGAGACTTACACGGTCCAGTAGTGGTGGCCGTCGCAAGTGGCGGACCAGCTAGTTTGACCGTCAAATTCGTTGTTGGAGATAGTGACACGACCGCCTGGAGATGGTATGGTTAGCTGAGATACTTTTATCGGTCTATTAGGATACTTACTGGCTTCGTAACCAGCAACAAAGTGCTGACGACCGATCAGAGAGGTCTTGACATGGTCAATCCAGACCAGGTCGGAGCCATCCAGGGTAATAGCATCACCACCCCAGATGTACTGGGGGTTCAGCTCGGTGATGTGTATATTCTGGATGATGACATTGCTAACTCCATTGCGAATACGCAGACCCTTACCACGCAGAACACCAGAGCTGCCGACGCCAACAATGGACTTGTTGGAGGCAACATCGATACCCTCAAGAGCGGCCTTATCATAAGTACAGGTCAAAGTGGGATAGTCGCCACACCAGTCAGAGGAGTCAAGGTCAATCGCGTTCTGACCAGAGCTGCCGCACGTGTTGGATGAGGGCTTGCAACATTTGCAGTCGCTACACTTGCTGCCGAGGAAGTTGAACTCCTTATCGATGAGAATCGTACGGGGAGTGCTGTCAGTCAACCACGAGGTGAGCTCGGCAGTGTCACTAGGGGAAGCGGCGCTGGCACTTCCACCACCAGTGGTACCAGTCGCGAAACCGAACGCCTTTCCAGAGACACCGGCGGCCTGGGCAGTGGCTCCAAGCAGCGCAAGGGCTGCGAGGAGGGAATTTTGGATTGCCATATCGGGGCAAGGAATGAAGGGAAAGCACTGAACCAGCAGTATATCAAAGAACGGAGGAATAAAAAGAACGAATGGGCTGAAGTGGCAAAGGAAAAGAAAGACAGATGGCACAGGTCAATAGCATCGTGCAATACAGTGATGTTATATACCTGCACGCATATTCTCATAGCCCAAACAGGCATTGAATAACATCTTGGCTTTGTTTGAGCTTGAGTAGACGTGAGGCTCGCAGCGAAGATCCATGCTCCTTTGTGTCCACGGACCGAGCACCGCCGCGATAGCCTGTCCACAGTATCGCAGAGATTGTCCATAAATGATATCGCAGGGCGGACCACTGATCGACCGGCCACCTGCCCGTTCCTTAGGATCGACTCCGCCGGGACGTTTCAGCGAAGCCCTAGTCGGGGCGTGGGCGCCGTGGACCTTGTTTGTAACAGGGGTAACTATGTGAACGGTTCGTACATGGTCTGGGCTAGAGTTTCTGTCTTCCCACTTATTTTTGGGAGGCCGACGCGATTTCCACCTGCAGGTGGCAGTTGAAGGTACCGTCATTGCACAGCATTAGATGTCACCTAGATTTCACAGCGACGCTTCCGAGTCCTCGGAAGAAACTCGGGGATATGATCTGTTGTAGAAATGATCTGATGCACACGTCAAGTGAAACTTCGGCGAATGCTCTATTTGAGCTGTTTCACGATATCACCGTCTACTGTCAGTGGGACGTTGCTTATGTTGTCAGTGGAGCAACCATTTCTCAACGAGACGGGGTCAAATTCTCCACTCACCGCAATAAATCCCGTGTCTGGGATGTTAATTTGTACTGGCCAATCTCTCCAGTTCTGCTAGAACAAGTCTAGATCATTGCCTGATGCCTGCCCTGCATACAACTTGAACTGTGACCGAAGACCGGGGAAAGGTGGCAATCAGGTGCCCCCATCGTTGAAACTGGGAGGTTCAGAACGAAACAAAACTTCTCAGCTCATGCATGTAAATGATTTAATTCTACTCCATAGCGCCAGGTGGCAGTATTCTGGCGTTAGCTAATATACTCTAAGGATCTTCATCCCATCAATATATAGACCGGATCCATTCCGAGTGATGCTTAGCCACAAGCCACCCAACAATCATGTTATATTAAAGCGGTTGATCGTTCATCAGATTAGTCCCACTCAGGCCACACCGTGATTTCCCGGAGATCCTCTCGATGGGCCATGTAATAAGCTTGCCCTAACATATGAAGTTTGCGACGATCCGTCTTCTTGGACTTGGTTCGTGGAATCCGGTCGACAAGTAGAAAGAGGCTAGGGACATAGTAGGTGGGCAGGCTCTGCCGGACCCCTTCGCTGATCGCTTGAGTAAGAGCATATATGGCATGACGCTGCATTATCGGGCGAAATTGCATCTCTTCGACTGATCCCGTCTCCAGGTTCATTGGGTTATTGGCAAGGTATAGGTATACCCCAAGGATTGGGTCGCCCGCGCCATCCGCAGCACCCAAGACATCCACCACTGCGGCATCGCCAGTCGACAGATGTTGGCGTAGTACGTACTCGACTTGGCCGGCTTCCACTCTCGCCCCGTCCAGTTTCAGCATCGTATCTTTCCGCCCGATGAGCTCAATGGTTCCATCGTGATTGTACCGACCAAGATCACCGGATCTGTAGAACCGATGTCGTGGTCGATTGCCATGGAGCTGTGCCATCCAGACAGGCAGGGCCGTCAAGAAGTTCTCCGATTTTCCGGAGACGTGGTCTAGATAGCCTCTTGAAATGTGTGGGCCCTCCACGAGCAGCTCTCCTATTGCTCCCACGGGCATCAGTAGATCGGGGTGATCTTGATTCACAATCCAGATGGCGCCACTAGCTGGTCTTCCAACAACAGTGCCATGGCCCATTCGAAGGTTAGGATTATGAGCACATAGAGATGCTACCTCCCCCATGCCATACTGGTTTACAACCTGAACGCGAGTCAGCCACTTGGCGAGAACCGCATCGGAGACGGGCTCCCCGCCGATGCACATCATCCTCAGCGTCGGCACACGGTCGGGGTTAATCTCGATGGCGACTGAAGGCGTGGCGAACATCATATTAGCCTGGAGGTCATTGATATCTGTCATGAGGGCATCCATTGACAGCGAAGTTGTGGGGACACAGCAGCAGCCACCGGCTAACAGAGGTGCGAGGAAATCATTGTTACTGATATCAAAGGCGTAAGCATCGAATTGAAAAAGTCGTGAATGAGGGCCCATCCCCATGACGCGAATATAATCGGTGAGAGCGGAGGCATAACTTCGGTGCTCTTGGATGATTCCCTTGGGTTTACCGGTACTGCCCGAAGTGAAAAGTACTACGCAAGCATCGGTAGGCTTAACATCGACACATGGTACCCCCGGGATGGAAGGGAGCCCTCGGAGAGAATCCGCGCTCACTTCAAAGTGGACTTCTACAAGTTCCCTATACCTTAATGAGTATCCGGTCGATGTCAGCATGATTTTGATTTGAGTTCGCTCCAGGACAGATGCCATATACGGTGGTGGGTCACTGCCATCAACGCATATATATGCACCGCCAGCCATTAGAACTGCAAGACGGGCTACGATCGCCCAGGTCGACTTGTAGAAAGCGCAGGCGACAAAAATGCCCGGTCGAACACCCTGATCAACCAGCCAATGAGCCAGGCGAGATGCAAGATTACTGAGTTCACTATAGGTGAGATCGCCATCCCATGATCGGATAGCTGGTGCACCCGGGGTCGTCACGGCATGACGCAAGCAAAGATCATGAAGTAAGGCATCTTGAGAGGGTGCAAGAGATCTAGTGAATTCGGCAATCTGGGCACGATCATTCGGCCCGCATAAATCCACAGCACCGATCAATTGCATCGATGTCATGCCAATTGAAGAGAGAGCTCGATTAAAACTGTGGAGCAAGCTTGTTGCCACTGGTAAGCTGATTTGAGAGTCGCCCACATCGAGCTGTGCATGCAAGAGATCGTCTGGCGTACGTCTGACGAAAATACGCAGTCCCTCACCGATAATTTCTTGCCCCGGCGGAATGGAGCAGCAAACGTGGCACCGGCCCATGCAGACCTTTTGACCCAAGTCCACCGCCATTGCAGGCTGTCGTTGGTAAACGATAGTCATGTTATAGCGGGAACCCTTGCCATCATGTCCATGCACGCCATTGGCATATGACTCCTTTACAAGGGTACTGAGACCATTGGTGATCTGCCCGAACAAGTCATGCACTGGTTCTTCTGTGTCAATGTGGATCTGTGTCGTCGGGGCAGTGGGATCATCAGACTCCCCGACAAAACAACGTCCCTTGGTGTACTGCTCGCCAACGTACAGGGTAGTCGAGGAAGTGAAGGCTCCAACTGTAATCACCCAAGCAAGTTGAAAAAGACGTTGAAGCTGGATATCAAAAGGCTCGGATTTGACGATTGTTGGTGCATTGAAAACCTCGACGAGTCGCAGAAGGAGCCGGGGGTGCTCGGAAAGCTGTAGATACACGGTCGAGTCTTTCAGACCATTCGGCTGGTCCAAGGTATCGGAATCTAAAAGAATGGGCACCATAGTGGTAATGACAATGACAATGACAATGCTCTCGCGATGATTCCGGAGTTGCGGTTGAATAGAGTGAGGTTCTGAGACAGGAATTCAACCGGGATACTCGTGATTAAATGTCCGGGGGCAACTGTCAAGCTGCAACGGTCCGGAAGGGCGTTCCACGGACATGGCTGATGCGGCGCAACGAGGGGTTGTCTTTGTTGGACAAAGAAAGTACTCAATGAGAATGCGCGCCCAAGCGCCCCGTCTGGGAGGGCGTCTGTTGAGAAATATTGGATGCTGCAGGCCTCGGGGAATTGGCATGAATCGACTCGGTCGGGATGTTTGCCCCAACGGCCACATTTGCAAATGGGCTGGCTAGTGGGCGCAGCCGTTCGTGAAGGGTGCGGAAAGGCGCAACTGAGGTAAGCGGTGCCGGGGGGTCGAGCGAATGGGGGAGACGAAAAGCATTATGGGGGATGAGGTGCAGATCGAGTGGGAAATGGTTCAGCTGAGGTGAGGGAGATCATGGTTCGTGGTTGTGGTTGTGGTTGGTGGAAGAGGAGAAGTTTGGGGGGGGAACGGGGAAATCGGGGAAATCCCACCCAACGCCTCGTTTCTGCAGCACCACGTCAATCACAACTTGAAAGTTAAAAAGCCTCAAACTTGAAGTACAGGATGGCCGTGATGTTCGTAGGGGGGGATATAGTCAGGATAATAATAATAATAATATTCATAACATTAGTGGTGCGTATTATATGCACATGGGAGAGTGGTAGAATAAAGGTTGTGGTACAAGGGAGTCGGGATATAGATAAACATCAGAAACACGAATTATACGAGGTAGACACCCCATCCGAGAAGCCGCTGGTGTTGTTTTGCGCTGAACCATCCCAGGATAAGTTTGGCATACTTCTTACTGGCCCAAAGGTGGTCGAATCGAATCAAAGATGCCGAAAAGTAGACAATAACATCAGACGGCATTCTGCATGATGCCAGGACGCACTCCCTCGAGGATCATCGCGACTTCCTTCCACAGCTTAATGCGGGCCTGTCGCCCTTCATCACTGCGCACCCAAGGTGACAATGCAGTGTTCTCAACATGGCCGTCGGTCATATAGGCACCATGGCTCTCGAGTCCGGCTGTGATCCCTGCCACCAGGGTGCGTGATCCAATCTCGGTTGTTCGTGCGAGTAATAGCCGGATGACCTGGGCTGCACCACCTGCCTCGCGTCCCAAGGAGGAGTGGCAGAGACCTGGGTTAATCATATTGATGACCACTTCTGATCCTCGCACCCGACCAGCTAGCTCCTGCACAACGAGAACCTCAAGGAGCTTGGACAATCGGTACCGCTCGTTCATTTTGGCCTTGGATTCCTCGGAGAGGGTCTCGAGGATATGGTCGGCCTTCCACTCGGGAAGCGAAACCCAGGCATGGACTTCACTAACCACAAAGCTGAGCCGGGGCTGGCTGCCTGGTACTTTCTTGCCTGTCTGCTTGAGAATAGGAAGGACCAGTAATGACAGAAGTAAGGTATTGACGACATTGACAGTGATGGAACGCTCTAATCCCTCTGCCTTGGCGTAGTTGAGAGTTGCTACTCCGGCATTCAGTAGAGCAGCATCTAGTCGGGGCAGCTGGGCAATACGGTCTCCAAAGTCTAGCACCGACTGATTGGATGCTAGGTCAACCTCCCAGACTTCACAAACGCCTGAACGGCCAGTGGATGTTTCGATTTGCTGTTTGGCTTCCTCGCCAGCGGGAACATTGCGCACTGCGAGAATGACACGGGAGGCACCTAGGCGAACCACATGACGAGCCGCTTCAAATCCCAGTCCGACATTGGCACCAGTGATGAGGACAGTTTGGTTGGCGAAGGACTGCTCGGGGTAGGGAGGTCGAACGCAGAATTGAGAGTAGAGGAAGCCCATATTGTTGGTGGTTGTAGGTGATTGTAGATCAGGTAAATGGAAGATTCCGTGGTTGAATGTTTGAAGGGTTGAATGTTTGAAGATTCAAAGGTGGATTGTTTGTGATGAGAAGCAGGACCATTGCCGCATGGGATGTCTTTATTTACTCGCAAGGTGAATCGATGAAGATGTTGAAGCTGTCCATGTCGGAGATTAGTCGACACGGCGATAAATGCGGAGCCTCCTCAAAGGCCTAATGCCGCCACGCCATGGGGGCTTTTGCTAACCCCGAGCCTTATGGGCTTCCAAATGCCGGTAGCACAATCAGATTGTGGGGGGGAAATGGAGATGAGAGCACTGGGAGTAGAGTGAAAGTGTGTAGGAGGAAAGTAAACTTGAAGTTGCCGAGGCTGCCGCATTATACTGCAGTAGTAGTAGTAGTAGTAGTAGTAGTAGTAGTAGTAGTAGTAGTAGTAGTAGTAGTAGTAGAGTCAGAGGAGAGGGACAGTCAGTTTAATTAGTTGGCTGAGTGTAGTCGGGATAACTATTTCATTTCTTTCATTTTATCAATGTGTAGAATATCCAGATCTATAAAATATACTATACTGTTGTTACTGTACTGCAGCTTGTCTATTGTGCTGCCTGGCCCCATGACGTAATACCCTCTGAGACTGTTGGAGATCTCCAACTTCAACTTCAAATGTAACTTCATCTTCTCTTCTCTCCCCCTTATTTCACTCCAATACAAACACAATGGGCCACTTCGGTCAAAAAGTACTCAACGCCTTGGGCGTCAATCATTCCCACGACCAGCAACAAACCCCAGCATACGGAGGAAATGGAGGATACGGAGGATACCCTGGCGGGCCACCACCACCACCAGGAGGCCAACTGCCTCCAATCCCCCCCCCGGACATCCAGGTCCCCAACACCCAGGTCGTGGTCTAGTGAACAATGATGAACGTGCACTCTCCTCCCACCCTAACCGAGGAACCTACCCACGTCTCGCCCGACTCTCCGATGGCTCCATTCTCTCCTCCTTCACACGATTCCCAGACGGACAACGCGCTCTTTGCGTGGCGCGCAGCACCGACAATGGACACACCTTCGAAAACATCTCCGAAGTTACTCGCGCCGCAGGCGACGTCGATAACATGTTCCTCTGTGAGGTGGGCCCGGGGGTTGTCCTCGCAGCCTTCCGCAACCACGATAAAGGAGACAACGGCCCGACGCACTTCCGGATCACCGTTTGTAGGTCCAATGACGGCGGCAATACCTGGCACTTTGCATCGCAAGCCGCGGAGAAAAGACCCCCATTTGGAATTTGGGAACCTTTTATGCGATTGGGTCGGAGAGGCGAGGTCCAATTGACTTACTCCGAAGAATTCGCCCATAATAACCAATGTACCATGCTCACTGTCTCGCATGATCAGGGGAGCACCTGGAGTCGCCCAACCTGCCTGCATGGAGACAGTGATCCCCGTCGTGATGGTATGAATGGTATTGCGCGCACATTTGATAATGGTCGGGAGGCTCTCGTGATGGTCTTTGAGACGACGACGTACGGTCCGTTTAATGTCGAAGCGCTTATCTCCTACGATGACGGCGCCTCCTGGCATAATCGGCACCAGGTCTTCCGACCCCGACAGGGACACAATGCGGGTTCCCCGCAGGTTGCCTCGTTCGCGGATGGCTCCCTGGTCTGTGTCTTCATGACGGATGATGATTCGGATCAAGTGGACTGGGTCAAACATGCTTCCATCAAGGTTTGCTTCGCAGGCCCTCCTCAGAATGGACAGCTTAGGTGGGGACCTCCGATTATGGTTTCGCCAGCATCTAGCTTCTGGCCTGGAGTGATGGCGCTGGATCATCAAACGGCCTTGGTCACGTATGATCGTGGAGGACCTTTGGCCAAGTCGGTTACCTGGCAGACATGGTAGCTAGCTAACTCTCAGTCAGGTGTATTAGACATTTCTACGAAACATAATGAACATACAATTCTCTGATCTCACGCGAAGAAATATCCAACTGGATCCTCATGAGATATTCAGTGATGTTTTTGAACCCGCATAAAGTGGCGACCATTATTGCCTTCCACATCTTGAAACCGTTCCCCTTGAATAGCTGGTTGACCACCTACTCTCATATCAAAATTTCTAGTAATTGGAAGTCAGGCCTTATAAGTTGTATACTTTTCTAAGTTCTACAGCGTTTTTCCAATCCTATCCACGCTCGTGCTTATTGTATCAATATTAGGATTAGCCATATAATACCAAAGAGTGATAACATCGATCCATAGTCCTCTTACGCAGTACCTATCGGTATCGCGACCCTACTCCTGGGCACCGAGAATTAAATTATAGTGACATGATCGTCTCGGCAAGCATCAGGGCAACACGATCAATTTTCTTCGTTGTTGAGAACCACTAGCGTGTCTGATATGTAGCCTTATAAGTAGATTTTGATTCTGGTTTAGTCTGCTTTGAGGTTTGGAGAGAGCTTGACTTGACCATAGGGTTCATGCCACTAGAGAAGGGATAAAATAAAGATACAGTGTTATTGATTGTTTAACTGAGCTTTGTCAAAGAAGCTGCACATTGCTTTCAAGTTATACTCCCTTGCCTGATAATCCGACACAAGATGGAACTTCCTCTGAAATTTATAGACACGACTCGATGAAAACACCCCCGTCATAGAATAGAGTGAAGTACAACTTCATTTTCGCCTTGTTGAAAGTAGTAGTAACCACCTTATTTCGCCAGTTAGTAGATATCAATTATTCAGCGTAGTTTACTCACTGTCACCGCGCAGAATAACTTCCTTATTAGCGTCAAAAATCATATCAGTGTCAACATGCCGGACGTCCTTATATTCCTGTCCATTCAAGATATCTGTACGGAAAAGAGTAAATTCTTTAATCTCCCCAGTGACACCTTTGAATCGAGTGTCAGCCCTTGTGTTATTACCCAGGGCTATTTTCGAAATATCGTACGCCGACAGAGCGATTTCGTCATTGATGAATTTTGCGCTAGGCATTGTAGAATACAGTAGAATATTTCTTGTTAGGACGTGGAAAGGGCTTAGTATGGAAAGATGGTAGCGAAGCAGTGGCCAGTATCTTTTCAGAAGCTGTCGTGGTTCTTGCTAATATTGCTGGGGACTGGATATCATCAGATCTAAATATGCGTACCAGTAGTAGTATTGCGCTGAACATGTACTGTCGTCATACTAATAATGCTTACTACCACTTCTTCAGTATACATCAGTCATGATATCATGACTGGTTCTGTATTAGGTCTAGTTTGGAAGCTATAGCAATACATGATCATAGTGGCTTTTTACACGTTCAGTATCATACCATTCAGGCTACCGCATACTAGTATTTTTCAATACAGGAATTGTCATGTCGAGACTACCATATCACGGAATAGGGTTGAGAAGAACATCTGTATATTTCTGACATGGCAGAGAATAGCGGTCGCCTCTATAATTGGGTGGCCCAGGTGTTCAGCAAACATTCCTAGGATTGGCTGGAATTGTGTTCCGATCAGTATGAATATGACGCAATTTCGTTTTGGTATAGATCAAACACTGATAGGGCCCAGCGTGATGAATATCTGCATCATCAAGAGACCTCGGGACCCAAAATAATTTCATGATGGTTAGCGACTTGGATCCGTGGTGACCCAGGTCCCCGTACATTAAATATCGTAATGTCCCCACCTGGGCAGTTAAAGCCTTTTCCCCTGCGGCCCAAAGAGTCACGGTCTCACCTCGGTGCCTCCGGAAAGAACCATAGAAGCAAAGATAATTATCTTAGTTTATCAGATTAGATAACAGTTCATCATAATCGAACTCTGACATTCTTTCTTGATGATGTCGAAAAACTCACAGGCTTCGGCGAACTTGCTTGAATCCACAGACAATTTGTTGCTGAACAAAAGGAACGCACAAAATCCTTGTAATTCAAAAGCGCCAATCCAAATGAGCAAAATATCAGTAGCCCTCTTCAACTATACTCTACGCAGTTCTCAAACGGTTCGTTGATCTCGGCCCATAGGTGAATCGGACAAGTAACGCTGCACAGGATCCGGGTCACCCGATCCACACTGAGATACCTTGCGTCCGGCCTTCTTCCTGTCTGCTGCAAGTACCTGCGCAAATGGGGATCTCTCCCGGATTTGTGGTCCTTTCCAGTAGAAGATGTAGATCGGGATCGTGAAGATAATAGCCATGAATCCCAAAAATGTCGATGGCCACTCGAGCGTATTGGTCTTGCCCATGTTGCTGTACACTAGGGGGGGGTGAATAATCCTGCATCTTCTTTGTTTGGGTTATTACCATAGGTATCACTTACTTGGAACAGAGTACATTGCAGCTACGCCGGCGAGGAAATCTCGCGCGAAGCCATTACCTCCGGTGGCCGAGGCGGCGTATGGTCCGTATGAGGCGATCATGTAATCTATCGTTGCCATGTAGATTGTGAACTAGAATTAAACGGTTAGGTCATATCCTCTGAATTTCTGATTCATGAAATTGAACCATCTCAAACAACTCACATTGGCAATTGCAATTAAGGAGGAAAATATCATCGGTGCAATCCAGTGAACATGTGGAGGTCCGAGACTTGTCCAGGCGAAGCCAAACAGCCCAATCGATAGTAAAGGCGCCACTGTCACAGTTAGAACACACTTTTAATTGCTTTTCATTTTCAAGGGCAACACTTACCGAATAGGAGCCAATACAGTCGAGCTTCCGGTTGTAATCCATCCGGATCACGCTCCCGTACCCTGTTATGTTTGGCAATCCAAGGTATGAAAGAGAAATAAGCAATGAAATACCCGACCAGGATACTAAGGACAGTCAGTTAGCGAATAATGTAGAAATTGTTACGGTGGTAGCATCTATACTCACGGGATAAAGGCAAGTCCAATCTCAATAGTATTGAACCCCCACTGCTTATATACCGGAGTATAAGACTGAAGGAAAGTGAAGATCAAAGAATCACTAAATCCACTCAGCAGTGCAAGACACAGGACAATCGGCTCGCGGAAGAACATGATAAAAGGCCGAAGCCAGATCATCAAGATCCCGCGGAATGTCAGCCTGTTGCCTTTCAACTCGTCTCCACCCCATACCATATCCCCAGCTGCCCTTCGTCGCCTCGCCTCGCGGGTAACCAGCAGGCTGCATCGAGTCTCGGGTATGGTCCAGTGCAGGAGCTGTACAAAACCACCAAGAATCAACTGTAGCCAGAAATTCCAATGCCAGTCAAGGAAAGTTGCCACAAATCCGCCTACGATCGGCGCAATCACAGACCCAGCGACGGATGATAGAACAATAAAGGCAACAGCATATTGCTGGTCCTCTGCCTCCCACATATCAGCCACCATACCAAGAGTTACTGACCCACCAGCCGATGAGAGGCCACCCAGCAAACGACAGACGACGATCGTGCCGAAGTTCGGAGCCAGCGCACACGGTATCTGCCAGATATTGACGAGGAGCAGACTCATCTGCATGATGGGCCACCTTCCAAACTCCTCGCTGAAAGGTGCCCAAAACTCGCATCCAAAGGCATAAGCGATGAGGAAGTCCATCTGCCCAACTCGAGCTGCTTGCTCGGAGATATTGAAGTGTTTGGAATACAGACTGATACTGCTGGCGTAGAAACTTGCATTCCAGTTCATGGATGTCTGCACGGCGAAGACGACGGATATTATATACCATTTCTTCCACCAAGGGAAGGAGTATCCCAGTTTATCGTAGCATTCCCACTCCTTTAGCTCGGGGTGGTCTGAAGGTGGCTCGGTGTTGACACCATTGGCTCCGCTCGGGCCTGTTTTCTTCTTCTTCTCTTGTGGAGTTCCACCTGGCGAGCGGACGCTCCCGTCGGCGATGTCCCCATCGATATCACTTTGTTTCTCGATATCCTTTTCGAGTCGCCTGTCTGTGGCTGCTGTTTCGGAAGACTCGGGGCTCTCGGGTGTGTGTGGCATGTTTGTTTTTTGGTATAGTTATTATTCGATTGGTAGAATATGGGAATCTGTGGATTTCTGATCGCAATAAGGATCACCATCTTCACTCTTTGTAAACAGAATGATACTCGTTTTCTGGATCTGGGGATGGACCTTATATGAATGAACTATCTCTCGTAAGCGGCAATGGCATTCAAGACATACTCTATTTGGATCTTCCGCGAGAAGATTCTCGCAATTTCTTCTCCGATTGGTCTCGAGGAGTGATTCCCACGGGATCGTGTGCTAGTTTCCATTAAAACCTCGCGTGCATCGTGGTGTGGAGTGAACATCCGGGGAGAATGACCAGGAAGATCATCACCAACGGAATCAAGATGCCCTCCGCACTTTGGAGATCTCCAGCGGCCGCAATTGGGGCCCGCAAATCGCGAGAACTGGACCTGGGATTGTGTTGAATTGTTCTCTATGTGCTCGGCTTTGGTCTTCCGGGGAGCTGTGCCTGTGCCTTGGACCTTGGCATCTTACTCGCGATTGGACCATGGAATGCCCACGGCAGCTGCTATTACGCATGAATTGCGAGGATTGGGGCTTCTTCCGGGGTTAACCCCGTTGATCCCCAGCATTTTATTTTGCCTTCAAGCTCTAGAAACAGTGTCAAGCAGTGCAGTCATCTGGTTATGGAGCATTACTAGTAGTTATACTATGCGGTCATCAGTCGTAAATGGATCTCCGCCAAGGGCTATTTACATCGGATAATTTGTATAGCTTCCGCTTACAACAGAGGGAATGCCATTCCATCCCCGCGCTGGTCACTGCCGGCACTGTAGACCGGCTTCCCTTCGTCATAGTGCAGACGAATGACCTGGCCACGGCCAAACATGGAGCGCTTCCAGCCGGCAAGTACCTCGACCTTGTGGCCGAGATTGCGCAGGCCCTCCACGGTTGCGTCGCTGATTCCCTCCTCCACATAGACGGTGCGGTCCTTATCTTCCTCTGTCGGTGCGGCGAGGCAGATGCGGGGGGAGTCCAGAGCTGCTTGCGGGTGGTAACCAAAGGCGAGCATGTTGAGAAGGACTTGTACGTGGCCCTGAGGCTGCATGAATCCGCCCATTACACCATATACGGAGTGCAAGGAATCATCAGCCACATTGGTGATCAGGGCAGGGATGATGGTGTGGTATGGTCGCTTGTGCGGCGCCAAAGCATTCGGGTGGCCCGGCTCGAGGGAGAAGTTGGCGCCACGGTTCTGCAGGGTGAAACCACAACCAGCGGGGATGATGGCAGTGCCGAAGCCGGCATAGTTGCTGTTGATGAAGGAGATGCCATTTCCTTCGCGGTCTGTGACGTTGAAATACACGGTATCGCAGTGGTTGTGAGCAGGGCTGCCGTGATCCAGAAGATCGGATGTACGCTCGGGGGAGAACAATTTCGCGCGCTCAGCCAGATACTCGCGTGCTAGTAGGCCTTGCGAGGGAACCTTTTCCACGTCGGGGTCGGTCACCCACCAGGCGGCATCAGCGAAAGCAATCCGCAGACTCTCAATGACAGCATGTAGATACTCGGGGGAATTGTGTTGATCCTCACGGAACTTGGGGATCTTGCCTGTTCGCTCGAGCTCTTCCATGATACCGAGGGCCATGAGTGCCACGATACCCTGCCCATTGGGCGGGTGCTCCCAAACACGGACGCCCTTGTTGGGGGTACCATCAGTTCCGGGGGTCTGCTTGGACACGATATCCTGTCCGGTGAACTCAAGCGAGATGGGATCGACTTCTTGGGTGCCAACCTCGGCGTGATAGGCCAAATCCTCGAGAGTCATGAAACCACCAAGATCCTTTACCACCTTGACGATCTGTTCGGCAATGCGGCCCTGATAGAAGCCCTTCTTCCCCTCGGCTGCGAGAGTGCGGAAGGTCTTCGCCAATGTGGGGTTCTTCATAATATCGCCTGGTAGCGGGGCACGCACGCCGTCCTTGGCCGAGGAGTCATCCTTCAGCATCTCGCGGAAATTAGGTGACGCATTCCGAATATCATTTTCAGAGCCGTGCCACTTGGTGAGGGTTAACAGAGTTGCAGGGGAGGGGAAAGCAGGGGGTTACTCACGCCATGAGAGGCAAGTTCGGAAACGGGGAATCCTTGCTCGCCCATCTCGATAGCCGGTTGCAGGATTTGTTCTAGGGATAGCTTGCCGCTACCAAACTTTTCGACTGTGTCTACCCAGCCAGCAGCGGCACCGGGGGTTGTCGTGGCCAGCGCGCTCAGCATAGGGATGCTGCCCGACTCACCGGGGGCGAGCTTCAACTCCTTGCGCACTTTTTCCAGACTGCCAGCGCCGGGGTAACGACCAGAGCCGTTCAAGGCGTGAACTTTCTTGGTCTTGGAGTTGTAGAAAAGGCAGAACATGTCGCCCCCGATTCCAGTGGAGCAGGGCTCCGACATGTTGATGGCGGCGGCTGTAGTGATCAGTTTAAGGTCTTATTTTCTGCTCCAGTCTGGGGCGATGGTCTAAACTTACCGACGGCGACGGCGGCATCCTGTAGAGAGATATAGATTAGTGCTAATTGCTCTTATCTTGTCTGGGCGTGAGATGACATACCGCGGCATTACCACCCTGGGTCAGAATGCGATGACCGGCAGCGGCAGCCAAGGGCTGAGTGCAGGCGACGATGCCATGAGAGCTGTGGACGGTGCTCCGGCGACTGGCAAAGGGCACATAATCGGGGTTCGCCTTGGCGTAGACGGCTTTTGAGTTGAGGGGCATGGTGAGAGACAGTGCCAAACTTGAAGTGGATCGGCGGAAACCAGGGCAGCGAGTGTGGGGGTCGGGGTCTTTATACCAAGGTGAAGGTGGGAGATGGTGATGGTAACTAATGGTAGTAATTCCCACCTGGGTAGTACAATAGAGAAGCCGAGGTGATTCAAGAATGGAGGGACCTGTGGACTCGGACTCGGACTCAGATAGCAAGTCTCCACTCGAGGGGCATCCCCGCCTTCCAATGTTGCTTTCCCTTGGAGAAGTTGGAGTCAATCGGAGAAGGTCCCGGTGTCCCCGGTGCACTGCATATAGTCGTAATAGTAGGTAAAACCTACTATATTCGACCAGAGTATCTGAATCAGGTCATCCTGTCAGTGCCGGGCAGTCAATGGATTCTCCAGGCCCTACTAGGGCTAGAGTGAACTAGTAGTAGGTAGTTACCTAGGTAGTAGCAGGGATATGTCAGTGACTCCGACTGCCCTTGTGTTCAATGATATATATCTTTGACCGCCCTGGCAGTAGTTCCCTGGCAGTAGTTCCCTGGCAGTAGTTCTACCAAAGCCCTGGAGGTAGATACTATTTATGATATAACTATGTTGAGTCAACTTGAACTTGAAGTTGATGTGACTGTAAAATAATAAATAATAAATAGTCACTGGGACAAGGATATATTTCAATACTCTACTACCACCACCACCACCACTACCCTCGGCCAGTCGGGCCGAGATGATCGGCTCGTGCGGCCGAGTCTGCGAAAGTCGGAATGTGAAAAGGATATTAGCTATGCGTACTTAGTACTAGTACTAATACTAGTAAGGAGAAATAAGGAATAAGAAATAATCTACACTCCGATCAAATATACCTAGGTATATTACTATTACTATTCCTATTACTCTTACTATCTAAGTGCTAGTGGTTAAAGATACAAGCGGAGGACATCCGAGCTTCCTCCCAATATCCCCCCCATTTCCGCTTCGGATTTCCCGTCTATAACTTCCTCCCCTCCCACTGCGCCAGTGCCTCTACTCGACTCCTCATACCTGCCTGTGCTTCTAAAGGTTCAAGTTCCCTTCCCATTGACCAACTCACCATGGCCTCCATTCGCGCCAATTGCCGCAAGGTCATGTGCATCGGCCGTAACTACGCGTGCGTCACTCCATCTCCCTCTCCCTCTGCTCTCTGCTCTCTGTTCTCTGCGCCTTTGCTGACCCTCCCTGCGCTAGCGACCACATCACCGAGTTGAACAACACTAAGCCCAAACAGCCTTTCTTCTTCCTCAAACCCTCCTCGTCCATCCTCATCCCCGGCGCTGGTCCCGTTCTCCGCCCCAAGGGTGTCAGCCTGCACTATGAAGTCGAATTGGGTCTGGTCATCGGCAAGACCCTCCGGGATTTAGACCCGGAGGACAAGCAAGGTGCTTTGGATGCTATCCAGAGTGAGTACTCTGCCTTTTCTTACCCTTGCGCTTGCTGGGTCTGCTAATCATTATTCGCGCATCGCATAGGCTATGTCCTCGCCATTGACATGACCGCCCGCAACGTCCAAGACGAAGCCAAGAAGAAGGGTCTCCCCTGGTCCATCGCTAAGGGCTTCGACACCTTCCTGCCTATTTCGCAAGAGATTGCCAAATCGCGCATCCCGAATCCCCACGATGCCTTCCTGCGCCTCAGCGTCGGAAACACCGAACGCCAAGCCGACTCGACTAGCCTCATGCTGTACCAGATCCACCACCAGCTGGCTCAGATCTCGCGCGTCATGACCCTGGAGAAGGGCGATATTGTCCTGACTGGCACCCCCAAGGGAGTGGGTCAGGTTCGGGCGGGTGATGTGATGCGGGCCTCGATTGAGGTGGATGGCAAGGAGATTGAGGAGGGACGCATTGAGGTGGAGGTGCAAGACCGAGAGGGTCGATACGAGTTTAAGGAGACCTGAGACAGAGGGGTTGGCTCGGACAATCCGGGGATGGGAGGAGTAGGTAAATATAGAGACGGATGTTGCACAAACTTGGTGAGATTTGTGAATAAGAATACTACCATGAATACTAGTACTAGTATAGGTATACTCAGTGAATATCTTTCTATACCTATACTACCATCTATAGCTTTGTAAATACACTGATGCTCAAGTATATCCTTTACTCTAATACACCCGGATAATTCCTTTCCCCCCCGGCACGCACCCCCCCCCACCTTTTCTTCCTTCCGCTTTCATCTGCGGCCGGGGAACTTTCCTCTCCACATATCTCTTCATAACTCTTTCTCAAGATCTGCTGCTCTACTGCTACTGTGTGGCCCCTCATCCTTCACGTCTCCTCCCCTTAATGCGACAGCTGCTGTGCATGGTGCTGCCCCGATCATGGCACGCGTATACTCAAACTAGCTGAACCTGCCTCCCACCCCCCACTTCTACCTCACCTCGATCTCCAAATACCCCCAGGCAACCTCGAAGCCGCCCTCATGCTTGACTTAAAGCCTCGCGTCCGTGACGCGGAACCCAATTCCTCCATCTCCGCATCCCCCACGATCCGCCCTACCACAACTACCTCGACTACCTCCACCACTCTAATCACCCCGATCACACCTCGCGCATTCGACTCCCATGCCTCGCTGGTGCTCGTAGGCATTCGCGGCTGTGGTAAGCGCTCACTCGGATTCGTCGCCGCCACAGCCCTGAAACGCCGGTTCATCACCGAAGATCACTACTTCCGCGAGGCGACAGGCGTCACCCGACATGAATACCTCAAACAATATGGCAGCCAGGAGTTTCAGCGCAGAGATATCGAGGTGCTCAAATTGATGCTGGACAATCATAGGACTGGCTGTGTCATTGAGTGCGGACTCGGGAGTCTTACGCGCCCAGTTCAGGACCATCTTCGCCTCTATTCTCAGACAAACCCTGTCGTGCATCTCGTCCGCAATATCGACCGCATACAACAACTCCTCGGGTTAGAAGACCAGTCGGTTCGGCTTCTGCGCGAGGGTGATCCACTTCACCGCACTTGCTCCAATTTCGAGTTCTATAATGTGGAGGACCGGACGCGCGTGGGATCTGACGATGGTACTCCGGACCCACGATCCGCTGCTTACTCGTTTAAGCTGCAGGAAGTCAAAGAAGACTTCACCCGTTTCGTTCGCTTTGTCACGGGCGTCGATGTGAATCATTCGAGCTACGATTCGCCATTTGTCTTGCTAGAGACACCCCCGGAACTTCGGTCCTATACGCATGCCATTTTTATCCGCTCATCCGATCTCATCGCCGATAATGTCAATCTTCCCGAGCTGGAATCGGGAGGCGATGCCATTGAACTCTGCGTCGACCGCTGGGCTTCCGATATGCCGAATGTGATCAGCAAACAGGTTTCGATCTTACGACGCAATGCGCAGGCCCCTGTGATCCTTTCGGTTGACATGTCTCCCACAGGGATTGGCGCGGCAGATGTGCCAGACTCGCAGTACTTTGATATCCTGGAACATGCACTGCGACTAGCTGTCGAATACCTGGTCATCGACCTCGAACAGAACCCGACCCGACTCGCCCAAGTGATCCGGGCCCGAGGAAAGACGAAGATCATTGGCCAGCGGGTGTTTGAGCCATCTTCAAATATCAAGTGGGAGGATGAGGAGTGCGTGCACTCCTACCAAGAAGCAGAAAAGATGGACTGCCAGCTAGTCCGATTCCTGCGTGTCGCAACCTCACGCGAGGACAACGCGACAGTCGTAGAATTCACTAATCGCATTCGGTCAATGCCAGGCGAACATCCTCCCCTCATCGCTTATAATATCGGTCGCCTTGGACGAACATCACAAGTGTTCAATTCAATTCTGACCAGCGTGACTCACCCAGCCATCACCCGACCGGAGGAGAACGAGCGAGATGCGCAGATTACATCGCGAGACGCCGTTCGTGCGCTTTTCCAGAGCTACGTACTGGACCCGTTGCAATTTTGCATTCTGGGCGCAAATGTGACCTATAGTTTATCGCCTGCTATGCATAATGCAGCCATCCAGCATTGTGGAATGAGCCATCAATATAGCATTCCCGACTCCCCATCCCTCGCTATACTGGATCGCCTTCGCAAGGATCCCCAATTTGGAGGGTCGAGTGTTGTTCAGCCTTGGCGAGTCGACACTTACCACAAACTTGCTGCGAAGAGTCGACACGCCGAGGCCATCGGTGCTATCAACACCATCATGCCCTTACGAGGTTCCTCGGACGGAACCATCTACCCGCTTCGAGAGCAAGCCAGCCGACGGAACCAGGCTGGCCCAGTGCTCGGATGGTATGGAGAGAATACGGATTGGGTGGGAATCATGACTTGTATCACCCGGCACCTCTCCCCGCGTAACGCAATTAGTGCCAAAACCACAGGCTTGGTTATCGGTGCGGGTGGTATGGCCCGCTCGGCCATCTATGCTATGCTCCGACTTGGCTGCCGGAAGATCTTCATCTATAACCGAACGCAGTCTCGAGCCGACGAGGTGGCAAGACACTTCAACTCATGGGCTTCATCCCAGGTTGATTCTGCGGATGTGGTGCGAGTCTTGCGTTCCACCCAGGATGACTGGCCAGACGATGCCAACCCACCCAGCCTCATTGCATCTTGTGTGCCGGCTGATCCAGATCGAGATGAGCCCCCGGCGAACTTCGAGATGCCTCTTCAATGGCTGGGAAGTCCGACCGGTGGTGTTGTGCTAGAAGTAAGTCTTGCCTAGGGCCCCAATTCCGAATAGCTATTGTACTAACCCAACCGCCTCCAGTTGGCCTATAAACCACTAGATACCCCTCTCCTCCTCCAAATGCGTCGCATTCGGGCCGATACCGGACGCCCGTGGGTTCTTTCCGATGGACTGGAGAACGTCATCGAACAAGGCATTGCGCAATTCGAATTGATGACTGGTCGGAAAGCGCCTCGTCGACTAATGACTCTCGAGGTGCTCCGCAATTACGAGGGCGATGATGGGCGATTTGATGAACAGACCATTCAAGCTAGACTGGATGGTGTTTGTTCATAGATGGGAGTGGATTGTCTAGCAAATGCATCGAATTTCAAGGTTATGGCTGCTGGGTCGACTGACCGTGTGATGGTGGCCCCTTCCATCCTGTCAATATGGCTACTATAGCTTATTGGCTGTGATTGACTAGCCAGGTGGTATCGGATGTTATACTGGCTTGGCGATGTGTATTTGTTGATATTGTACAGCATAGAAATGAGTGAAATGAATATGTACGTTTGGCAATTTTGACTAGAAAGGAGTCTTCCAACCTTCAAGTTGGAAGGGTTGGATAGAAATTTATTTTGTGTACGACGAATGTCGTTGATATGTAATTGTGTCTAGTATACAGTTCTCCATGCAGATGCTTCCAATCTATGTACGTGCCCGAAAATATGAAAAAAAAATAAGAATTAATACAGGGGAAGGGACTAAGGTCATCTATGAATCCTCGACCTCAACCTCGACCTCGACTTCACGATTGGCAGATTTCACCTTGAATGCCATGTCGCAGGCCGCATTGTAGAATTCGTGATAATTGTGCTCGACAGAACGCTGAAATTCTTCAGCGTCAGCGTGTAGGTTGGCGTCAACCTGTGGAATGTCGACCGCCAAGGCGACCTCTGTCGCGAGGCTAGCGTAGAAAGGACCACTTTCATAGAAACGGTAACTTAATTCCCGGCCATCGAGGTCATAGTATTGAAGGATGGAACCACGGATGTCCTGAAGAGGGGGATACATGTATTCCACCTCGAGATTGTTTTCGAGCAAGATGTTCCAGAAAGAATCACCAAGAACTTCTTTATCGGGGGATAAGAGAAGCCCACGGGGAAGCGAGACCTTGCAGAAGGGGGGGTAGAGTGGCGGATAGCAAGGAACTGGAGGATGTGGAAGAGGAAGCGATATCACGGACTAAGGATTGTTCGATGTCGCGAACCAGCTGCCTGTAATGGGGAGACTCGCTTAGAATCTCCTTTGTGATATCTCGATGGGCAGTGCGGGTGAAACGGAGGTCGATCGCGTTCTCGGGGAGAAGGTAATCCACACTGCTTGTTTCAAGGATGGATTTCAAGCCTGTGATTTCGACGCTGTGGCCAGAGTCTTCACCTTCTGATTCATAGAGAAGATATTCCACCTCAAGTTCGGGGGCGACTCCAACGTATTCCGAGGATGGTTTGAGACGGAGTCTCCCGGTCCCTGATTTCGACTTGGGTTCTGGAAGAGACTCCAAGAAAGACGTCAAGTTGGGTACTTCGGTTGTAAAAATGCGAGTCATGGAAGACCTCCCCAGATCCGAGGCGCTTAAAGTGGTTTCTGCATCTTCGGGCATTTGCTTCGAAGAGAAAAGACATCTACCAACGGCCGCTGTCACGGATTCGTGTATGGTAGCCCCATTCGAGGCTTCTCCCTTTGCCACAGCCGAGTCCTTTCGAAGTAGCTTCAGTAGCTCATCGGAAAGCCGTGTCTGGTGGCCGTCGAAGAATGGCGCTCGCTGTGCCTCGGTTGATGTCGTCTGGGTAGACGAAATAGCCCATCGGAACCAGGATTTGGACCGATCCAACCAGGAAGGGTGCTGGAGAATTTGACTGTAGAGATTTGCCGGCTGTGAGGCGGGCATATATGTGGAGAAGGGAACGGAGGTCTGGCTCGCCTCAGATAATGGATAGTTGAGGGTTCGGCGAGCATTCTCTGCATCCTGAATACTTTCCGAGAGGCAGAGAATTTTGGTGGGAATAGACGAAGAATCTTGCTCGATAGCCACGTTATAGGTTTGAGAAACCCAATCGATGAATGGCCGCGTGAATACCTGAGCCGGGTTGACGGGTGCTTGGACACTGATGCCGGTTTTTTGTTCACGAATACGGGTCACGGCGTCTTCGATGACATCGCGGATCGATTCGCAAGCTTCCCGTTCACCAGTAACTCTGACCAAACCGAGAGAACTAGTCACATCGATCTTGGAAGAGTGGAGTTCGGCCACTTCATCGAAGGAGAAGTGCGTGGAATTGAGCAGCACGGTAATTGAGAGCGGAGGGAGGCGAAGATCCAGCTGGCCAACCTCGCTGACCACCGAGAAATGCCAGCAGTCTCGAAGGATATGTTCTGCGAGAAGGGGCTTGCCCGTTAGTCCCTGAGCCGCGGCCAGTCGTTCGGTGTTGCTGTGCGCGGTTGGACTGGCGTGCCAGAATGAGGAGGTTCCGGGCCTCCATTCATCTTCTCCTTTAACCTCTTCTAAGGCCAATTGTTTGCGAGCGGCGATATAGTCTGACAGTTGGTTGTAGGTGAAGGAAGTAGCGATGTCTGATCGGAGAGTTTCCCAGTCGTGCAATGTCAGCTTGGCAGCTTGGTCGGAGAACTGGCCAAGGTTTTCAATGGTCTTGCGGATATCCTCCTCATCCAGAACCGCAGTCTCCTGGTCCAAATCATCCAGTATTGAGTCGACTGTGGTGGTATTTTGCTTACGAGAATGCGCCGGGCGAGGTTTGCGTGTTCGAAGAAGTGATTTGGGGCGACTGGAGGAGATGACGGTGACACTGCCAGGCTCTCCTAAGGAATCAACCGTCAGCTGGACCTGGCGGGTCTCGAATTTTTGCGCTGGCTCGGGTCTCTTGGAGCGCGGTCGCGACGGTCTCGGTGAACGGTCACCATGGGAGGTGGAGGTGGAGGAGGGGGAGCTCTGGTGACGAATAGAGTGATTTGGGAGTGTTGTAAAGGCAGTAGGCCTTACCCAAAGGCGTTGGGCACACCTAGGATGAGGACGCATGGTGGTGCATCGCAATGGAAAAGATGAAAGTGATGGGAGATAAAGATGGAGATGGAGAAATAAACCTGTGGCCTGAGAAGCCAGGTGTCAGCCAGATGTTTGATGCCTGATCTGTCAGGTGACAAGGCATCCATCACTCTTACCACCTCCACAACCAAAACAACAACTACAACTTCCACTGTCACTCTTCTACTTTAAGAGTATTTACTGCGGACATACTACTGACTATACTGACTCTTATCGGATGTGGTACTTGTCATACTTGTGGTACTTCTTCATCATCCCCTCCGCTTCATTTTCGTGACCAAGACAATTATCTGCAGCCAAGATCATGGCCGCCAACGTGGTCTACGAGTATGCCTCAACTTCAGCTGTTGCCCAAGTGTGATTCAATGATGGAAGCACAGCAGAGTGGACTAGATTATGCGGACCTGGATCGAATTCACCAATGAATGAGGCGAGTACCGCAGTTCAGTTTCAGCCCTACGACGACCTTCTCCACCGCCGATCGGAGCAACTCCCACGGTTAAAAGTCAAAAGACAAAAAGACAAAAGAAACCCGCGGGCTTTTCGGCCGTTCCCGACTTTTCCTCAACTTAAACATTCTACCTTTTCTCCCTTTTCTCTTTCCTCCATTCCTTATCTTCCTCTCTCTCTCTCTCAACCCTCCCGTCGGCCTGGTGCTGCTTCTCTCCTCCCTTCTCCCCCTCCCCTACCCCATCGTCAATGGAGAAAGATTCACAGCCCCCGGTTATGCCCGATCTCGAGGCGAGCCCCTCGCCCGAACCCAAGTCTCCCCGTCAGTCATCGCTCATGCGCCGATGGAAGGAGACCGTGGACCCGGCCAACGCAGACTTAGTCTGTCTGCTGCTATGCTTTTTGACCGGCCTCTGCGATAGCAGTGCCTACAATGCCTGGTCATGTTTCTTGGGCATGCAGACCGGTAGGATTCCCTCTCTCTTCCCGAAAGTTTAACTTATGGTTTCTGTGTCGCATGCTGATCGTCGGTGCTTTTTCTTTTTCTGCTCGCTAGGAAACACCATCTTCCTTGGTCTGGGTGCCTCCAATCAGCCTACCAGCAAGCCCTGGGGCTGGTTGAAATCTCTTATCTCCATTGTCACCTTCTTCGCCGGTGCCATGATCTTCTCCATTATCATGCGCAGTGTTGGTGCCCTCCGTCGCGGCACCCTCGTGGTCTCCTTCCTCGTCCAGGCGATTCTTATTATTATTGCGGTCGCACTTATCGAAGCCGACCTGATCCCTCATAGCTCGGCCGATATGAGTCTGGATGGAGGGCCATTGTTCCTGGAACTGATCCCGATCGGTCTCCTGGCCTTCCAGTCGGCGGGTGCCATGACCTGCAGTCGATCTCTGGGTTACAACGAGATTCCGACCGTGGTTCTGACCAGTGTTTACTTTGATATTGCGTCGGACCCCAAGATCACAGAGAAGCCGACAGGCAATGTGAAACGGAACCGGCGCATTGGTGGAGTGGTGTTCCTCCTGGTGGGCGCGATTGCGGGAGGATGGCTCAGTCGGAGTAGCGGTGGCATGGAATCGGCGCTATGGCTTGCAGCTGGTCTTAAGGTTGTTGTGGCCTTTGGATGGGTGTTTTGGAAGGCGGCACCTCCGAAATAGAAGGGATGGGATATATGAGTATTGAGTATGAGTATAGAGGGCTTCTGCCTGGACTGGTGGGATTAGTGGATTGCTCCACTTGCTAGAGAGATACCAGTGACTGTTGACTCTTGACTCGGTTGATAGACTAGACTAGACATCTGCTAGACGGCATATATAAACTTACACTAATTGATACACTTTTCTTTCTGAACCCTAAAACCCTAAGCCTACGGGTTGAGTCTACTGTTTACTCTACTATTTACTATTTACTATTTACTCTACTCAACAGAGTGTACTCTGACTCTCACGCCAGACACCACCAATTCTACTCCACAGTGGATCACAATGGATCCCCTGGCGGTATCGACCAATGACCCTCGAATTACCCTCACTCTGATTTGTGCATTTCATTGGCAGTTGCTGGCAACATTCAGAGCAACAATGATGCCATCCGCATGCGGTGGAGCTGCCCTTGAGCGGAGGAGTGATGAACGCAGTTGACTTTTCATACTCCTCACTCACTCACTCAATACTCATATACAAACATGTCCATTTACAACTTCAACTCCAACTCCAACTCCAACTACACCCTCAACTCTCCCCAAGTGGAGATGACGGCTGCAGCCGATATCCGGGGAAGAGCCCGACTCAACCGAAAACCTGAACCTGCTGGCCACCCCCGCAACTTCAACTCCAACTCCAACTTCAACCCAGCCATGCGTGATGTCCTGGTACTGGAACACTGCTCTCCACCATGACCGACCCGCTCCAAGTTCAAGTTCCCCATGAGGTGGACCAACCCTCCAGTGCTGTCGTGCACAGCCCACCGTCTTCTCCGCCGTCTTCTCCGCGCACACGCACACGCACACGCACACACTCCTACACCAACGCAGATGCAGATGCAGAAGCAGAAGCAGACGACCGTGAGGCGCTGGAGCTGCATCAAATCCAAACCCACGAGGATGCCGACTTGATCGACTCCTCCCCTTCAGTCTCGTCGGGTGAGGAGATCCGAATCACTACGCGCCGCACACGATCGCGCGCCAGTGTCCAGTCTACTCGTACCCATCGGGGTAAGGACCCGTGGAGTCGGCTGTGTCGATTCTGGACACATCATGTTACTCTCACCGTATCGCAGAAGAGTAATCGCGATCACTTTGGTGAGTCCAGCACAACCCCGCAGAGCTTCGAAATGACCTTCGAAACGAGCTTCGATCGATGCAAGCGGACCCGCTAACGGCTTTCTAGCTCTGGAACGAACATTCCTCGCCTACATCCGCACCTCGGTGGTCATCGCCATGCAAGGGGTTCTGATTGCCCAGCTATTTCGCCTCCAGCGATCCGACCAGAACCAGGACCGACTACGATTCTACCAGGTCGGGATCCCGCTTTCGGTGACCTGTCACTGCGTTGCCATCATCGTGGCCCTGATCGGAGCCTATCGCTTCTGGCGACAACAGAGTGCCATTGCCCGCGGAAAGGTGCATGCGGGCGGCTGGGAATTGAATTCCGTCGGCATCTTGTTATTTCTGGTGAGTAGAGGAGCCATTCGCATCTCCGTTGTTGTGTACTGCCTGGCCACTGCTAATCACAAAAAAATTAGATCATCTTGGTAACGTTGGTGATCAGTGTGGTGATCATCGTAGAAATTGAAACGAGCCCGACGACTCTCCTGAAGCGTCTCCTTCTATTCTGATCGGGACTGCCTGAAATTCTCACTCTAATGCCTGACGACAGCGACAAAATATGATTCCTTGCCATGGTGTACAGTTAGAATAATTCGCAAAGTACAAGAAATGCGATAATCAATTAATTTTTCGAATTATTTCCATGAAATCCGCAGTAGGAAGATCTCCTCGTCGGCCACAGCATTGAAAGACCAGTTGGAAATACACAGAAGCATTTTCAAGATTCATTTATCATATTGATTGATGCCCATTTGACTTCAATTTTAATCTTGAGTCTGCTCTGTACATTTCTTCCTTCCCCCCCTTGATCGCCTTCAGTCTCTCTCTCTCTCTCTCTCTCCACTCCACCAACATCCGCTATCACAAGATGTTTCTAAATATTCGCACCACCATTGCAAGGCAGAATTTGACCTATTCCTCGTTAGTAATCGGATACCCCGACTTCTCTCCCTGCATTCCACATACCGTTGATCCATTCTCCAGCAGGACTAGACAAGAATGCCACAATGCGCCCGATATCCGCCGGGACACCGCATCGCTTCAAGGGGCTGCCACTAGCGAGCGCCGCCTCAATCTCCTCAATCGAGGAGTCCTCGGTGCAGCCAGGGGCATACCGCCACGAATTGCTGAGCCACATGTCGCTCTTCACACCAGCTGGCGCAATCGCATTGACGGTGCATCGCTTCTTACCGAAATCCGCGGCGAAGCACCGCGTGAAGCCCTCGATGGCGCTCTTACTGCCGGCGTAAAGTGAGTGGCCGGGGACTCCCACGCCGGCGGCGATGGAGGACATCAGGACCACGCGTCCGCCGGGCTGGATGTAGTCATAGGCGTACTTGGCGACGAAGAATTGGGCGCGGGTGTTGAGGTCGAAGACGTCGTTGAAGTCGTCAATAGTGGTGTCAGCTAGGGAGACGAACTTCTCCGTTCCCGAATTGGACACGACAATGTCCAATTGGCCGAAGTGAGAGAGGACTTCGCGGAAGAGGTTCTCGATGGCGTCGACTTTCGTCAGGTTGGCTTGAAAGGCTGCGGCATGCACGCCCAGGGCCTTGATCTCGTTGACCATCTTGTCTGCCGCAGCCGTGTTACCGGCATAGTTGATGGCTACGGAGGCACCCTTTTTCGCAAGCTCAAGCGCAATGCCAGATCCAATGCCTCGACTCCCACCGGTGACAAGGGCGACCTTGCCGGCGAGTTCCAGCTGAGCGGTGTTGGGATTGGCGACGACCATGGTTAATGAGAGATGGGTGGCAGAGGGGACGTGACTAGTAGGTGAATAGTATAGAATTCGAAGAGTTGCAAAGACCACAATCTACTGGATAACCTGGAACAGGCCCAGGTGTATATACTCAGACAATGGGAATTGTCGGATTCATACAACTGAAATCAGATACTAGTGATCCGGCCCATGTCGCATTTGACTCCCTCCACTACTAGTACTCATTGGGGATTCAGTCCGCATTGAGACTCACTGAGTGAAAAGGACTGCACTACTGTGAAGCTAATAGAGGCGAACAAGGCTGCTTTCAAGTGCCGTTCGAATCAGCTGACAGGTTCCTTGCCGCATCCGGGAGGCTGTATGATCTGCATCGCGTGTGCAGGTCACATTGTGAGCCCGGTTGCATCCTGCCAATGCTTGGCATACAGAGTCGGATCTGTAATAGAGGGACTAGATCTCGCTCATGCCGCATTTGGGGTAGCAATTTCGGAGCTGGATTCCAGGTTACACGTCGCGATGTAGACTCCATCGCGAGGGTATACCTTCGCGCCAATCTCAACTTCATCAACGTACACTCTGTGATCAGTCTATTGACACATTTCACTATGTCTCCAGCCATGAAAAACCCTGAGCCTAACCTCGACATTAGCTTCCAAGGTGATATCAATTTCTCAGCCGAAGCTGGTCAGTATACTGACCATCCTTAGACTACCTGATCCTATCCAAGCTCGTGTTCGACTGGGCAGATAGCTATGATGCCAAGGTATAATTGAATCAATCTATTGCCTGTCAACCATGAATGTGTCTCTTCTAACCGCAGTCACCAACAGGACTGGGAACGCCTGCGTGGCATCATTGCCCCAACACTGACGGTGGACTATACCGAGGTCGGCCTAAGAAGATGGGATGACATGTCCGCCGAGGAGTATATGGGGATGGTTACGCATCCAGGCTTCCTTGGGGACCCAACCATCAAGACACAGCATCTTCTAGGCCAGACATGGTGGGAGAAGATCTCCGACACTGAGGTGATTGGCCATCATCAGCTGCGTGCCGCGCACCAGGTGTATACCGATGAAACCCTGAAGGAGGTGAAGCTGCGCGGACACGGGCATGCGACCAATGAACACTACTATCGCAAAGTAGATGGCGTTTGGAAATTTGCTGGATTGAAGCCACACGTACGATGGAATGAGCTTCGCTTCGACGAGGTCTTCAGAGGACTTGATTGAACTATACTAGCTCACTTCAACTTGGAGAACTGACCGGAAGTTATCTGAACTATACCTAATATTGAATCTATCTATCCTTTTGCACAAGAGTTAATGGATTTTATTCACGCCGATTCTAAATGACGAGACCATCTTTGATTTCAGCCAATATCGAAGACCAATCCAGGCGCTGAGCGATCTGATCTTCTCTCTCACACATGGCTTCCACAAATCTCCTCGACCATGTATAATGATCACCTCCGACTGTTTCGTAGTCTGCCAGCATTCTCACGGCCCATTCGCGATAGACAGGATCTCTAACTTCGATTGCGGCCATAACGAGCGGCAAGGGCCAGAATTTGGTAGGTGGCGGTGTCACCTTCGAGCCCACTGGTCGTAGTGCTTTGAGTTGTTGTGTTATTCGAATGATATCGCAAGCATGCTGGTCCGCTGCGTGCCTTTGATCGCCTGCAACAAGGCATCTGGAGTAGGAGATTTCAATGCTGTGATAGAGGGCACGTAGAACGAGGTATGTGTACCGATTTCGTCCCTCTTGTCTACTCGAAGCAATGTCTTGGTCAATAGCTTGACAGTATGAATTCAACTTGCTGCGAATATCTTTGGCCATATAGCCAACACGAGGTTTACCCTTAACACTGGTGATAATATGCAGTAGGAAAGAGAGTCGAAGCATAAGTTCGAGAAGGGGGTGCTGCCTTTCGTCCGATTTTCGCTCTTCTTCAGGATAGGTGATGCTGTAAGCATCTTGTAGAGTTGTCGACGATACACGGACTAATTCGACGATTTCCTCTTCACTGCCTATAGCCTGGAGGATGGCGCCTTCGCCTGGTTGAAATGCCGACGCCTTTCCATCAAGAATACAGAACTGTCACAGTCAGCATGTCTAAGAAGAATGACTGAAAATCAAAAGGCAACGTATAGCTGGAGGCACTTACCCAGGACAGTACTCTCGCTTGGACTCCCGTCATCCTCTCCTTGAATTCTGGGCTCTGTAAAAGTGAGGCGATGAACCGAATAGTAATCAAAAGTGGCCCCGAGCGAGCCAAAGCTAGATCCAAGAGGGCGAGAAAAAAACATGCAACGAAGAGAGCATCCCGATCATCATCGGATTGGGAGGAAAGATTGCGTGAATGGCCCACCATATCGCGCCAAGATTTGCAATCTGGAAGAGAGATGCCGTATTTCTTTGATATCAGAGAGATACTATCATCGTAGTGTGAAATTGCATCGTGCAGTGAAGTCGCCTGTCCAACGAAGAAAAGGTTGGCGGATGTCCATGCCAAGATGGCGGACAGTGCGATGGGATGACTTCTGGCGAAGCGATGATAGAAATATGTGTAAAATGTCCAGTCAGGCCGCTTAAACGAAAATCTGCCAGCAAGGGCTCTAGAATAATGTTGTGCTAGGAGATGTGTCGGTATTCCCTCCGTTCGGGGTCGTTTATTGGGTCGTGCTGAGCCACTGTCTGTGAATGAACCCTGCTCGGGTGCTGAGGGTGGAGCTGTCTTTTCAGTATGATCTGATGATCTATCTGGACTTGGAGAGGACAGTTGTGCGTCGGATTGCGGAAGTTCAAAAGGGAAATTCCAAATTTGATCATCTAGGCCTGGTAATTCGGGTAGCTCGTCATCCCACGACGAAAGGAAATCCGCGAATAGGCTCTCGTCTAGGGAAAGAAGCGCAGATGGGGTCTGTGTTTGGTCCCAGTGAGGTATATTGGAGATATTCCCAGACCTTCCGTGCTGGTTAGATTATATAACGCGGACATGCAAGGGTTGGCTGTGTGACATGACATACCTTTGGGACGGTGCAAGGCTCTGTCGGGGAGATTTGGTAGCGGGAATAGGACGCTGGAAATTTTCCAGCTCCCTGGATTCTCCGCAGCTTCCGGGATTCACATGTTGGAACTGTAGAACACTGGGGGGTGCATCGTAAGCACATCGCAGATGAGATGCTTTGCATGTTGAGCAGCGGGGTCTTTTATCGTCACATTCTTTCCTACGTCTCACACAGGCCAGACATGTCATTTCTGATAATCTTGCCTTTGAGTGCGAGAGAACAACGTATAGGAGAAAGTCCGGTCTGGTACCGGGTACGGGGATCTTATTGAAGACTCGGAAGAAGCATCTCGCCTGGACCATTGGAAGTGGGGACCTGGTATGACTTATACTCTCCTCATTTAACTCGGTCTCGCCTTTTCTCGGCAGGTGGGGATCGCTAAGCCAATCACCCAGGGTCATCAAAAAGACTAGAACTGTTGGGTAGGATATCTGACCATCGGCAAAATCCTATACTACTATGCTATTTAACTACAAATTATCGTAGTCCCTCATAGAGCGTATCTAAAATTTGGATTTTCCATGTCCGTCAAATCCATATTGTATCCACTGCCCGATGAAGCCACAAAATGAACAGCCTGCGCGTCTCGGAGTTTGTTCTCTTTCGAATATAGGAATCTGCCAACAATTAATATGAGCTTTTCAAAGAAAGGAGTCATCGGAACTCTGACCGGAGGGCTAGAGGAGCGATGAATAGAACACCGAAAGACACAACCATGGCGATAATGGCGGTAGGGTATCCTTCTTTCTCTTCCTCAGCACGAAAGCACTGCGGTGCGATAATGTTGCCCACACAGTATCTATCATTGTTAGTAAAAGGAAATGCGAGTTTCAAGTACACAAAAGTGCTCACCCTAAAAAGAGGAGAAAGGTAACGGTGGTTTTCTTAGAGTACCCAGCAACATTTCCACCGATAACGGAAAATGAAACTGCGAGACTTGCGGAGTTGGTGTAAATGATCCAAACCGAGGCAACCCTCCCCCCATTTATCGACACTTGGCAAAGAGTAGACCAAGGCAGTTCCTATTATAGACGGAATGACACAAAATGACATGGATAAAAGGCGCGCGTTTGTGACTTTAGTTGAAACGACACCACTGCATGAAACATTGTCAGTAGTTAAATCATGTGGTCACAAGTGTCCCGTAACAGTCAAACTGACGCGATTAAAATTGATACGATCTGAACTATGTGTGACGGAATGCCGATCAGTTGAGTCTGCACAGCTGTAAACCCAAACCCCTGGAGGAGAATACTGCTGAACTGTGCCGCCAATGTCGTCAGTGTATGAAAAGACTTCAAGGACACATGAAATACACACATTTGACAGTGATCCAGCTGGAATGGTATTGAAAATCCCAATGATAAAAAATATGTATGTCTTGAGGTCTGAAAAAGCTTCCTTGACCTGGGACCACTTCCATTTTAACTGAACGGAGTGTCCGATGGAATGGGACTATGATAGTATGTTAGTCCAGGACATGTATTGGGGGAGCAGGTCTTACACTTAGAATTGACATCACCCGATCCTCCTCAGACAAGAATGATGCCTTTTCGGGGGATGCTGGAAAGGCGTATGCGAAGAAAATACCCCAAAGTGCGGTCACGGAGCCAAACACAATGTACAGCAAGCGCCACGAAGCCACTTCAGTATGGGTATTCCCAAGGGCATAACCTAACAAACCTCCAAATATCCCGAAGACTGGAGTGCCGAGAAACCAAAGTACTTGCCTGATCGGTTGCTCCTTCGGAGTATACCAGTGCGCTGGGGGTGTGAGTACGGGATGGATGTACACTGCCGAGAGAAACATACCTGTGATGACGACAAAGCATGGGGCAACGACAGATTCCAGTGCCCCCAAGACAAATCGATTTATCATAAGACCAGTAAAGCTGACGCAAAAGTTGGTCATGACCACGCATATCCCCCAGGCGAATATGAAGAAGCCGAGATATATGGAAGTGGAGAAAGATTGAAGGAGGCCAGCGAGCGGATACTCAAACACCATATACCCGAAATAGAAGATTGAGCCTACCCAGCTGTATTCCTGTCCTTGTAGATGCTACTCATTGTCAGGGTGGCGAATCTAGAAGAAAAACGAGGGACTAACAGTATCATTTCGAAAGGTGAACACAGCGGCGTATCCGAGCAACGCTTTGTCAAGGAATTGTAAACCATAGGTAATAAGCATCTGTTGGGTAATGCCATGAGTGAGATGATAACAAGAGATGATCGTGGGGATGTTAATCAGCTCACCAGAGGTACAATGCGCATGTCCAATTTCCGCAAAATGCGAGATCTGTGCAACGCAACTTGCTCATCGGATGGATCCATGGCCAGAGACTCCAGCTGGGACACAGATCCTTGTGGGACGAGGGAGGATTTCTGGACATCTTGCTCGATGGCTGGCATTTTTGCGAAAGTCACCTAACAGGATAGATATGTCGTTTTTCACCTGGGTTTCTACAGTTGGCGAGGGAAATGCTAGACTCAAGCCTTTTTATGTTAGAAGACCGAGAAATGGAGAGGATGAAGGGAAGAAATAAATTCTCAGCCCGACTGCCTTTCCCTTTCCATTGAAGACTGGGTTTAACCCCCGTGGAGAGGGGGGTTGATAGCGGCGAGCAAAATCTGGGGAAGAATTTCGCCAAATCGTCCATTTCAGGCCGAATGGGCGATCGCTAATATCGCCCAAAGGGGACATTTCCGCGACGGGCTGAGCGCCCAAGAGGTGAAGGAATCGACAATTCCCTTTAAACTGGAATGTGAACGGGAGAGTCAAAAGGAAAGAAATGCAAATTCAGACTGCTCAAAAAAAAAAGAGAAAAACTTGAACATGTCTCCCTTGTTTATTGAATCAAACATGACCAGCCATGGCACCCGGGCACAGAAAGGACCAACTGACATATCGACAATTCAATCCCTTGACACCGAAGAGTTCGCACCAGGAAAGTTTGAGAAGCGTTGGCTCAACATATCTGTCTCTGCACTCGGACCAGTCAATGTTCCTGTTTTCGCATATCGCGGTTCTGCTCCTGGCCCGACCGTGGGAATCATTGGCGCCATTCATGGCAACGAGGTGAATGGGATCCCAGTAATTCAACAGATATTTGCCCGTCTTGAGGAAAGGTTACGAAGCGAAGGCGCAGTGAGGACAATAAAAGGCACTCTTATCGGAATTCCCGTACTCAATGTACCGGGTTTCTTGGATTCCGTTCGCTCGTTTGATGGTCATGACCTCAATCGACTCATGCCCGGGTATAGCCCTCACCGGTCTTCAACTTCAACTTTTAACTGACTTAATATCATCAAGCAAATCCAATGGAGCTGCCCCGCAGCAATATGCTTACCGCGTCTTCCACGAGATTGTCATGAAGTTGGACTACGTATTCGATCTTCACACGGCATCCGTCGGTCGACAGAACTCGCTGTATGTTCGCGCTGATATGAACGATGATAATATCAACAAAATGGCAACCGATCTCAGTCCTCAAATAATCGTGCACAACTCGAGTCCAGGTGGTTCACTCCGTGGATGTGCCCAGCAGAATGGCATTAAAGCACTGACAATTGAGGTATGTTATGGATATCTGCTTACTCCAACAATGTATCTAATAACAATGATTCAGATTGGAAATCCGAGCACTTTCCAGCATGATCTTATCATGAGAACTGTCGACGGCATTTGCAATACTCTGACGGTTCGATTGGGATATCCGCTTTTGTCCGATCATGCCACCCGGGTGCAGCAAGAGAGTCCAGTCATTTGCTGCCGAAGCGTAAGCGCAAAAGTCCGTTCCGCTGAATGTGAATTTTTCTAATTGGGCTCGTGCAGTATTGGCTATTTTCGCAAACCGCAGGGATACTTCAAGGCAAGTGGGGAGATATGTAGCTGGGATATTTTAATATTTACTAACAGCGAGGCTAGTATACAAGAAGGTAGCCGAGACTGTAAGAAGAGGGCAAGTTATAGCAGAGATACACTCTGTATTTGGGGACTTACTCCAGCGTATTGTCGCTCCTGATGAGCATGACACAGTGATTGTCGGCCTGGAGTCCAACCCTGTCGCTAAATTGGGCAACCGAATTGTGAGTTTCTGTTGGCTCTCCTTGTTGTATCCATTGACCATATAATCATGATTGTTCCTTAGGTCCACCTTGGTGTCATCGGGAATGGCTTTCTGGACGGGGTGAACGATGGTCATCTCTAATCCTGTCGACGAGATGAAAACAGCAAGTTTAAATAGACTACTTAATCAATCAATGGTTCATAGAGCTGTTTTGAACTTTAGGGACATTTATTCAAAAGAAAATTCTAGGAAATTCTAAAGTCTATGCAATTATATCTATTTTCGTGGTCGCTCATCACTCAACTCCAGAAAGCCTTTTGAAGGGCATCGCACATCAGGGTGATGCATCGCTTACCCTCCGACAAAGCACCATCCATAGCCAGGAAAGGATGCGGCATGCCCTTCATGACCTGCAAATCAACCTCGACGCCGGCTTGCCGCAGTTTCTCGGCATATTGCTCTCCCTCAGTCCGCAACACATCCAGCTCACCCACCATGACCAAGGCTGGCGGGCATTGCGCGTATCCATCGGCATAGAAGAGCGGGCTGGCCTCCGGGTCGGTGCGATCGGCGTGGTTGGGTAGATAGTGATCGCGATACCAGATCATCTTGGGAGCAGGCAAGGCTGGGGTGTGCTCGTAGCGACGATAGGACTCGTTGTTCTTGACGGTGGCGGTGTTATCAGTCACCGGGACGGAGAGCAGCTGAGCCTTAAAAAGAACGGGCGGCGAGAGCGTCAAAGCCTTGTGAGTCATGATGGCTGCAAGGTTTCCACCAGCTGAGGAACCACCCGTCGCAAGTTTGGACTTGTCAATGCCAATGGTTGCAGGGCCCTCCTGGACCAGCCACAGTAGGGCTTCCCAGCAGTCGTGGACCGCGGCCGGCCAACGGTTTTCCGGGGCGAGACTGTCGAAGGACAAGCAGTGTTAGATCCCGAATTGCGCATTGGGAGGTAAAGAGATTAATTGCAGGGATAGGAGTGGCCGAACTCACCGGTAATCAACGGTCACAACGACACAGTTGCTGCGAACGCAGAGGTTGGAGCAGACAACGTTCTCAGTGTCGATATTTCCCAGCACCCAGCCACCACCGTGGAAGTAGAGCATCACCGGCCACCCGCCAACGGGGGCATCGCCTTTCGGGGTAAAGACGCGGATGGGCACCGAGGGACCCTCGGTTGCTCGGCGTCTCACAGAGATATCCTTGGTAGAACCAACTTCCAGCATGGGACCAGCGCCAGGGATCAGGACACCGCCAGTGCGCGATGAGGCCACGGGCTGCAAATGAACCTGCTGGTTGTTGATGACATGTTCGTTGTAGAAGGCGACATACTCCGGGTCCAATAGATCCTTGACGGAATCGTGAAGAGGATAGGGAGGTTGCGGGCCGGCCATGTTGGATGGAATTCTGAAGGTTCTGAAGGGATATAGATAGAGGAAGCCCTTCCGAGGAAGATACAAAGTGAACTTGAATGAAATGGATGGATTTGAAGACGAAGATGAAATCCGGGGGAAGGTGATGGAGTCATAAATGCCCCGTTGAATTCTACCCCCACGCGACCGCGGGATGCGGGGAGTGCCAAACGAAGAGGGGCACCGATTTGGATGATTCCAATAATTCCAGGGTCATTTGGAGGGGTCCACCGTACCAGAAGCCCATAACCCACCACAACTGGTTCAGGAAAGAAGAGGAAGAAGAGTCCGAGAGCCTCCGAGTGGGAAGCGATCGGCGGATGCAACACGCCCCTGCGACTCTACGCCATTTGGGCTCCATAAAACACTCGGCGATGCTCCGAGTGGAACTGATACGAAGTAGATTAGGGGAAAGTGATGTAGAGAGGAAGATACCATAGGTAATTTACGCAATAAAGCAACTTGAACACTGCCGAATGGATATGCACTGATGGGCACGACACCAAAATTGAAACTTCATCTGTTCACTTACTACCCTATAGAATATACAGTAGTAGTAGTATAAATAGTAGACTTAACCTTGGAGTACAACCACAATTATAACTAGTATATCCTACTAACTAGTATTGAGCCTACGATTAGGTGTAATGAATTCTTTGGTGTGGCCAACGAAAATTGGAATGGTGTATGTTCAGTGAGCCCTGTCTACATAGCCAGACTGATGTCTTATCTTCCTCCCCCTTGCCTCGCGTCTTCATCTAGCGGTGAGATCGGAGGATCGGTCGATTTGCACAGTCATTGGAAGCTTACATGCTTTTCCTTACAGATTGTTGCGGTCAGCAAAGCTTGCTATTTTATGAATACAAAGCAACCCCTTTGTGTCAAAACCAACGCATCCAAATCCAACGGATTTATTCATGTTCCATGATTGAGTCATTATTATTTACTATAAGTCACTGAATTGCGATATACTATTTGAACTAGCCATACACCGCCAGTACTAGTAGTACACTATGCAGCTGCACGACCTCTCATCTCGTACGGCAATGCCAGGAACACAATCCCTGCGACAACGAACAGCGCTGCAGAAATCCAGATCGACATGCTAGTTTCAACGTATGGCCTGCTTGCGCTGCCTTGGTGCCATTGTGATGCCACTCTAGATCCTTCTCATCTCAATTGGGGTGAGAGACTTGTACCGTACTCGGCTGATCATCTCCAGGGAGATTCTGAGTAGCCATTGAAGGGTCTGGTGTGTGTTTGCTGACTGACAGGATAATCCGCAACGCTAAAGGCCCGGGGCTGTGAAAAGCCTTGGAATTCCAGATCCAGATCCTCCAATTTATGGGCTAGGCAAGGGAGCCCACCTAGATGTATATACTACTACCTACGGAATCGCCGGTTATCGATTTTTACTTCAAAGCCCGCGCTGGGTCCAAACCCGGGGCACAGAGAATACACGATGAGGGGGAAATTCGGATTCGAGAGCGACCCTTGTCGGACTGTGTATCATCTCTACAATCCCCCCTCATCTTCCAAGCTTCACCAAGAGATTTGTGGAAAGTGTGAAAATCTGGGGGTTGGATTTGGATTTTCTTTCGCTCAGGCCTCGGCGGATCGAAGGGTTTGTTTTGAGAAAAGTGACGCGGGAGGACCCGACCAAGCGCCTGGGACGAATTTTAGAAACAGGGTAATAGAAGGAATATAGTACATTTTGAATTGTCTTGTGGCATGGCTGTGTGTAGCACTAGTTTCTATGGTTTAAATCTTGACACTGGTAGAGCCCATGAAACCATTCGTATCTCTGCTGCGGCGGGTTATTCCCAAGAGCCGAGATCCTGCCGAGATCCTTTACATTGGGATTGCAGATGTTCGTGTGCTGAATAATTACTTGCTATACCAAATAATGGCTCGCAAACATCCAGGATAGTGGGTCTGAAAGGACTTAATATGCTGCTTCCATGTTGATCACAATTGTCGGCACTTCGAATATCAAAAGTCAGGTGAGATACCCCCCAGGCCCCGCAGTTGGGCGGTTCAAGGTTTCGATTCTTGAGTCTAGAGCGACCTGTTCGGCGGTAAGAATATACATTTTGGGTCAAGATCAACGCAAGGCGATGTTGGGGTATCAAGCTGGAAGCTTGAATTCAATCGCTCGCTGGACACTCCAAATCAAGATGATTTGAATGAGGTCTATTTGTCTCCATTTGTTGGACGCGGTTTAAATGGCCATTTTGAGGAATTCGGTGCGGAGTATAGATGCTTTTTAGTGAGTGTGCAAAAGCAGGTATAAATTTGTCAAGTACCTACTTCTCTGGATTATCTTTTCAAATAGTATCATTCTCAACCAGCTAGGCACCCTCAAGCCGACTGTCTAATCATGGCCCCATCATTATGTACCGACGACGTGACCGGGACTGGCAAAAGTGGATCAGTCAAGTTCAATGCTAAGCAGCATCTTGCCTACTCACCACCTTCAAATATCCTCAAAATGAAGGATCTTGGGAAAAGTCCTACTGTTCTTTCCCCGGTGGCCTCTACTGAGCCTTTCCCCTTGCTGTCTCATGACGCCATTCTCCAGCATCGCAGTGAGATTTTTAGTGGTGATGTTCTGGACAACTGCATGCATCATACCCGACCTGGATCAGTTCAGATTCGGGGAATGGCTCCTCGTTATGCGTCCTTCATCCATGAGTTTTGGCACTCCCCCGAGGTATTGAAGATTATCAGTGAAAATGCCGGGGTTGACCTTATTCCTGCGATGGATTACGAGATCAGCCACACCAATGTCCAGTTAGGACCTGGTGGCCTAGATGCTGTGCGCAAGACACCTCTGGAGCCACCCGCGGCAACCGAAGAGGCTATTTCCGAATTCGAAAAGCACAAACCCCGGACTCGAGCTATCACTGACCAGACTAGGCCAATTATTGAGTGGCATCGTGACTCCCACCCTTTTGTATGTGTTGTGATGCTGTCAGACGCCCAGCACATGGCTGGAGGAGAAACAGAGCTGAAGAAAGCCGACGGGTCGACTCTGAAAGTCAAATCCCCTCAAATGGTTCGTTCAATGTTTCCTGTCGAGCCTTGTTCCCTAATTATTAACAGAGATAGGGTTGTGCTGTCATCCTGCAGGGTCGTTATATCACACATACTGCCGCTCCAGCCGCGAATATGCCGGAGCGCGTCACAATCGTTACATCTTTCCGTCCAAGGGACCCTACCCTCTTGGACGAGACTACCAATTCCAATGTTAGGAATAAATCCCACTTGACGGAGCTTTACTTCCAGTGGACGACCTATCGCCTGGATGTACTCGCTCAGAGAGCACAAATTGCGGCGACGGAATTGCGAGACATGTATGAGAAGAATGTGAATGCGTCCGATCCAGAAGGTAAAAATGGGCTATGTCGAGTTGAGACAGTGGAGGTTAAGGCTATTGAGGCTTGGGTAGAGGATCAGATGAAGTACATGAAGGAGACACTGCATGAAATGCGACCCTTAGGTCAATAGGTGTCTTCGTTGGGATCGTTTGTAGTGTGATATTGCAAGCCTAGTCATACTTATCCGAAGAGGAATACATCATCGTCATAGCCATCATTGCTAGGAAAGTTTCCATTAAGTGAACTTGGTAGAGCAGACCGATTCCATCCCTTGATAATGACCTCTCGTACACGTTCGAAGTGTTTCATTTGGAAACGCTGTTCCAAGGCCCTTAGTCGGCCGATAATGTACTCTCTCTCGGAGCCTTTCGCAACGGTAAGCTCGGGACCAATGATGCCGATTGGCCAGAGTAGAGCATTCTCAAACTGTGACCCATCTGGTAACTGGGAAATTAGGGATGTAGCATGGCAGGCTAGATCCACCATCTTCAATCCACACTTTGACAAAGATTGATGCCCTTGCCGGCGACGCAGGCATTGTCTTAGATACACCTTTGCCGTATCCCGGTAAAGCGACTTTATGATGGAATAGCTTTCCAGGTCTGTCCTGTTGGTTCTTTGATCGATATCCGGACTCTGAATGTTTTTGGCAGAGGGTGCCGGATTTGATGAAAGGCGAACGCCTAGCAAAGAAAAACTAGGAAGCCAATCAAGTCGGCCATCCCATGCATCGATGCACGCATCGGAGACTGTCTCTGACCCGGCACTGATTTGAGCTACCAGATAGGGATAATAGAAACGACCGTAATTGGTCGAATCATCATTCCATTGCACAGGTGGGGCTTGGATCATGCCTTCGACAAAAGGAATATTAGACATGAGTTTAGCGCTTTTCGCTGATCGTAGGTAAAAGGTTGATAGGGTGGATTTCCTTTGCGCTGTGGAGTGTAATAGATCGTTGTATAAGAACAGGTGGTGAATAAACTCAAAGGCTTGTCGTTGCTGATCCCCACGCTGCATCAAATCGAGGATTCTACAATTGCCAGGGATCTCCAGCCGGTCGAAAAGCCCGGCCATAAAGGCCAAATGTGGCATCCAATTAGCTTTACCATCCCCTACAAGCTTCTCATAGAGCAGGAGGCAGATACAGCATGCCAATATTAGGAGGATATTGTAGCTATTTGACTCATCTGTTGATGATTCGCCTGGACTCGAGTTATTCGGATCCATCAGTGACGCCGAACAGCTTAACAAGTTTCTACAACCTTCTAAAGCACGGTGGCGCGCCCGAAGTGTAGCCTTGGCGATGTTTGTGTCATGGTGGGCCTCAAATTGCGCTCCACTCAAAGCCAGAACCGCACTCATTACAGCATGATGCTGTGTTGCAAGGGGAGGAGAATAGAGAGAAAAGGATTGGTCGGACCGGAGAATGTCGGATAGATACGAGAAAATCGCTGGACGTAATGTTCCAATAGAAAATATTCGTGGGTGGTCAGCCTCTCCAACGTGGGAAGGCGAATCTGAGTGATGAGCGCCGTGCGCGCATGGGTGTCTGATATTGGAGAGAAATTGCTGTCGACTTCATCTAGATCGGAAGCTGCATCATCCGATTTCAGCCTTTTATTTGGGACGATGCATTCTGATCTTGATGCTGGGGTTGTGCTCGGAGATATTTTCCGTGGGCCTCGTCGCTGCATTCCTTTCCTCCTTGCATCATCCTCCCAGACGAGTTTCGTGCCTCGGTCGCAGACTAGTCCCAATCTGACACAGCTTTTGCATGGGAAGCTTTCATCATCACACCTTTTTTTACTTGGAGATAAATGAATTAGTGCCGGGGATGATAACCCTTAACAGGGTTGGACATGAGCATACCGATTGCGACAAGTCCAGCATCCCGACCTGCTGCGTTTTCCCTGTTGTCGATCTTCCATCGGTAGTCCGGGTAGTTTGAAACGGACGAAGTGACAGAGGAAGATGGATTCCCGCAGCAGTACTCCATAGTAATATTCGTCAAGCTAGTACCCTGAGTCCTCCAGGGGACATTTCCAAGGCTAGCACCGGCACAAAGCCGGCAAAGTGGAGAGGCGGAGGCGATCTGTGCAGCGATAAGCCGGCGGCCAATGTAACAAAAAAGGCTTGGAAATCCGGAGCTACATTATAGCCCTGAAGACTGCCCAGGCGTCAATAGTCTAGGCCACTGAAATACGAGGATAACTGGGGCCGTCGGCACTGGAGGATGCTCTGAGTTGGGACTCGGAGTGGTCATATCTCCGCAGTTTAATTCTTGAGCACTTGATGGAATTTCCATACTATTTACTCCAAGTCCCGCGTGGAATACTACATAGTACTAGCCACCTGGGCAAGGCGTAGTTACTACTTTCCAACTTGAAGGTTTCAAGTGGTTCAAGTCATGATTGCCCAAATATATAACTAACAACCTCCTCCACCTCCTCCGCCCCCCACCCCCACAACACCCATCGTGTAAACATTATCTTGACCGGCACGCACCGATCGGGTAGTTTGGCGTCGTTGTTGTTCTCGGACGGCCAGTCCTGTCAGCAGAGACACTTGCTCAAAATATTCGCCATAAGAACCGTATATATCTAAGAGGCCAGGGACGAAGGCGAAGCCATCGCGGGAAAAGACGGCCATGACTTCTTGGCTCTCCTCGTCGAGAAGTTTGATATTTCCATGAGGTGTGCGGTGGTTTCCTAGCGACCGTGTCTTTTTCCAAGCCAAACTCCTTTTTTCACCGTGGATATGGACGTCGAAGGTATAGAACGATGACACCAACCCCTTCTTCACGAGGTTGATCTCATTGTCATCGTTCTCCAGTCTCACATTGCAGTTCGATGAAAAGCGCCGGAATTGAGTCGTGCCGAGAACAGGCCCATCGAAATCGGTGCGATGAAGTGTCAGATCCGGCTTTTTAGGGGCATGCGGGGAGTTTTCGATGAACAATCGATGCTTGGAGCCCTCGGCATCAAGGCTCACTGCAGTGTAATGAGGGCCCCATGATTCCGCGATGACGAATTGGCGAGTCGACATGTGTATTGCGTTTAAGTCGTTCGGGTGTGCATATTATCTTGTGATTGAATAATCGGAAGACGATCCTCTCGTTTTATCTGCCGATCAAGAATGTGACGTAGGCTTGTTAGCCCCCACGGCCGACTCCGGTTCGGTGAACACCATCGCCACTGATCGCCGCCCATTAAAGGCCCCCAAAATATGGCTTAGGAATGTAATTAATCGGCCGGAGCCCTAGACGTTCTAATTAGGAAACATCATCTATAACCTCGGAAGAGTCAAATGATGATACTTTTGCGCTTGTTAGTACTAGTACTGTACCCAATGAGTAGTACTAGTAATATGTTCAAATTTTAGGCATACCACATGGGCAACTAATAGTACTAGTACTAGTATTATTACCAAGTAGTTAGTTACTATTGGCGAGTGTGACCTGCCAGTAAATGGTTATATAGTTACCAATATTCAGGCCAAACTTGAAGGACTTCCAACTTGAAGGTTAGAGACTGGAAGGGCATTATCCCAACCCTGGTTGAGGTGTTCTGAGCCCTAAACTACTCGAAAGCAGATGTCAACAGCGGCCATCTACGATGCGTCTCTCGTTGATATTGGTACTCAGCAGCCTGGCCGTAGCGTTAGAGCTTGCTGAAAGCTCATGCTCGACAACAGTCTTGGTGACTGAAACAACGACTTCGACCGAAGTAGCCACAGCTACAGCTCTACCCTTTGGTAAATCTATCCCGTCTCGGTCTGGGTCTGGGTCTGTGAGAAGGGGTTTGTTACTTACTCCATCTTTGTTTAGGTTCTGCAGCGGTTACTGTTGCAACAGATGACGCCGGCAAGTTTACAGATATTGGAAAAGCCATCTCTTATGCCCAGAAGCATGCGATCCCCACAGTCACCGTGTTGGCTGGCACCTACCCAGCGATCACCGTCTCCGCTACACCGTCTGTTGCTGTCATCGGTCAACCCAAAAGTCAGAATGATTACTCCCAGAACAAGGTGACAATCGCAGATGACAATTCCGCACTCATAATAACGGCAAGCATCGATGGAATCGAATTCAAGAATATCGACTTCGTCAACACTGGCTCAGGAAAAGCAGCAATTATCGCCGGGGCCAAGAATGTTTTGTACAATTGCCAGTTCATCTCACCTGGTGGGACTGGAATTTCAACCAATTGATGGAATAGCAACTCTATACGTCTTTAATACAGCAATCATTCTGCTCAAGTACGGAGGTCGAGTTGCAGACACCAAAGGGAGTACATCAAGCGGAACTCTTCTCAACTCCACAACTGTCTTAGATCGATGCATTGTATCCGAACAGTCCGGTGGTTCTGACGATCATATTTACCTTGTCGCCGCAAAGGGTCCCGGTTCGGTCGTTGTGTTTCGTAGCTCCGGCCTCGAAAGCTCGATCGCTGGGTCGGGGGTCCACATTGATGACACAACCCAGGACGATAGAAACCTACATGCCGAGTATAGCAATACTGGTCCTGGTGCATATGCGAACAATATAGACAAACGTTCGGAGTTTGTGAGCCTACTATCATCCGCAGACCTTGCTCCCTTCACAATTTCTGCGGTTCTCGCTGATGCGGATCCAAAGGTGGCAATATCGGACTCTGCTGTTCTATCTGCCATGGAAAGCGCGGACGTGGTAGCTCCACCGACCACATCTTCCACCAACCCTGGTGGCGGGACCTCCTCCGATGGAAGTGGTGATGGAGATAGCGGAGACGGGGGTTCGGCTGGTGGGAAAGGTTCTGGATCTTCTAACAATAGTTCTGGAGATGGAAACGGGAATGGTGATGATTCTTCAAGCTCTGGCTCGTCAGATTCCGAAGATGGATCCTCTGGCTCTGAAGATGGCAGTGGAGATGGCAATGGATCCTCTGGTGGTGATGGGGGAGATGATAGCTCATCTGGTTCGGGAGATGGCAATGGCTCTAGCTCTGGAGATGGCAGCTCATCCGCCTCAAACACTGACACTGGATCATCCGGGGATGGCAGTGGGAGTGGAAGTGGAAGTGACAGCGACGATGGCAGTGGCGGCTCCGCGACGGGCAACGCCCAACCATCAACAACTTTGGTCGTCTCAACCTCCCACTCCTCCGGTCAGTTTAACAACGTCACTGCTGCTCTTTCTGCCCTACCGGACAATGGGGACTGTACTATCCTCATTCAAGCGGGTGATTATGAGGAGCAAATTTCTATCACCCGATCCGGGCAGACTACCCTGCGGGGAGAAACCCACTTCCCCCCAACGACTACACGCAGAACAAAGTCACCATAAAAGTCTCAAGCAACCCATCTAGTCCGGACACAGATGGAGACTCGGCCGTCATAAAAGTCGAAATATCGGCAGCAAGGGGCTTCGTGGCTTTGTACAACATTGATTTTTCCAATACTGCCTCTCCATTGGCCGTGAAAGATGCCCTCGCCGCTGATTTCCATGGACGAGTAGCTGCTTATGGCTGTTCATTCATCAGCCATCAACATACTTTTCTTGCCAATCAAGGTATCCAAGTGTTGTCCAATTGTTATATCGAAAGCTCCGCCGACTTTATATGGGGGTTCTCGGCCGCCTTCATTCACCAGTCATCTATCGTCGTAAACGCACCTGGTGGCTCCATTGCGGCACAAGGGGGAGGTTCAGACAGTGCAAATGGAGGGTTTGTCGTGGATACCTCTAGGGTCCTCGAGACGAGCTCCGGCGTGCGATAATCCTCGTTCCTACGACAACAACAACATTGGAACAACCTACCTCGGGAGACCTTATTCAGTGTACAGTCGTGTGGTCTACATGAATTCGTTCTTGGTATTAACCCCGGTGGATGGATAATTTGGTCACAGTGCGGCCATCGGACCAGCCATGTTCTCTCCAATTGCTGAAGAATGCAATAGTCGCACCCAGATAAACGGACCCGGCAAAGATATTTGTTAGCATACCACGCACAGACTTTGGGGCAATTTCGGCGATGTACATAGGCCCGACAACGGTAGTCATGCCAATTCCCAGGCCTGCAATGAATCTACCCCCGAGTACCTGGCCAAGATTACCGTGGCTGGCTACAACAATGATGAAGCCGACAAGCCACAGAACGCTCAGAATGCGAAGAGTTTGTACACGACCGAGTTTGTCACAAATAAGGAAGGTAAGGAAAGGACCAACTATGCTGCCAAGTTGCACCATCCTCGTGATGTTTGACAGAGTACTGGCTTGATGGTTTTGAGATCCATTCTTGAGATGAAACTCATCCTTGAAGCTTTGTAAACTGACCATCTCGCCAACAAGTCCTTCGTCAAGACCACGACTGGCACCAAGAAAACCTATTTGCCTTGGTAAGAAAGTTTGCTCCAACGAGGAAGGCGGTGCATGCCATACCGAAAACAGCAGCACTTCAGAAAAGCCTGCGGTTCAAAGCCCGATGAGGCGTCTCTTGGAACCCTTGCGGCTTCCATGTTCTAAGCGCCATCACAATCACTGAAGTATTCATATTTCCAGAAAAGGATGATTCTCGTATAACTATAAGACCAGGAGAAGAAGAAGCTTCCCGGGGAGTACGAAGGGAGCCTTTCACCTGTTGTAATACCCTCCATGGTTCATGGGAACTATTTTATCAAGAGCCACCATTTCCCGTGGTCATTGATGGGGGGAACTCAGGGAAATGTTCAAGTCGGGCTTTATACACCTGGGGTAACCACAATGAGGGGAAATCTAATGTCCCGCACATTAGTGTCGCTTAAAAGCAACCCAAGGCATGACTTCGGTCAACTTCCGGATCCTGGGTTTAGCCTCGAGGCCCTCACTTGGGCAGCTGGACGACTTTCAAAAGTCAAGCACCTAGGTAGTATCCGACGAAGATGAAAGACATATCGGAACTTGAACTCGCCATTGCATATTTCAGATTGGGGTACCGAATAATGAAGTATTATAATTCCGAGTCAGCGGTTGGAATTAGGTCAGTTGTATCATGTCATTTGATCTACTATCCTTCATGGGACTACATTTTGAACTTGAATGGGACGAACTTGGAATAAACAAATCATAAGACCTCACTAGTCCCGGTCTGCTTCATTTGAAATGCAACTAAACACTAGTCTGATATGAGAATAATAAGATTGAACGCAATATGATTTGAAAGGTTTGCCATACCTGGTGTTAATAGAACTGCATTTGAGACTCCGAGATGATATCCTGGGCCAAACGCGGGCAATGCTGCCAGGAGCCATGGTACTATGAGACTAATTAATAAAGACCAGATAAACAATCGGTAAATTAGAAATGGGGCGATTGAAGGGGGGGAATCCGCTGAGTAGCCGGATATGCTATTTGAACAGATGAAACTTCCGGCCTGGGGCTGCCGTTTGTCTATCACAATGGCCGGATCTGCATAGTAGTCCGAGTCTTCGTGTTAAAAGAAATATCTCTTGAATCTCCAGAACTCATACCGTAGCGAGAAAAACTATCTATTCAGCTGAACTAAGAGCTTGCTTTGCCTTGTAAAATCGAACGTTATCTCTTTTCCACATCATTGCCACGGCAAATAACTGAGCAATTGAAAATGAACCAGCGAGCCTCATTTGTGTGTTATAAGCCATTGCGTAAACCTCACGAACGTGAGTTTGAACGTTCGATGACAGCGACATGATCGATTCGGTTGTCTCGGACAAGGCAGCTAGCTCGGAAGAAAGCAAAGTGGATGAAAGTCGGCTCTCAATGTAGTGGTTAAGAATTGTGGCTGAAGCAGCGACACCAAGAACACCACCAAGCGTTCTAAACTGTATACCGATGCCAACTGCCGCTGACTGATCATCCTGATCTACCACTAGCGGTGCAGCCATGTAGAAGGCGGCTACACTTAAGCCAACCCCCAGTCCGGCCAGAACGAGGTATCCGAACTGACCAAGCCAAAGATGAGTCACCGGTTCCACACAAGAATAAAGAAAAAGACCCGAGACTTGACAAGCTACACCAGCAAGAATTATGTAGCAGAAGGGAATCGAGAGTCTTCCCGCAATGATGGAGCAGGCTATAATGCCGATCGGGCAGCTGACCGAGAATGAAAGCAATTTAACACCTGCTCCGATCGGGGAACTTCCGTTGACGATCTGAAATCTTTGTGGAATATTGATAATGCAAACAAATAAAGGCAAGCCAGTCGTGAAAAATCCTCTAAACGTTTCGTGTTAGTTAACATCAGGATTAGACAAAAGAATAATCGAGATTAACACATACAACGCAACTCCCATGAACACGCGATTGCGTGCTAGCCACCATGGAAACATCGGGATTATCCCGAGATCATGGCGGCAGATAAACCACTCCCAATAAATGAAGGCAATACAAGCAACACCTGATATGACGAAGAATGCGACGACTAGCCCAGAGCCCCATGCATATTCAGAATTGCCCTCTTGAAGGGCAGCGATGATAAATGAGCAGGAGGTCAAAGTCAAAAACGAGCCCAAAATATCAACACGACGGAAGAAAGATTTTGTAGCCAGCCAGAACTGTGACTCAAGACCGGGAGCATGATCTGGGCTGCCGTGCGGGAAGTGAATGGGAAGAGCAAATAAGATGCAAACCCAAGATACGATACCCGCGGGAACACTGTTATGATTAGACGGTTTAAATTCCCCTGGGATAGGGATACATACTTATAGAGAAATACCCAGCGCCAACTGCCACTATTGGCAATGGCACCACCCAGCAGTGGACCGAGGACAAGGCCCAATGACGAGATGCCACCAGCCAGTGAGCTGACCTTGTCGAAGTGCTGATAAGGCACAATCCGAACAAAAGAGAAAAGCGTCAAGGAGTAGACGCCGGCACCCCCGAGTCCCTGAAGAGCTCGGAAAATGATACTTGACATGGAAAGTCTTAGTTCAGGGGATATTTCGGATTCAATAGTAACTTACAGTTGATTGAGCGTGTGAGATGCTGCACAGCCGGCGGAGAAAACAACAAAAAGAAAGAGGGATGCGAGTACGGCAGTCTTGATGCCTAATATGGTACTACAATTCGACCAAACGATCAGGAATCCTGCTCATAAAAGTATCAGCCCAAGAAGGTAGCAATGTCGAAATTGAGTCATGGTTGTGCTGCAAACCTGTATATGTGAGCAGATAAGCTGTGATAATCCAGCTGCCTTGATTCGAATTCTCAAGATCATTGGTAATCGTGACAAGTGACGTGCTAACGATGGTTGCTTCAAGGCAAGTAAGGAAAAGGGCCAACCCGAGGCTAAAGAGAGGCCTAATTTAATTTGGATCGGGAAGAACTATGCTGGTGTGGTTTTACTTACCCTATTCCACCAAGATATAAGCGAGCCCCGTGCAATGTACTACCCCATTCAACGGGGGATTTAGCTTCTTCCGCCTTCATATCATAGGATATGAAAAGGTCCGGTGGGGGAAAGGGGAGGACGGAGTACTTTTCGCAGAGTGCAGTTAGTAGTAAAGCAACTCGTGTGGATAGGTAGCAGAGAAATTGGTTGTCAGTTGCGACGGAGATGACGATTTATGTAGCTATGTCGGATAATCCCATCAATGCATTTGTCTTAAATTCCAGTATCAATTCCAGTAATAATACCGTTTCATCAAATTATTGGGGCTTGCATGTAGTCCTTGCAGGCTGTTCCCTCCCTAGTCGATATGATAGATCGCCTCGTTCGCTCTCAGACGGGCGGGTGCGTGGAACCTCCTTTGTCCCCCGATTGCGCTAGACCGAATTAGCTTGACCATCGCGCACCAGCATCTCGCGCTAGCGTTTCTCGTCGATCACACGATCGGCGGGACGCGTAGCCGCAGATTGCGATCAGAAAACTTTATTGGACGCGTGTAACAAGCATGGGCGTGTCCAAGAAACGTGATGCGGCTAGTGGACAAGACAGGATTTGCTGTTAGAATATGCAACGGTATTTAATGAATCTGCGATCCTAAAACTTGTGGATTTCTCCAGCTGCCTGGTGATGTACCCTGCCGCCGCCGGCTTCTTTCTATGCGAAAATAATGATCTTAGCGTAATATGCAGTGGCATCCCCGAGCGGGTCATTGACGTGGCCTTCCTAGCGGATAAGAGAGAACAAAGACCACGAGGCTGAGTCTGCGAGGGGTTTACCAAGGGCTCCCTCTCTCTGGCCAACTAGTGCTTTTGCTACAGTAGATGGCGTACCAAGTTGCTCAAAGCCCGCAACTATACACCGCGGGGCCACCTCGCATGTGGATACCTAAATATGAGTTCACTCTGTGTTAATGTATTCGTGCCTAATTCAGTACTCCCACAAACGCGAAAGGTGAATCCTAACTTGAAGTGAATGAATGTTAAGATTTGAAGCAACTCGCAAAAAGGCTAAGAGCACTAGGATATCTTGAGGAGATATATCACGCGAGAGCAAGTTGGTTTCATAGAATAGTAGAAATACTACTACATACTGTCTATATGCGCCCGATGACGTTGCTTGACCTCCACTACTGCCTTTTTTGGTTTCTAGTATAATGCATACAGGTCTGCATACTAGCTCTTCGCGCATGTCTCTCCCTGGCGACTTGCGTTTGTGATTTCCAAAAAAGGTCTAACCAATTTTTGATCTGGAGGAATCCCCTCATTTTATCTTCAATAGTACCAACATTTACCCAGGTGGCCGAAGTGCCCCCGAACTTGATGGAAAGTATTGGAGGCATGGTTGAATTCAGAACTTATTTTCAATACTGGGATCTCCAGGGCTACTTGTTTTGAATATGGCAGGTAGTCGCGAACACATAAGGTAGAACCGTCACGGTGTTCTTTCGGTTTTATATTCGATTGGATGTATTTTCAGGGATTGGTGCTCTGGAGAAGCGGGTTAAGCCAATTATAATCTATGACGCAAGAGGTCGGCGCCTTATAAGGATCCCTCCCTAGCATATACTCAAGTATACTCAAGTATTACAGGTCGAGTTGAAGGTTTACACTACTCTAAAGTGGGCTCTGAATGGGGCTTAAAGCTAGTTTTTCTTTGTAAGTACTAGGCAGGGCCATCCCAGCTAGGGGCTGTATCCGTCTGGACAGAACTCACCGATGGTTGACCAACCGGCCCATTCCAAAGCTCTCAATTCCTGTAGGATGAAGGTATATAAGCATGGTTCACCATACCTCGAAAATTCGCAAGAAACCTCTTTTACCTTTGTATCACATACACTTCTTCATCTAAATTTCCTAGAATAAGGAGCTATCGATTATCAAGAGAGATAAAACAATGTCTTTTCCTACCGTCGACACCAACGACGCAAGCAAGCCTGCCACGAGTGAAATTGGACTCAAGACGTTCGATATGACTTCAACGAGGCACCCAAACCCTGCGACAAATTGTGGTGAGTCCACCGTGGATGGGATATCACCACAGGGAGTTATGAGTCCTTTGCCTATCGCAATATGTGGAATGTCGGTTCGCCTCCCTGGAGGAATCCATACACCCCAGGATTTATGGGAGTTTCTCGTCTCCAAAAGTGATGCACGTGGCCCTGTTCCGAAGTCAAGATACAATGCATCTGCCTACTTTTCTGAAACGACCAAGCCCGGCTGTGTTAAAGCCCAACATGGGTACTTTCTTGATGAGAGCATTGATATTTCCACGGTAGATACTTCCTTCTTTCATATGGGAAAGGCCGAGGTTGAGCGAACAGATCCTCATCAGCGTCAAATGTTAGAAGTCGTCAGGGAGTGTATTGAAGATGCCGGTGAAACCAAGTGGAAAGGTCGACCAATTGGTTGTTACATGGGCAGTTTCGGAGAGGATTGGACAGAGATGTTTGCAAAGGAAAACCAGCAGTATGGTCTGCACCGAGTCAGTGGCTATGGTGATTTTGTTTTAGCCAACCGAGTCTCGTATGAGATGGACTTCACTGGGCCAAGGTTAGTTGATGCTACTCGGATAATATTTACCCGGAAATTACTAATAACATTGAAACTAGCATGGTTATCCGTACAGCATGTTCTTCATCCCTTGTGGCTCTACACGAGGCATGCGTGGCAATCGGGAGAGGCGATTGCGAATCCGCGGTAGTTGGGGGAGCCAACTTGATACTTGGGCCGGGTATGACCGCGGCGATGTCCGAACAAGGTGTTTTGTCACCAGATGGGTCATGCAACACATTTTCCGCCAATGCCAATGGCTATGCTAGAGGCGAGGCCGTTTCAGCAGTATTCATAAAGCCCCTTTCTGCTGCTATTCAAGATGGAAACCCGATTCGAGCCGTTATTCGAAGCACTGCCTCCAACAGCGATGGGAAAGGAAGCGGTGGCATGCAGGCCCCAAATGATGTCGCCCAGGAAGCAATGATCAGGCGAGCATATGAACTGGCAGGGATCACAGATTATTCTCAGACAGCATTTGTCGAATGCCATGGAACAGGGACTTCTATTGGCGATCCGACAGAAGCGAGAGCAGTCGGTCGTGTCTTCGGCCCACACGGAGGCATCCATATAGGATCTGTCAAACCTAATCTTGGACATTCCGAAGGTGCCTCTGGTCTGACATCCGTTATAAAGTCTATCTTAGCACTGGAAAACAGTATTATTCCGCCAAACATCAAGTTTAGCCAGCCAAATCCTGACATCCCGTGGGATGAGTGCAAGCTGTCCGTTCCCACAGAGCCAACACCGTGGCCAAAGTCCCGAGTCGAGCGTATCAGCATCAATTCTTTCGGAATTGGAGGCACTAATGCACATATTATTCTTGACTCCGCGAAAAGCTTTGGTATTGCAGCTGCTCCAGACAGACCTCTGACGTCACCACAACTACTTGTTCTTTCCGGCACTAATGTTGACGCGGTGAAGAGGAGCATTACACTCTACAAGGACTACGTGCTGGAAAATCCTTCCAAGGTACATGACCTGGCATTCACATTGGCTATGAGAAGAGAACATCTATCACATCGGGCGTATGCAGTGGTTAATCTATTTGGCGGCGTGACAGCATCGGTGCCATTCAAATCTTCCAAATCACCTCAAATCGCGATGATATTTACCGGCCAAGGGGCCCAGTGGCCTGAAATGGGCCGCTGTCTCATTTTGGATGACAAATTTCCAATATTTCGCAGGACTATACAGTCGCTGGACCGTCATCTTCAAGCCATATCCCCGAACCTATCATGGTCCATCGAGGAAGAATTGCAGAAGCCCGCCAAACATAGTAGACTTCTTTCAGCTGAGCTATCTCAACCCATCTGTACTGCAATTCAAATTGCTCTTGTTGACACCATGACATCCTTCGATATCCATGCCTCAGCCGTTGTCGGTCATTCCAGTGGCGAGATTGCTGCGGCATATGCCGCTGGTGCCCTTGAGGCAAATGATGCGATGGAGATAGCATTCTACCGCGGGCAGGCTACCCTAATGCAGACCAAGTCTGGTTCGATGGCAGTGGTAGGCATAGGATATAATGGTATACAAGATCATCTACGGCCAGGTGTCACTGTTGCATGTCAGAATTCCCCCAGAAGCATTACCATCTCTGGAGATACGGACGCAGTCGAGGCAACAATTTCCAACATCAAAAACGCGCACCCTGACATTTTGGCAAGGAAGTTGAAAGTTAATAAGGCATACCACTCTCCACATATGGCTGAGATCGGTCCTTCCTACCATAGTCTCATCAAAAGACTATCCTGCGGACCCCCAAAGAAACTGTTTTTCAGCAGCGTTGAGAGCGGCAAGCTTATCCAGGATGCGACGCTAGGCCCCGAATACTGGCAGAGAAACCTCGAGTCGCCAGTTCTCTTTCACGCGGCCGTGTCATCCCTACTAAAGCATGAAGTCTCTGAGAATATGATCCTTGTTGAGGTCGGCCCACATGCGGCTCTCGAGGGTCCCTTGCGGCAGATCCAAGCTGAAACTTCAAACACATCAGCCTATGCTTCGGTCCTCCTTCGAGGCCAGAATGATGTGGAAAGTCTTTTGGCGATGGTTGGCAAAGTTCATTCTCTTGGCTATTCTGTCAATCTGGAAGAGACAGTGTCCGAAGGCCTCACTCTTCCTGACCTCCCGAGGTATCCTTGGGACCATACTCAAAGCTTCTGGTATGAGTCAAGGTTGACTAAGGAATGGAGACATCGTCGGTACAAGCACCATGACCTTCTAGGTGTTAGAGTCGCTGAAAGTACTGAGTTTGATGTGCTTTTCCGCAACCTTTTCCATCTTGAAAATGCACCATGGATGCGTGACCACCAAGTGGGCGGTGACATTGTGTTTCCATTCGCGGGTTACGCAGAGATGATAGGAGAGGCACTATCTCAACTGTCTGGTGTCCCTGACGCATTTCGTTTGCGTCATGTTGTCATTAGTACCGCTCTTGTTCTGAAAGATAATCATCCAACAGAGATAATGACAACGATTCGTCGTCGCCGTTTGACACACAATCTTGACAGTGATTGGTGGGAATTTACCATTTCTTCATATAATGGATCCACATGGACAAAACATTGTTTTGGGGAAGCTCGATCACAAGTTGAAGATTTAATCGTTGGTGAAGAGCCAAAGTACCTAGTACGGAAGGTTACAACTCGTCGCTGCTATGATGCCATGGCAAGGGCTGGCCTCAACTACGGTCCCTCCTTCCAACGGCTAGATCATGTCCGCGCTGACACAGGTAGCCAGGTGGCCACGTCGAAGGTTAAGAGCAGGCAAACAGATAGCAGATATTATCGACTACATCCATCGATCATTGATGCCTCCTTACAGCTACTCAGCGTCGCGGTTACGAAGGGCTATATGAACACCACAGGAAGGATGATGGTTCCAACAAGCATCGAGGATATTTGCATCTCCCGTTGTCATCAAGATATTCATATCCGAGCATCTGCAAACTATTCTCCAAGCGGCTGCGTATTGGGATCTGGAGAGTGTGTGACGAGCGAAGGAAAGGTTGTTCTACGGGCCTCTGGTATAAAGCTATCATGTGTGGATGATAGTGTCACAGAGGAAAGCCCAAGCGGCTTCTCTCGGGCAAGATGGGCACCACATCTTGACTTTCTCGATGTGCAGTCATTGATCAAGCCTGTGTCTGATAACAGCACGCAAATGCGCATATTAACAGAGCTATCGAATATTTGCATGGTTTACACAAAACGTGTACTCGTGAACCTCGAAAGCCCTCTTTGTCACTTGAAAAAGTATCGTTCATGGATCGTTCGCCAACTTGAACTCTCTGATCTCCAACATCTCCACTGTCTAGATAACGATTCAATCAGAGTTCGAGTTAGACAAATTGTTGCCGAGCTATCAGAAACCAGTGCCAAAAGCCCAGCCATCGCGATTCAAAAGATCTTTGAGCACATTGAGAAGATTTTTATGGGAGCTATTGATGGCCTCGACTTACTCCTTTCTGAAAACACATTGATTGATCTTTATGCCCTAGTAGATCAATGCGATGAGTCACAATTCTTCGAACATCTCATTCACACAAGACCAAATCTTCGTGTCCTTGAGATCGGCGCTGGAACGGGCGGATCCACTGCTAATATACTGAAGCTCCTGACCCCTGGAAATCGGAGGCATTACTCGAAGTATACTTTCACTGACATCTCTTCCGGCTTCTTCTCTGCCGCGAAAGAGCGTTTTGGGATGTATGCAAACATTGAGTACACAACTCTGGATATCAGCAAAGATCCCTGTGATCAAGGGTTCCAAAATTCCGAGTACGACCTCATCGTCGCAACCAATGTGATACATGCAACCCCGTCTCTCAATGAATCCTTGCGCAATGTGCGAACATTGCTTGCCCCAAATGGCCGTTTGCTTTTGCACGAACTCACCCCAAGCTCGAAATGGGTCAACTATATATGGGGTATTCTTCCTGGCTGGTGGTATGGGGAGGGTGATTCACGAGTTCATGAACCATATGTTGATCTCAAGCGATGGGAGTCCGAACTACAGGCTGCCGGGTTTCGTTCCCCTGATGCGGCGGTTCTCGACTCTCCAGAACCGTATCATGTAGGATCGGCAATTGTAGCCAGACCAACGCTTGATGTTATTCCGATCAAGAGGGTCACCCTCCTCACGCTGTCTAAGTCGAAGAATGTCGACCTACTAACACAAGGGCTCGAGCATAGGGGTTATACGGTTTACCCTCGTGGGCTGTATGATATGCCTCTACCTCCTGGACAAGACGTGATTGCGATGATTGACGATGAAGCTCCCTTCTTCGAAGATCTTGATGATGAGAAATTTGGTGGATTCAAATCTTTGATTGAAAACCTGAGGGACCGCGGACTACTTTGGGTTACTGGCCTCTCCCAAATTCAATGTCGAGACCCGAAGTTTGCCCAGATTAATGGGACTGCGAGGTCGTTGCGGTCAGAAATGTTGATTGATATTGCTACCTGTGAGGTCGACGACGTCCCCCAATCGATCGGCAAAATTGTTGATGTTTTCGAGAGCTTCCAAGTTCGACATGAAGAAGAGTTTGTCAAGCCCGAGTTTGAGTACGCAATCGTGAGCAACACTGTTCATGTTGGGCGTTACCATTCTTTCCCAGCTCAGGATGAGATCCTAGCCTCAAGGGTTAGCGACAGTATAGGTCTTCAGACCAGCAAAGTCGGTCGTCTGTCCGCTCTGCACTGGGCCGAGCAAGAAATACACTCGCCGAAGGCAAGAGAAGTAGAAATTGACATACACGCGACTGGCTTGAACTTCAAGGTAAGTCCTCACTGGCAAAGGTTCAACTGGAAGATATTCATTGCTGATGCCTATTATAGGACGTTTTATGTGCTATGGGAATTGTCGAAACCCAAGAAAATGGATTTGGCCTCGAGGCCTCTGGGATAGTTCGTCGCATTGGCCAAAAAGTTCAAGATCTTAGACCTGGCGACCGCGTCATGATTCTTTCTTCCTGTTCATTTGGGTCTAGGGTTGTGGTCCCCGAGGACGTCTGTGAAAAGATTCCTGGTGGCCTCAGCTTCGAGGATGCCGCCACTATGCCTTGTGTGTTTGCCACAGCCCTCTACTCCATATTCGACGTCGGGAATTTGCAAAAGGGCCAGGTAAGCGCAATAAATAATCGAACTCTATGAATAGAGTTAAAACTAATGATATCTTTGTAGTCTATTCTCATACACAGTGCATGTGGGGGGGGTTGGAATTGCCGCCATTCAACTGGCCCAGATGATTGGTGCAGAAATATTCACTACAGTTGGAAACGATGAGAAGGTAAATTTTCTAATGCAAAATTTCGGATTGCCACGCAACAGAATTTTCACTTCTCGCGATACATCTTTCGTGAACGACATCATGAGAGAGACAAATGGCGACGGTGTCGATTTAGCACTCAATTCGCTGTCAGGAGAATTGTTGCACGCGACATGGACTTGCATTGCAGAGTTCGGAAGGATGATCGAGATAAGCAAACGAGACTTGATGGGCTTGGGAAAGCTTGATATGAGACCTTTTCTTGCCAATAGAAGCTATTGCTGCATTGACCTCGACCAAATTTGTCGAAAGCGATCGAGAATCATAAAGAGGTAAGTCTGCATCCCTGGCAATGATTACGTGCACAACGACTGACAACGGTGAAAAGACTACTCCGAGAGATCGTCCATCTAGTCAAAGAACGTTATATACATCCAATAAGGCCCATCAAAAAATTTCCTGCCAATGCGATACTCGATGCGTTCCGCTACATGCAGCAAGGTGTTCATCTTGGCAAGATCGTTGTATCAATCCGAGACAATAAGGGTGAACTAGGTCTTGGTGAGGGTATCCAGCCCCGGAGAGCAGATACTAATTTCGACAAATCTGACGCATTTCTGCTTGTTGGTGGCCTTGGGGGCCTAGGTCGCTCTGTATCGACGTGGATGATGGAGCGAGGAGCGCGGCACTTTATCTATCTCTCTCCGACCGCTGGGACGAAGAAAGACCACCAAGAGTTTGGTGAAGAGCTGATGAGCATGGGATGCAGGGTTTCATTCGTCCGTGGCAGTGTTTCAAATCTCAAGGACGTTATAAAGGCCATCGCGCGATCTGAAGGCCGGCTGAAAGGAATATTGCAAATGTCCATGGCACTTGGCAATCAAACCTTTCCTCGGATGTCACTTCACGAATGGAATACAGCCGTGGACCCGAAAGTTCGAGGGACTTGGAATTTGCATCACGCATCCATTGCTGCTCAAGCAGAACTTGACTTCTTCGTTCTATTTAGCTCGATCTCTGGTATATGTGGTCAGCCTGGCCAGACAAATTATGCCGGTGCAAACACTTTCTTGGATGCTTTCGCACAATACCGGCTAGGGTTGGGACTACCAGCTTGTGCAATAGAAATTGGTGCCGTGGAAGAGGTTGGCTTTCTCGCAGAGCACGAGGATATCAAGCAAAAACTCCAGGCCGCCGGTTCCTTACCTGCTCCAATCTCGGAATCGGAACTCCTTCTTGGCTTGGAACTGGCGATGAAATCCAAAAAGTCAAGGTCCCCAAATACCGCCAACAACATTTGCCTTGGGCTTCGAACTAACATACCTCTCCATGATCCCAACAATCGCTTGATCTGGAGGAAGGATGTCCGCATGGCCATATTCCACAATACCGGTGCCTATGAGGTATCTTCGGCGGGCTCCATCAATGACGCCCTCAAATCATTTATCGTGGCAGCTAAATCAGACCCAGCCCTTCTTGTTGAGAGCCATTCGGCTCATTTCCTCGCTTCCGAGATCGGAAAAAAAGTGTTCAGTCTCTTGCTGAAGCCGGAAGAGGACCTAGTTACTTGGTGCTCCCTTTCCGAGCTGGGCATGGACTCCCTTGTGGCAATAGAAGTGAGACAATGGTGGAAATCAATTTTTGAGTTTGATATCAGTGTCCTGGAGATGCTGGGAATGGGCACTCTAGATGCGCTTGGCGACCATGCTGCTAAAGGAATGCTTCATTTGTTCCATAACATAGGAAGATAAATAGTTTAGGTCAAATTTATTATTTATTTGTTGCTCGAATTCGCTAATCTTCCAAGCTCTTGCAATATTTTTATCATTCTAACGTAGAATACGGATACTGCAATACTACTATTCCTAGACATCGTTCTCGACCACACTTGGGTACTATCAGTGGCGCTAAGAGGTGAATGATTGCAGCGCGGGGATCCCAATGATTACGGGTCCTGACTAGTAGTTATATCCTTGCCGCCACGCAAGATGCTCATAGATTCAACATGGCCACCCGTTTTGCAGAAGTTAACTGATCTACTACTACCCAGGTATGCTCCTTGCTAAATACCCTGTATATAGACACCTAGAGTTTGCTTGCTCATATCGCACACACGCTCATACATCTCTCTATTCCTCACGTACTCCCACGTGCAGACTTAGCTAGACCTACCCAGAGCAGAGCCGTGGAGATTACCCGTGTTTCACCTCTTCACATGCGACAAGCAATTTCGGGCTTGCAATAATATTAGTCGCAGCAGCACGGAGGACTGTATCCTTTGATCTTCATGGGGCGGGGTCCGGGACGGGCCTCCGCCCGGGCGGTTTGTACTCCGTAGCTGACCCTCAATTCTTGGTACCTGGTGGGGCCTGGGAGCTCGCAAGCTTCGGTTATGTGGATCCCTTATTCTTATTCCAAATCGGCACTGTCCATGTCTACAATTTTCAACAAAATGAAGTCCTCTCAGACGGTGCAATGGGTCAGCACGTGAGCTTCATGATCCCTATCTCTATGCAGTACGGAAATCAATACGCAACCAGTTACCAACTTCTTTCGATCGGAATGTTTCCACGAAGGTATTCGGGCCTGCAAGTTGTATTTGTCATTGCAGATCTCTAAGTTAGCTTGTTTTTACGGAGTTTAGATCACGGAGTCCAAAGCTCCACATGTGCATGCACCGGCCACTCTTGCTGATTCTAGCCTTGGGGGCCATACCGATACCAATTTCCCCGCTCGCCCGTGTATTTTACAAGGCTTACAGTACGTACATACAGTACAGTAAATAGGCAATTTCAATGAAATTGCCTCACTTTTCAATGGTTTCGGGAGAAGCCGGCATTACCCTCGCACCACGCTCGCTTTGATTACGTCCTTGTAGGTGAATGCCATTCTTTGGGCAACATTCAAATCACTTCCGGACTTAATTTGAAGACCAGAGTGGAGGGCTGTGGCAAGGAAGCTCAATTTACCTATCTGGCAGACGAAATCGCAAAAGGCAGTTTGGGAAAGAGGGGGGTGGGATCCCCGGCTACTTTTTAAAACGACCACGGATCATCGGTCCTAGTATTGAGTAATTTCGCATGTCTCACTCCTATATCAGGAAGTGATTTGCAAATTGGCAGTTTTGGCCCTCCATGTCTTGAATCTACCTCTATGTAGGTCCTGCGTATGGAGACGCGCAGTTCGGAGTCCGGAGTACGGGTGCCAAGTACACATATTTAGATAGACAAATCGACGCAATTTCTCGCCCAATTTAGCGATGTCGCAACCAGAAACTATCGGCTGAATCTGTATATCCGGTGCCTCCAGCTAGCAATAGATTATTTCACCCTTCTGCCACTCCCATCACCTTCCATCTGTATCCCAACTATCGTCAATCGTTACTTCCCGCCTCAGGTCGGTATGGCAGGATTTACGGTTTACAACCTTCCGACTTCGCCTCCAAACTTGGATCGGGTGGGTGTTTTCTATATTTTACTATGTGTTATTTGGTCCGTTCTTTTAATTGGCGGGATGCTCTTTTGTTGGTTCAATCGTCGAATTCCTATCATAAGGGTTCGCGGGATCAAATTGACATTCACTGCAATCGCATTGCTTCATGTATACTGGATTCTTGGCCAAATAACCTATCCAATCCGACCAACAATGCCTACTGTTGTTGCTTCTGATGTCCAGTATTTTGCCATGGGCATTTATTTTCCTTTTGGAATTGCCCTGTTTCAAGCTTCCAACCTCCGTTTCCTCTATGTCGCAAAAGCACAAAGACAATTCGCCAATGCAGATTTCTATAACGCCAGAAAGTGTAACAAAGAAAAATCTTCAATCTTAGGTCGATGGAAAAGCATGAAGTATATGAACAAAGTATTACTTCTCATAACGACGGGCATGGTGTTCCAGGTATCTACTCTCTCCGTGCTATCCGATAGGTGACATCAACTCACTTCTACCTTTGACACAGCTCGTTGTCACAATTGGTATGTGGCTTGCCTGCGCTAAATACCACCCAACTTATGGTATTTCTGGGACGGAAGTGCATGGTACAACACTCGCAGAGCAAAGAACCTCGATGGATCAGGGATGGGAATGGTGGCCATCGGTGTTATGGCAGGTCGTTTGGACATGGGTTGTGCGTTTTTAAAAATGATTATCAGCTCACAGACACAATTCTTACACAATATAATTTCTCTAGGCCGCACCGATTCTCTTCATGAGGGCCTGGGGAGTCCGAGACACCATGGGATGGCGAACACAAACCATCGCGTGCTGTGTTGCGAGGTACGCTTACACTACTCAATTTTTATATTTCACGCTTGCTTACATATGTACCCCCAGGCCCTAGTCTCCATGCAACACCCATGTTCCTAATATCATCATACTTCCCTGTCTTTGCAAAAATAAACGTCTACTTTGCCCCAAGTCAATGGTAATGTCCCTGCATTCGTATAGATATTTTCCAGCTAACACAGTTGATAGGATACATTTGTCAATCTTCATGTGGGAGATATTTACCGTCTTTGTTCCAGTTTTCCAGGTTTTGAGGCTGCGGGCGATGAACAGAAGAACAGCAAACTCGATGGCCAAGTACGATCCAACTTCTTTCTCAATGATCGCAAAGTCAATCCCTTCATCGCCCTCATTCGAATGGGAGTCTTCCTCTTCATCCACAATTGCAGAAAGCCCTCAGTCGGCTCTGTATTTCAAGGAACCACTTGGTGATAGGCTATATACAATGGATGCTCTTGAGCATGTTCTTGAAAAGGGCTCAGAACCACTACTGCAATTCGCCGCACTGAGTGACTTCTCCGGTGAGAACGTTGCTTTTCTTGGTGAAGTTAGGAGTTGGAAATGTTCTTGGGGGGGCAAACATTGATAATATCCGAGTCCCTAATGCGTTCAACCAAGCGTTGGGAATTTATGTGACTTTTATCAGTATACAAGATGCTGAATTTCCCCTCAACATATCCTCACAAAGTCTGGGTCATTTGCAGGAAGTTTTTGAAGCCCCAGCAAGACTACTCTTTGGTGATAAAAACGTCAACTTTACATCTCCCTTTGTGGAAGATGGTAAGACACCATCATTGGGCAAGATCGGCATCCAAAGGTGTATTGTTCCGACATACACAGGACACATTCCCGAATGTTTTAGTCTCTCTATATTTGATGATGTCCAGTACCATATCAAATGGCTCGTCTTAACCAACACGTGGCCGAAATTTGTTGATATAATGAGACGACAATCAACTGATACCGACCATAATGATCATTCATCATCTCTAACAACATTGGGGAGCCAGGTCCTTGATGATCGTCTCAGGTCGAATTCTTGATATCAATGCCTCTCCGATCGCAATATATCTATTTCAAGTTCTTTCTTCGCTTGAGGCCTAGCGAATCATGCTTCCAGCTCGCATTTCCAAGGTTGTGTGACCATATTCAATCCATCAGTATGTGTATATAGTAGTCGATGATAATTCTACCTATCAAGCTTGGTGTTAGCGCCCACTACCTTAGGGTTTAAGCCTGAGCTACTTCCATGTGTTGAAGCTACACTTCAAAATCTCCACATTGCGTATGCCGTTACTCAGAATCATGTTACCCTATGGGGATAAAAAGGCATTCGCGGACCAAATGGGTCCCTGCAAATGTCAAGCCATGTATAAGGTTAGCCTCCAAGGGTTGGGGGGTTCTGAAATCCCCTGCCATTTGACACCGCATTTACATAAAATTATTCGAAGAAATAACTCCCTTTCAGAGGGCCATCGGCTAGAGCTACCATGTTTATATATACCACTAGCAAGAAGGCACTAGAATTATTGTTCTATTAACTTCCAGCATGACGAACACCCAAAACAGGGCTTTTAGAAAGTCCGGGTTGTTTTTGTTTAAGAGAGACCCTTGAAACTAAGACCTATTGCAACATCTAAGATCAGGAACAGCTGCAATTGATAAAACCCAAAGAAACTGGTAAACCTTTCCTTCCTCGGGGAGATTTGAAGGTCTAAATCCTGGCACAGTTCACTGGCTACCATTTGCACTGTCCGATCGATCATTAGCTTGGCTGTTCGCAACATTTGAGATTAGTATCCTTTTAAGTAATTACATTACACAGCTAAACCATGCTATTGATTCTGTATACATGATCACACGCTGTTTTACGCTTATTAGATCGTGATTCTAGCTTATATTGATACCTCTGACGAGGGGCATAGCGCAATTGGAAGCTAGAGATGGCCCGCAGCTGAAATATCTAGCTACTCGTTCTATATATATGATAATTTTCCATGGTCCTGAGCCTCTAATAATACCTAACGACCGCGGAAATATGGCATGGGAGTTGTTTTCCCAGATAATTGGGATGCTAGCAGCCGTCCTGTGCCATCACTTAAGGGCTTTACGCAAGGGGATGGCTGAGCTACTTGCGAGTCTACCATGTTTGGTAAAATGGTTGACAGAATCTGTATATTTACTTGTAGTTGCTTTAGGCTTTGAAATACTCGCAGGCGGTGAAACTACTACATTTCAGTCAAAAGGTATTTAACAGTGATACCTGTAACTTCAAGCTCTTGAAATGGTGGAGTCCATTCTTCAGAGCTTCTACTTTCAAATATGCCTCTCACACGGCCAATTTGAGCTCAGATTACATCAAAAGCGCGCGATTACCACTGTGCAAGGTACGTTATACCCTCAAATTGATGATTTCTCGATATGACTTCATTCTCTCTGCTCAGTATATCCGCGCTAACTAACGCTTATTCTTCACGTTGACCCTCTATGTCGACTTAAACTTCGGTCCGATGTGTACCGCGCCACTTTCCCGGAACAAATATCATTCAAACCTCCCACCTATGGATTTATCTCAATTCGTGTTGCACGGGCTTGACCTCATGAGTGGTTGGATCCAATTCCGATGCAGCCACCTCCAGTAAGTTACTCTCACCGGGAGTGTTCTGGGTATAGCGAGAGTTAAACTTTAGCACGTGTTTGATAGCATTGAAATTCTTCACACTTTATACCAATTGCAAAGTGGATAAGATTGCCGCAGAGCAAGGCAGCGATGGATATCTCCCAGGTCTTTCTCGAGAAAAGATGCTAAGACACATCAGAAAGCACAGAAAGAATCTTACTGGTGCAGATATGGTTGCGCAGGTGGAGGATTTCATCGAGGTATGGATGCTAGCCAGGAAGACGATGACTGAAAATGAATACAGCACCTGCTTGAAGCATTTGGATTGTATAGAAAATATGATTGAGAAAAGCGAATATTTGAGCGATTGTTTCGACGTAGTCGAACAAATCAAAATCATTCGCCAGAAATGTCACGAGGGGCAGTCTATTGTCAATCGACTCTATGCTCAGGCCGACGCTGTATTGAACGCGGACTTCGATCGCGCCCGTTCTATCATTGACGAACTCTCGAACACTGTCCCAGGGTCCAGTGGAAGTTTCCAAACGATGTATCACACTGTCGACTTGGAATATCTGGCAAGAGAGCTAATGGACGCGAGAAAGGTCCAAGACCTTTCGAGAGTAAGAGATCTGCACTCCAAGTACACTAGCATCTGGTATGACCGGAAGAATAAGCTTTCGCGCATCGAAGAAATAGAGAGTGCGATTGCAGAGAATCTGGAGTGGTTTCCAACAATCTCTCGACCGGAAGCTGTGGAAAGCCGGCATCGAGCTCTGTGAGGAGGGTTTACGATACTGACACCCGGGACGAGGAGACTTCTTTCCAGCGCGCCAACTTGTGCGGACTGAGAGAAGAATTTGAAGTGGGACTTGTTTTAGAGTCGCTCGATGCGGCAGAAGCTGCGAAGGATTTTGGTGCATGTCTTGTATCATTCAATAGTCTCGCAAGGATCCGCTCGAGCAAGAGCGAAACCGTTGTTTTAGGTCGCCGGAGCTATATACTGCTGAGCGACAAACAGATGGTATTCTTGAGATTGTGCTATGAAGATGGATGTATACCCTGCGCAAGGTGGAGTCGCTGCTGTGAGACCCAGCCCTGTGCGTTCAAAGAGCATAAGGACCAGCATTATCAGAAGACACGGCATGATCGATCAATTTTCCGCACACCTTTCCGCTGTCAGCATCCTTTCAAGTGTGTGGAGGGTTTCTGCTTTCTAGGTTATTAGAAGATTTCAAGACAAGATAGAGTAAGATTCCGATATAGATTTATTGAAGGTACCATTTAAAATTTTTTCTTCTTTAGCCAGGACATTGGCTTGGCAATAATAACATTTGAGCCGCCGTCAGCAAGCGAAAAGGTCGCAAACCCCAGTGAGAATGTGATGGACAAAGCTTTCTCATTAACAGATATCGGGCGTCAGCCGATGACACGAAGTTCGAAGGGGCCGGACCATGGCTTTGCTGTCTTCTTGTTATCGAAAATAAGCGCGCTAAATGATAGGAGCAACCTCCGGTCGGCCAACGGTCCGATGGCACCGAATATCTAGACTGTGATGTCGCGTGCGTTGCCTAATTTGGCTGATTTATCGTTGATGTCACAAAGTCAATTATAGAAAGCAGACAAGGAACGAACGGTGCACTATCCAGCGGTTAATCCTTGTGTGGTATTTGTTAGGTTTCTAATAGTGACGTGTTAATCTTGTTGTCCGTTTTTACAAGGGTGCTCAGTGATTGGTCGGTATACATGACATAGTGGCAACAAGACTCACCACGGCGAGCAGTCCCCTTTCATTGGTGGTGTAATTTCATTCCACAGGCAGTAACGCTCTAGACCAAATGGCGGTGACATGGCTTCATCGGCGAGGGTTCCGCTAAGCCCGAAAATGGAGGCGATTGTGTCAAAGCGTAGCGTTTGATTGGTCAGGTGGTAATGCACTTTCATTGCTTGGATGCAAGCCGCCTTGAGTGATTGGAACGCATCTGACTCTGAGCGGGACTAGCTCCAGTTTTTTCCCCAGTGCTTAAGCACAGTATTTGATAATACCAGGAAGTAATACTTAATTTTTCTAGACTACTGCCCCCCCCACCACTTCCTTCTACAGACGCTTATCATACTGAAATTCTTCTTTCTTACGAATACTGTTCATATCATTGATCAGACATATCAATATGGCGTCTCGAGGCATTGATATCCACCCTAAGGGTTACCACCCTTCTTCCGTCGTCGAAAAGCTGTTCGACATTATTGTAATCGGCGGCGGCCCGGTTGGAAATTTCGCAGAAGGCCGTCTCGCCCGAGCTGGTCTGAGCGTTGCTGTAATTCAACACGAGCTGTACGGCGGCGAGTGCCACTTCTTCGGTTGTGTTCCATCCAAGGCACTTCTTCGGCCCGTCGAAGCGTTTGAGGCAGCCAAGGCCGTTGGCGGAGCCCGAGAGGCTCTCGGTGATAATAAGATTGATTCTAAGGCCGTATTCGAGAGAAGAGATAAGATTGTTGATGTATGGGATGACAAAAACTGGATATCTATATCGAATGGAGCCAGTGGGGCAACACTAATCCGAGGATTCGCGCGGATCGCTGGCACTAAGAAAGTTAGCGTCCACCCGCACGGCGAAACGGAGAGATATCTATTTGAAGCAAGGATTGCGGTCGTCGTTGCGACAGGCTCTACTCATGCTGTGCCTTCAATCCCGGGCATAGAATCTCTCGAGGAAGGCAAGGAGCTTTGGATCAACCGCGATGCAGTTGCTTCAGACAAAGTCCCCGAGCATCTGATAATTCTCGGTGCTGGACCGGTGGGGTGCGAGATGGCGACTTTTTACTCTGCCCTGGGCTCCAAAATCACAGTGATCACGCCAACGGCGGAAATCTTGCCCACAGTTGAGCAGGAAGCTGCAAAGATTGTACGCAAGAGTTTGATGCAGAGTGGTGTGTCAGTAAAGCTATCTTCAAGGGCGTCCAAGGTGGAAAAACACGCTGCGAACTCGTTGATTGTTGAGCTGTCCAACGGAGAAACGATCAAGGGATCCGTGCTTTTGAACGCGACGGGACGACGGCCCAGGACCTATGATTTCGGGCTGGATACTATTGGCCTGGTTGGAGATGGCCAGCCGTTGGAAACCGATGCGGCCCTCGCGGTTCCGGTACCAGAGTCCGCTGAAACCTGGCTATATGCAATTGGAGACGTCAACGGTCTTGGTCCAACTACTCACATGGGAGTATACCAAGCCCGCATTGCCAGCAACGCCATTCTATCCTCCATAAAGCAGAAGCAGCTATCTGTCAAGCTGAATCTACCCGCTGGAGTCTCAGTGACACAGTCGAAGTCCTTTGATCGTACCTTCCCCCAGGTCATCTTTACAGAGCCCAACATCGCTGCTGTTGGTCATACCTTGGCTTCTGCTAAGGCTAGTGGCCTCAAGGTGAGAACTGCTGACAGCGATTTCTCCATTCCAGGAGCATGGCTTTATGGAGATGGGCAACCTGGCTGGGCTCGGTGGGTGATTGAGGAAGAAACTGATAGATTGGTTGGCGCCACATTTTGTGCTGTCGAGGGATCTGAGTTTTTGAATGCTAGCCAGGTGGCAATTATGCAAGGTATGACTTTGAAAGAGATGGTACATGTGGTTCCCCCATTTCCTACTAGGGGAGAGATATGGTCATATCTATTGAACGCTGCCGGGTATTAAGTAATGGCTTAAATATCCCCCTTGGTTTTTTATTCAATCATCGAAAACAAGAGCCTCCTTGGGAAGTTCGATCAATGCAATAGTGGAAGATCTTTTTGAAAATCCTCTGTGAATGAAAAGAGTATAAGTCCTTCTGATGAGTAACCTAAAACATGTCTACCTGAACCATCCGATCGGCACATGACGGAGCGGCCTTCGACCCCCCTTCTCTGCCTTATCTAGCCTAATTAGATTGCTAGGCTTGAGGATCTTATTCATGTATTCGCTCCCTAGCAGGTCATTTGTCGGGCCTCCTCAGTTGCCGGTCTATCATTAACAACGGGCTGGCTAGTAGGAGCCCTGAGATAGTCAGCCCTATTTCCTCATGACTATTATATGGCAGTATACTAGTTGTGGCCTCAGAAATCCCTAAGCCCCCGGAGGATACGCCGATAGGTGTAATAGGTGTAACGAACTAGGTCGTTCCCATTGTTGTTGATGCCTTACGCGGATGGCTTCCGCTTAGGCATCTACGCCTACACCTGTATCTCTGTATCTGGCTTCCGTCTCAGCTTCCTCTTCTACTTTCTCTTCAAGCTATTGCTTTCGTCGAACCTCTACTACTTCGTTCCCTGATAACTACGTCTGATCTTGATCTGTGAGTATCTGAGCATCCTCACAAATAACACCTATATATATCATGCTCTACATCCTTTCGTTTTCTCCCTAACATACGTGGCTGTATACTACTATTTGGTAGTTGCGGCTCACCTTGATCAACCTCATCAACCTTATCAACGTCAACATCATGATCAATATCAACCAGATCTCCAGAAGTGTCAGCCTGCTCTTCTGTATCACTAATATCCTTAATTTCGACTTCATTAGGCTTCTCATTAAGGACGAACTGAGGGAGCGGTCGAGTGCCACTAGGACATTTCGGGAGAGGCTTATTTCATCTTTTACCTAATTCACCTTAATATGAGATTCGGAGTTATGGCTCCATATCACGCCATAGTTCGATATAGACCCCTGAGATCGCTCAGCCGATATTAACACCTACATTCAATCATCTGATTCTATTGGACATGTTCAGTACATGTTCAGTACTAGCCAGTACATCAATTCCTCATACTGACAGAGTCTTTGAGTAGTTCGCCCTTTGTGTTCTTGATACGTTCTTTATCATCGACGGGATTGGTCGTGCGCAGATCGCGAAGGCATGCTTGGTCCAGCGATTCGGATTATACTAAAGCCGTTCACTTTTCGCTACGCGTGTATTAGAGTTATACTTTTTACTGCGTGCCAAGCCTCCAGGTGTTTGATGACGAAATCTCGGTGCTCTGTCACTCCCTATGAGTGAATCTGGTCGACCAACGATAAGAGTTCCAACGCCTTGCGCTTTGTTACAACCCGGCTGCTCCAGACCCTTTGGAAACCCTTCGTTCACAATGAGTATATAGAAGCAAAATGACTTCGTTGCCCACGCTTACATAAACAGTCTCACTGAGTCCTTCATGTCCGGCATACTCGCTTTCCAGACGCAGCCGCTTGTAGCCCACCAAAATATGCCAATCGGGCATGTAGTATTGAGCTTCGTCAAGACGCAAATGCCGTGGTTGCTTCAACTACTTACAGAATCGAAACCAGCTTTTCCTGGAATGGGCTTTGAGTTAATATTGGTAGATCACTGCTAGCTTGAAGTTCAAGTCATTTTTTTTCGTTGACGTTTTGTGCTAGACTTTTGTGTCAATCCTTGTTTTGAAGGATGTCAAGACCCAATTTCTCCTCCCTACTGTTGACACCCTCCTATTTGTATAGTTGCGATCTTGTCAGTATTCGAAGAGCGTGGGTGCGAGCATTCTCGTGGACGTCTTGGGAGATTTTCTGGTAAACTTCTTTGTAGAGTAAACTTCTTTGTAGTCTGGTTTCTACGATGGTGTTTATCGAACTCCATAGATATGAATCGTTCATCTTCCCATTTCCATTTTCAGAAATAAGGGTAGACATGCCATTTCGGGAAAGAGTTGCGCCGACCTATCCAAAGTTGTCTGCCAACCCCACTAGCTTCCTTACCTTTGCCCCACCTTCCAATCAACACCCTGGATTTTATTTAAAGGAGTCTTGAAATACTGAGATTGCGAGTAACTAAAAATTTTTCTGGCAAAATGGCGGATACGTGGGTTGTCGTCGGCGCCTCTCGAGGTATTGGCCTTGAGTTCGTCCGTCAACTACTACAGAACAGTCACCACGTCATCGCAGGGATCCGCGACTTGTCGAAGGCCGATCAACTTTTCGAGTTAAGATCTCATCACACATCGCCAGAGCGCTGTATGATTGAAGAGTGCGACATTACAAATGAAGAGAGTATTCACGTGAGTCTGTTTGGAGGCAATCGGCTTACCGGTAAGGTACTAAGGATGATAGAAATTTGCAAATAAAGTCGGGGAAGCTGCCCGAAGTGGACTGAATGTCAAGAATATTGTACTCAATGCTGGCATTCTTAAATACCCCAACCGTGCAACTGAAATGTGAGTTTATGCCGAATCTCTACTTGGCTGGGTTCAAAGCACTGAATTTTCCCACAGCTCCTTTTCCGACTTTGCTCTTCATTTGCATACCAATACTATCGGTCCCATTATCTGTGCCCAGAAACTCGTGAATCTCAGCCCAGAATCACCACCTTCCAAGGTTGTCTTTGTTTCCTCGGACTCTGGCTCGACTACCATCTTCCGGGATGATGAAGATGGATTTGGGGCCTACAGCGCAAGTAAGGCCGCGCTGAATCAAATGCTTCGTCATATGGCGGCCGAATTAACGCGAAGGGGCGAGAAGTGGAGCAATACATGCATCCTAGCAATGCATCCAGGTGAAGTTCAAACGTACGCAAAACATTTACCAGGCGTTGATACGTTTATTGACGGTATTACAGAGATATGGCCAACATTGATCTCGGTTGGGAAGTGCAAGGGTCCATCCAGGCCGATGAAAGCGTTACAGGAATGCTCAAGGTCATCGAGCAGAAGAATGAGAGTGGCAGTTTCTGGTGCTGGGATGGAAGAGTAAGTTATCCACCCATTATCTATGCTTTCAAGCAACTACGAATATCTCTGACAGTTCATACTCAGCGACACCCCTGGTGATGAGAAGATAGTAACACAAATTCAGCTGATACATTATGTCGAATAAGGAAAGTCTATTACTTGCAAGAATACGACCATTGGCTCCATAACTAGCTTATTCGCCTCTCTGTGGGCGCTCTAGTTCAGTAAACCGAGTAAAGACCAAGAGGAAAGTCCTATGGGCAGGGCCGAGCGCAGCGGGACGTTTCCTACGTCTTTCTTCCTCTAGTGAATAGTTGCCCACTTCATTGCCTTAGGCTTACGAGACCTCTTCCCAAGATAATAATATCAGCTTTTGAACCCAACTTTCCTCTTTCAAGCCTGACCTTCACCTTAGAATTCCTTTCTGTTGGTACGGAACCTGATCCCTCCTACTTTCTATTATACTGACACCCGAGACACCACCTCTAGCTCGTCTATGCTCGATAGAGAACTACAATCATGGCAGGTATGTGCATCGATGCCAACACTTGACACCCCGCTGACTTGAAGGATTCTTAGATAATTGGCCCAACTGCTAGCCCTCCCACGAATCTAACTAATGTCCGTGTCTAGAGTGTCTTAGAAAGATTTCAAGCTCGGAAAATACTGAGTGATGCAGAGCATAAAAGCATTCCCGTGCTCTCTGCTGGCAATGTATGACAGATTGCGCCGAAAGCAGCCCCATACGTTGGTTCAATGCTACCAATATAACCCAGTGCTCTCCAAAAGCTGTTTCATAGGATTGTCTCGGTGGAGGTTCGTGATCGGTCACCCCGGGATGACGATTCGCTGCGGTTGACAATGCGCGCCGATCCTCATCTGTCGACAGCAGACCACATCAACCCAGGCGCATTGCTATTATTGTTGCTGATCTATCCCAAGGGGCCTGGAGCAGTCAGGCTCACTGCTTGGCGGTGCAGGACCCTTATGCTTGCATATAACCAGGAATATTACATAATATTCTGCCAGTCAAAAACTTCATGATATTCAACATTTGGTATACCACCCCCTATTTTCAATGATATCCTCCACTCTATGAGGCATTGTATCAGCTAATTTTTCTAGTATTGATAGATCAATCTGTGACCAGGCCTCTTGTGCAGTTTAAATCAAAAATTTAAGAGTTTCATCGGTATCAGGCGTAGCTTTAAGCTTTGGCTGTAGCTTATATATCTTTGCCTTCAATAATACCTAAAGGTTTTCAATTAGGTTTAGATCAGGGGAATAAGGAGCATTATCATACATAAAAATTACATCAGAAACTTCGTTCATTAAAGTTAGTAACACTCGTAAATAAGTCTCTAAAGTAACCTATCAATTAACTCCCCAGTAATCCTTAGTCTCAGGATATAAGAAAATAATTCTAGATCATCGTCCAGATTCTAAAAAATCCACCTATAACATTTGTTTAATCCCTCAACAGTGCGCGCTGCAATTGACGTCGGAAGTCTGGCATCTGCCGAGTGTGTGAGATTTTTCGAATGGCTCCTATAGTGGGATATTGAAATCACGTGGGGCGCTGCTGACAAAATAGACCTTTCGTAAAAAGTAGGTTACAAGTGCCTTTTAAATAGAGCGTAACGGGGGTGAGACTGTACGCGCGTGGAGATTGGTCGAGCGACTACATATTTGCGGTGGAAGACGCTGTTGCCCTTAGCCTACGCCAGCCATATCATTTCTCACATTTGGGATACAAGTCAAAGAAGCGGGGTGGTAAGAACCTTCAGCACAGGATCAATAGGTCTTCAACGGGCACAAATGTTGTCTAACTAGCTGTTTACACAAGTTGAACTGTTCTAATCCACAGTTCGCAGAACTTCGCGGTTGGGCTCGCAAGTCTGCGCCCGGCGATAGGTGCAACCCTGCTGTTACTTTCGGCGTATCCTGTTGGTAAAAAGAGCTCTCCGCGTGCACAGCGGGCTAGCTAAACTTGGGCCATTCTAGCAAGGAGTCAATCGAGCTATACTTTGATTGAGGATCCGTCCATTCCGTACCAGCATCAGAGAAATGAAGCGAGGAAAGAATAGCTACATGTCCAGAGTTGAGAACAGCCATCGAGACAGCTACGATGGCAAAGTCAACAAATACATGTTTGAGGCTGTGGGCAGTTAAATTGCCAGAGCCGGTCCATATCTTCGGACTTGCCAGCTAAGTTGAACCGTTTCACCTTTGCCAACAACGTTGACGAGGCAAATTATTTGTCAGGCCTAGACGACCCACCCTCCCCCGCTGGTGGGTCCGCCATCGATCTGCAGTTAGCTCCCGCTCGGTACATAACGCCGCAGATTTATATCACTGTAGTGTCAACACAACCTCCAACTAGTACACTCGGATTCGAAATTGAGGAGTTCTTGGGCTCCCATTCCTAAAATCCCACAGCGGTGGAGGTGTAGAGAATACACCCTGGATCGAAATCAGCTTCACCACTCCCACACACGGATCCTGTTGGAGCACCTGTATGTATTGTCCTGTCACCCTGATACGCACTACTCATGCATATGGTTAGACCTCTATCTATGATACTGGGTCGTGACCCACACAGTCTTTAGATAATACAACTACTTGACACATGCTACAACAGATTCTTTTCTTCGAAACCTACTATACCTAATGTGGTTACTCTACTCCTGATACTGTGTCTTGGCGGTATTTTGACAGTGGAAGACACGCGCGTCGCGCACCTCGACCCTGAAAGGAAGAGCTGGAGAACGGGGCTTGAAAAGGCTCGAAAAGAAGATCTATTTGCATGCAGTTCAATGTTGACCAATGAAAGGATGAAATCCAGATGACTAATCGCATAGTCCGCAGTGAGCAGTCTTTCCTTGAGCCTTACAGGTGCAATTCGCTATTCATGTACCTTCGAATCGGCGAACTTGATATTCAGATTGTAACACTAAATACAACGCGAGGCTCGAATGAATTGGAACTCAACTTCGTTCTTTTTATACAGTGAAAAGACATTATTTCCGATGATGCGGCTTGGTTTTTGACCTACAGCAGCTTTCTACCTTTCGTGTATAGTACTGTAGTTCTAGTCTAGATTTCATTTCTTCACGCATCTTATTACTTTCTATAATCTTGGATTATTTCTGATATATGAACTTCTATAAAAATATTATTCTAATCACAGGGTATTAGAATCACTAGCTTTCTATATACATTTTGTTAATGCCCTTTCGTCATCATGAGATCATGGTGACGAAAGAACCGAACTCATTCCAAACAAAATTTCACCCATCAACAGCAGCAATTCTACATCTCCTCAACTGAATGAAACAATATGAGCTATATCTTCAATGATCAAACCCACGGCGCGGAAATCACCCATCTGTTCCCGGATCGGGTGCAGGGAAAGACATGTATAAAGCCACACCCACACCCACGCATCGCCCATTAACTAACATTTACAGTCATTCTAGCAGGTCTAAAAAGAGGAGCCTTAGCCGCTGCAACAGCAGATGCCCTCGCGGCCGCCGGCGCAGGCGTAATAATCTGCACTGGCCACTGCCAAAAAGAACTTCAACCCGTTATCGACCACATCCACCGCAAATACAGGAACGTAAAGATGGTATTCATAACCGCGGACACTAGTAGTATCAGCTCATTTCAGGAAGCGGGTCATACTGTTAAGAGAATGGGTGTACCGATTAATGGATTTATAGGGTTTCCTTCTGTGATGGCTGTTGAGTGGGAAAAAACGAGGGATGGGTTTGAGTCGCATTTCCAACGGAATTATCTTTGTTATTTCCTATTTATTAAGTTGATTTCTGACTGTATGGCGCCTAGGTCAAGGGTCGTTCTTGTGACGTCTAGTGTGCGTACTGACGTACGCGCACCAACGTGGGTTGATATTGGGTTTTCAGTGAGTTATTGACTTTTTACCTGAGCTGATCGCTGACTTTAACAGAATGGAGAGGACTATCATTGTCTTGATGGGTACTCGCAAGCCTCGCTGGCGAATATCCTATTTGCCAAATCTCTCTCGAATATATACCGGGATCGGTCTATTGCCGCATTCTCGGCAAATCCTGGCAGTAAGTGTGACTTCAGATCCGATTGAGACCCGTCTTACCCTCTTATTGGCTTTCTACATAGATACCAAAACCAATATCCAGACCTATGTCACGAAGGATCAGATAAACACATGGCTGGAGCGGAAGAAAATAGGTTCGCGGATCTATATCTAGATCCTAGGACTAAGCTGAGTTGGTTTATAGCGGGGGAAGAGATTCCGATGTTTCTGCAGCAGGCGCCAAAGTCTCTTGCTCAGGGTAGTGCTATCGTGTTACGGGGATTACTCGACCCGGGCTTAGAAGGTGAGTGAAATTTAACTGATTAACATCCAAATGGCATCTCCATACGCTAATATAAGACTTCGCAGATCAGCCTGGAGCTTTCTTGAATGACTGCCAGGTGCATAATCTACCGCATCTCGATTTCCCGGCTGGTGAAGAAAGCGCCATGACGTTATGGAGGCGCAGCGAAGAATATCTCGAGGCTTTCTTGTGTTAATGGGGGTGGTTTGGGCCGTCTTAGGAAAGGAGCCTATTCAAAATCTAGCTTGGCCTCTTTGGGGTTCTTCATTATTCAACCCTATCATTCCTGAGATAAGGCTTTGGGGCAGTTGGAGCAACGAACTAATCACAGAAGTTATTTCCGCATTTTACCTGACCCCTCACCTCACGGTGATATACAGCCTACCTCAATTATATATAGCCCGAAAACCACGCCGATATCGATACGATGACCAGCAATTTGCTATTCCGGTACGTCGGATTGTGGATTGTTTTACCGAAGCTGTTCCCGATCAGCCTGGCCCCTCGCGAGATCTTTTGGCATATAGCACCGTCAAGGCACACGCTCGCTCTGGAGTTCCACAGACCCGCACCTATATACAAGATGCCTCTTTGTTATTCTTAGATTAATTGTATGCCGATGTCAGAGTCACTGACACAATTACTACCTTTCTTGCTTGGTGTTTCGTTTATTTTGTATTTTTGGGGAAGTCACCAATGGTTGATCCTATCAATACCAGAGAAAATAGGGGTGTAAATGCAGGCTAAGGGCTGGAAGAATTGGTATAATAGCTGTTGTTTATTAAAAAGGATAGCATACCTGGCTTAGATAGGTCTGCTCAGTATATAGATATATCAGATAAGTTATCTGTTCTTAGATAGAGTAATTCTTTAATACGCCAACTGATTCCCTATAAGACAGATAATTCAAAAAACATACCTGAGCCTATAGACTTAGATATTCTAGAGCCAGATCTAGACTAAGATATATTTAATCAGAGAAGTTCTTTGGATAGAGATCGCTCTACTCCCTGAGGTTTACAGAGTAAACCAGTACTGGGAACGGTTTCTTATTACTGCTCACCCGAAGCTGCTCTAGAACTTAGAGCTACTAGAAGAAAATATATCCAGATCTTATTAGGAACAGTCTTACTTAAATAGAGTCAGGGCAAAGAAGCAGTAGGAAAGGAACTTAACCCAGGCACTGTATCTATATATAGAATTACTGCTTAAATACCTATTAATCCTACAGTATAGCAATAATCTTCTACGGAGACAGTAATCTTACTCAAAGAAAGTAGTCTGTCTAGGTCCAAAGAGCTAGAGGCTTTTCTTAATAGCCTAAAGCGGGCTTAAGTAGAGCAAAAGGAGCTAGGAAAAAGGATAGAGAGTAACCGGCTAACAGAAGAGCTTAATCTGCTCTATTTTAACCAAACTTTATCTAGGGTGTTACTTTAATCAGGTTATACTCAGACTTTATTACTGCCAACTAACTAGTGTAATGGGGAATTCCGCTCTCAACACCGGTATCCTATAGTCAGGTGATTGGGGCCTTAGTAACAAGGCAGCAATATCGTTTCGGAAGAATAAGTAGCGTTCGTTCGATAGTATCAATAACAAGGTGCATGTTCCCCCTTATGAATTATTCTTTCTGCGGAGTCTACTGAGGCTGAGGTTGCGGTATCGGTGTATCGCATGTCCATGAAGACTCGAATGTCTTATTAGTCGCATTTCTATAGCGTCACGCACTGTCTACTACTCTCCTGCACTCTGCGAGTGTGGTGGTTTTGTCCTCTTGTGATCGACCCGTCTGCTTGACAGACTGCCAGCGAGCATTCCCATCGTACACTATCTGATTTGTATTAAGATTATCTAAACAAAGATTAACTAAGCCCTTTGGCAGCCGCTCTAGGCCTATATAGATACTAAAGCATTATCTATTATCTTATATTATAGCAGTAGATTATATGCTTCTTTACTTATATATAGTAGCCAATAGAGCCTTTATAACCTGCTTTTCCCTATTACTAGTTTAAATATTGTTAACAAAAGGTATAGTAAACCCTTTAGACTTTAGCTATATTATCTTAATCTTAGTCTTAATCTCCTAATCTGTATAAGAGTAATAATTATCGTATAAGCCCTGTCTCTGCTACCTCCCTCTCTCTATTTTTCTTTCAGCCACTTAAAAATATGTATGAACGTGTATGCTCTTTGTTAATGGATATTTATTCCTAATTTAATCTATGGCAGCAGCTCAAAAGCAGAGAGTTGGACTTCTGCTAAGCTCTTCCTACCCTCTTCGCTGTGCCTATACCTTCGTCAGTACTTTGTCTTACCTTCAACTGACCTCCCCGCCCAAATCACTCAGTCTGAGCTCGCCAATTGTTACAGGCTGAATAAAATCCCCTTAATTTCCGAATTTGTCAAAGTTCTATGGGTCCCTGATTCCATTTCGATGAAGTATGTCATAACAGGAGGGATCGAATCATTTTTTCCACTCTAGGCTTCGTGCCACTATCACCGTGTCACACATATGCATTATAGTTGACTAGCGAAATCAGTAGACGCAGCTCAACTATGATATCCAGCATGCCAACAGCAGCGCTACGGAAACAACCTCACAATATGTTCCAACAATGTGTGGACTTTCTAAGGCTGGAGTATTATCGCTATGAAGCCACATTTGGGCTGTATGTCATGACTCCCACGGAAAAGATCGTCGTCAATACCTTCGTTATCACCAGACTATTACTCCTCTGTTGGACAATATTACTTTATTTCCCGCCTTTTGCTGTACAGTACCGTAAGTTCGTTCGTATTGTGTGGGTTATAGGCCACGGGGGAGAGAGTGCGGATGCTGATGCAGGCTCTCCTGCAGTGGCCTTACTCAATTACGCCGGCTGGTAGCTGAAACTCACTGTATCCGTAGGTCCATGGAGCTTGAGACTAATGTTGCAACTTGGTTGGCGGAAGGCTGAATGACGACGACAAATTGTGCCGAATCTCACATCAGCTACCAGGGGCGGGCCAGCGAGACTCAGGAATGACATTTAAACCCTAAGCCTATGTCCGTCAGAAAGTTCAATTGTATCCGGTGACTACTATGGACTGTCGCCCGAGTCAACTTTTGAGTTTATTACGCAATCACCTATGATATGCGCAAACGTTTCAGATAATGCCTTGAAATCTTTGGCTTCGGTCGCTGTCCTGTCGGCTTTTGCCATTTGAGAGGTAGGAGTAAAACAAACTAGGACTGACCAGCATGTGCACTCTCCGGGCCACTTGCAGAGGTTCCATTTGTAAATTATGTCTGATTCCAACGGCTCAAATATACAAAACCTATATGCAGCTCTCCCATTCTAAACGAGACGATTTCGGCCGCGGGAGGTGGCCAGTCCTGCTCGCATATTCTCTCGTCGTGAACAAAGTTTGATTGACAGTTTCAATTTCCTGGCCACTCAATGGATTAATGATTAATCCATTATTTTTTCAGGAGGGTCATTCGCGGCCCTGTCTTTCATTTCTCTCATCCACGAGCTCGTAAGCAGGGTGGTATCGGCATTGCTCCGATTCCACCATGCTATCACTGCTATTCCTAGCTTTGGTCGAGCTAAATTGTTCCTTCAATAGCTTGGGGTTAGGTTGTGTATCCGATGTCCCTCCTAGGCTTGTATACCCCTCATTATAGAGACTGCAATATTCTAGGCCCAGGTGACGGATGAGTGCCCAGATCTCGGTGTAACTCCAGTCGATCACAGGATGAATACGAACGAAATCAGGCCATCCTTTGTCTGTCTTGTTGAAATGCGACAAATATTAACCATGGGGATCAGATCGGCGAGTTCCCACTAATATGGCCCGAATATCGGATTGGTCCGCTAAGTAATCTTCGAAAACATCCCGCAGTGTCATGTTTGAAGAACCAATATTGAATTTCGTGAGAGAAAGGCCGTAAGTCTTAGCAGACCTCATAACAAAATCTTCAACAGCTGGAAATGGATCGGCTGGGCGAACATATATAGCTGGAATGCTCATCATTTCTGTGCCGAATACTGCTGCCGGCATTTCATTCGTCCCAAGACTCATAATTACCCTTTCGTTCCGTTGTTGACTTTGGCGGCGACCAAGGTCGCCGAGAAACAGCACCAAAAGTACAAGGCAGTCCTTACCCCCGTTGTAAGAAATTGCAAGCTCCGAAATTTTGTACTTATGGAGAACTGCGGACACAACATCAAGGGAAAATGTTGTCTGTCGTTGCACGGAGCCGAGTAGTGAGTTAGAGGCATGTGGCTCGTCAAGGAATGACTGGATCTGTGCGTGTACCTGAAACGACATGATTCGAAGGGAAGAATGAGGATAACATAGATAATTCACGAATGTGAGCATTGCCGAACCTGGTCTGAAGCGAACAAGAAGCGTAAAATTGCCATCACGTGAGACTTGGATCACAGCAACTTAGCAACAGAAAGTGGAGTTACCACTAACACCGTCCTTAGAGGCGTAGGGTTCTCTTCCGGTCAATAGAACTTCCGATAAGAAGATCGCTAGCTTCATTCCCTTGATTCATGAATATTACATACATAGAGAGTCCTCCTCAGAATAGCGACCTGGTCGGGCTCAGTCGGAATTTGGTGTATCTACCCAATCCAATATTTTCATACCGAAATTCTTCATATTCCTCTCAATATGGTCTAGCGCCAGGTTATTTATCAATTACCGTCTACATTGGTACGGACACAGGGTGAAGAAAAGGTCGCAGATTGTTTGGAATGTGCTGTGGGTATTTAGCGGAAGTGTCTTTCACGGATGGAGATGATTGGATGAGTAGTATTGCCAGATACAGCTAACAGCTCGATGCAGCGGACGTCTCCAGCATAACTGGCTTACCTTCGCAATTACTAACCGATGGTGGACCAAAAATGTCACGCGGAAGCGACCGGGGCTGTCTTGCCGGACGTATCGACGTATCGGGTTGTCCAATTCCGGAGAGACATAACACACCAATGTCAGTAGGCCCAAAGTGGATATTTCTTGTCTTGGACTGTTAGGCAAGAATCGGAATAATAATATATTCACCGACACGGTGGCTGAGAATCTCAAATTTCAAGGTGTGGAGTATCCCAAAATGTATTTGAAGTCTCCAAGCTTTTATCTTTGTCTTTGCTTTTGAAACGCCTGAATTTCGCATTGCGCTAACACTTATTATCTCGGGAGAAAAGAAGTTTTGTGGCAAACAAGAGCTGGTAATACCTGGGACAACATGTCTACACCCTTTTCCGAATATCAATTTGATTCAATTCCCGACACAATCGCCGCTATTAGTGAGTTTCCACTTTTGCCAAATAGGGTTTCCTATGCGCGTTTTCTCTGAAAGGCGCAGAAGCTTTGAGGTCAACCCCCATAAAGCTTATATGTGTCCATTTAGAGAATGGAGAATTCATCATTGTCCTGGATGACCAGGACTGAGAGAATGAAGCTGACCTGATCATCGCCGCGGAGTCGATCACGCCTGCTCAAATGGCCTTCCTAGTCCGATTCACCAGGTGAGAGAGGACCCTGAGGCCATACACTACTCCACCTCACCCAAAGAGAAGATCGTGTTGGGCTAGGTGCGATTGCTGCTTTCTAATTGTTGGTTATGTATTGATTACGTCTCATAATTGTAATCAGTGGTTTGATATGTGCTCCCATTACCCCGAGGCTTGCGTCACGCCTCGCCCTCCCTCAAATGGTCATCCGAAATGCCGACCCAAAGGGGACAGCTTATACAATTGCGATCGACTCAAGCGCCGACTCTATCACAACAGGTATTTCCGCCGAAGACCGTGCTCTGACATGCCGCACCCTAGCCTCTCCAAACGCCCGTGTGGACTCCTTCAGACGGCCAGGGCACATTATTCCGCTCGCAGCTCGATCCGGTGGCGTGCGCCAGCGTAAGGGCCACACCGAAGCTGCGGTGGATTTATGCCGACTTGCTGGAAAAGCTCCCGTCGGCGTTATAGCAGAGCTGGTTGAAGACGGAGAGATTGTTGAGGGGGTGCCGGAGGTAGGTGGAAATAATGGAATGATGCGTCGCGATGGGTGCTTGAGATTTGGGAAAAGATGGGGGATTAGGGTATGCACAATTGAGGACCTGGTGATATACTTGGATAGAGCAGAAGGGATTATAAATACAAGAAAATAAGCATCTGTCTATGGGATGCTATGGAATGTACAGCATTCAATATGGAGAACTCAAGCCACGGACAAAATAAGTACTGTACAATCGAAGCCGAATGTCGAAGTAGGGCACGACACGAGAGAGCGAGGTGACGATGAAAGAAAGCCCGAATGAATTCTTTCTTATTTCCCCGGAACAAAGTGCACAAGTGGTGATCAGTGATGGCCACATTTTAGGTACTGAATCACGCTTTTCGCAGCCGACCTCCTATGTGCTGGAGCCCTGGGAGAATGAGCTACAACAAAAAACTCACTAGCTGCCTGTAGCCGCGACGTTGCAGCTGCTAAATCCCGCAAAAGTGTACGCGAATAAATTAGAGCGTGAAGCAATCGTCAGTTCTTCAGGTCCAAGGCTTACACTTTTCTCGGCCCGGAGTGCGTCTGTTTGTACAGTATCGAAAAAAAGCTTCTTAACCAAAACTTTCAAAGAGAAAGGCCCTTGATCATGTACAAAGACGGCAGTGAGATGGAAGGAAAGGTGGGAGCCGCTGTAGCGATTATTCTTGAAGATCATTTTGCCAATAGCCAGATAGGTGATGGCAATAATTATATATTGTACTGTATGCCGTGGCCCACAAGTGTGGTCGAATTCTTGGTCAGAACAACTCTCATGAGCCAGCTTCAAACACTTGACCCGAGCTTTTTAGGAGCAGAAATGGGGGATGAGAGAGGATGGCCCCTTGAAACCGCCTGCTAGAATTGCAGTAATAGGTCCGTGTAGGTACTCACTTGATCCATAAAAACGCGCAAGCAGTAGCCGGCAGTTGGAATGGTTGTGCTGATAAAGGTGCAGGAGTGAGTGATGTTGGGGTGAATAGAGTCCAAGCGAGGGCGGCGAAGAAGGACGACGGCCATCGCGATACATTTCAATCCTTTGCTCGCTGATGCATAAAGTATATTTCTTTTGTTCTTTTACATTCTATTCTTGAGATGACCAGCCAGAGGCTTGGGTGTCGAGCCTCCCTAGATCACCATGTGAGCAGGCGACAACTTTCCCGACAGCACTCGCGCATAGCAGCATATATATGCAGCAAACTGCATCGAGCAAGTAAGTCCATCATCATCAGCGGGTAAAAACGTGCATTAATAATCGATAGATTTTTAAGATGGCTGCTGTTCAATTTGCCCGGCGAGGTTTAAGTATCTCCACACACGGAATTCGGCTGCTCAAATAAAGCCGCGACAGCATTTAGAAAATGCTTGGGGTCTTTAGTATGAGGCGAAGAAGGCGGCTTCATTTACAGTACCACAATACACTCATAAATTCCATCTCATAGATGGCTAGCTTTTTATGCTGTTTATTAGAAGGTTAGTGAGAGCGCGCTCTTTGGGAATGAAGACTGCTGGCACTCTCCCTGCTACATTGGACAGTCTTCTGATCTTTCTAATGATCCTCGCTGGTATCGGTTGCTGCCTGTTGCGTATAGACTATTTGAGAGACAATCTAACACAAACAGATTGGCATTTGTCAAATGAAAGAATGTAAGCAGAAAGGAGCCTCAGCATCCAGGCGACTACGCCGCTGAGATCCTTAACTCAAAATAAAGAATACTTACGGTCAGTCAAGAAGTTTTTTTCACATCAGCGCAAAAAGATTGCCGCCGTTATCTTAGTATACACAGCAACGGTTGGCTATTTAGTGTTACCTAGTGTGGCTACAAGTGCCATTTTCATCATTTCATCATTAATTTTTTTGATAAAGAAAGCAAGTGAACGGCCTCGGAAAACATTGTTGGAAAGCTGAGCTGAGGTTTTCTGGACCAGGTAAATGATTCATCTGCTGAGCGTTTGCGCCCATAAGTTGGCCTAGCAACCAATTGAATTTGACTTTGAGACGCAATGTGGAGAGTGGAATACCAAGCATGTATTAGAGCGCACTGCTTATGGAGACTGATGGACGGTTTCAGACTGCTGAGCATGAATCATGTGGCAGGGGCTGGGATGGGAACCCGGAGTCTGAAACTGAAGGGAGGGTCGTTCCTACGGTATCCCAAACAGGCAATAGCATTCAACCAATCAGATATCTGAATAAATGTATGAATCCCCCCCTAACCATGGCGAAAGATCTGCTGTTGGGAGTAGCACAGACGTAGTTACCTCTTTCATTCCATATTATTTGTCCACATTTGCATCACCTCGTGCAGAGAACTGCGACAAATCATTGAACCGACGATCATGTCCCAGCCGGTTGGGTAATCACTGTGTGGTGGCTCTGGTGGATCGAAATTTAAACGTGTTCAGAACGTTAATTGTAGCGCTACGGAGCTATTGATAGAGCTTAATAGCAGTCTGAAAGCCTAAGTAAAACTAGACAGGGTGCGGGAACTCCTTAAAAACGTTTGAGCCTTTACCAACGACCTTTTATTGCTCCTTCTGTATAACTGGTAGCAGGAGCTCTAGTCTCTCTATAACGATCTCTCTAAGGAGATTTATAATACTGTAAAAGTAGCTATAGAGCCTCTATCTTATATAGGCACTGTCTTCTAGGCTTAGGCGGCTGTATATATACTAGTGCCAGCTTATCAGCTGTTGCTTTCCCTATTATTGAATACTATATCCGCTGTACTGATTACGGTATATAGTTGGGATATAATTATCTGCCTTAATAACTATGACTAGGTAGACTGATATTATATTAAGCTATCTGAGGAGATAAAGGATTATACTAATAAGGTATATATAGAGTATATAAAAGATATCAAGACTACTACCTTAGCTATAGTAATAGTAGCTGAAAATTTCTGCTATTAGGGGAAGTATACTACTATTACTAAGATTAACTAGTTATAGGTACTAAAGGAGAGAGCTAAGCTCGTATTAGTTATTCTTAAATTTAGTAAGCTATAGTCAGTAAACAAGGCTATTAAAGAGGGTATACTTTAGGATTTGAACTAGTACTAGGCTCTTCTGTATGGTAGAAGTCTCTAGGTACAGTAATACTTTAACTGTTAATAATATAGATATATAGGAACCTTCTGTACTAACAAAACAATATATATAAACTGTGCTAGGGAGTATTAGTCTTAAGATTATACTATCTGTATATATAAAGGAAAAGAGAGAAAGTATGCTAATTATAAGGGTGTATATCTAGTATAGAGTAAGGACTATAAGGTAAGGATTACTATAGTGGAAAAAGTGATAGTAATAGCGAAGCAGTACAGGAGATTCTATCTAGTACTGGCCGAGTTTAGCTATTATAATCTCTCTGTATCCCCCTCCCTGCTATCCTTAGGCTCTATAGGGACACTATAGGCATTATTAATAGAGGAATCAGATAAAATAGATAGCACTATTGTATTAGCTGTATACTTTAGTAACGGGGAGTAATATCCCAGTATAAACCAGACTACTAGCAGAACTTAGGGGATAAGCCAGTAAGGAAAACAGTAGTAAAAGCGCTATCTAACTTTACCACGAGGATCCGCAGGCTACTGATGGCTGAGATGACATACACTGAAAACAATCACGTAGAGGTTCCCAGGAACACAGCTTATATTAGGAAATTACTGGTAGACTTGTGATAGTTGCTCTTTCCGCTTGGCCGCCGAGCGCTAACTAATTATGTGTGTATGCGATAGCGTGGAGATACATGCTACAGTGCAGTTTGGCCTTGTCCTTCACAAGCCCAACATCAAAACAGGGTCCTCCCTTCTCTTGCTTGCTTTTATTGGCTCACCTTTTCTTGCAGTATTGTCTATTTCCAGCGAAATAAACCAAAGAAATTTCCACATTCGATTTATCAAGCAAACTATATGCTGCCCTCGTTGAGACGAGTGTCTGTCCCAAGGGCTGCTACTGTACTACATGGTTACCATACACCGCTCTTTTTCTGAGAACATTACAACTTTTATTAAAAGAAAGGAAAGCATTTGAAGGAGCTGAAAAACACTGCCCTTTGCTGTAAAATCTTTTCATCTCGTCAACATCATGCCAAATGAGCCCCGGAAATTCTGAAATACAGAATCCTGATATCCATTTACTGCGAAGGCAGTACATCAACTATTCGTAATAGACCAAGTGACGTCCCTTTTACCACATGGATTTCTGGATATTTGTGGATCATCGTTAATTTAGAGAGCAAAGCCAATTCTTTAGCTGTAGGCACTGACCATTGTCGAAATACCTTCGAGTCGTCCTGGCCGGCATATCTGCCAGGAGGAAAGTTGTATTCGTCGTCCAAATGCTCCTTAGCTGCCATAAGAGGTCCCCATTTACGCTTAATGGCTTTGAGATGTTGCTTGAAACCCGATAATACCGTGGTAGGATGTCGGGATTCTGTAGAGGACAGAGCAAGGCTATGAGTATGAACAGATATTGTTTTATTCATTTTTGCGGAAACATTCGTGGGAAATGAGATGAAGGGATATATCTGACAAAGTAGCTTTGAAACTGTTCAGGTCCCTGAATCTGAATGAGAAGTCTAACAATTTATAGTTTTCAGAATTGACAAGTTGTGGCCACATGGTACAGCCGCTCCAACCACTGTTGGCCGAGCTTCAGCCGAAATATCTGCGTCTTTTCTATTCTCAAAATACAACATACCTAGCACCTCCCTACAAATTAGCTGTCGAGTGTCATGGTCAGGGTGGGTGAATAATGGATTCGGAAAGCCCACTTAGGCTTCAGAAAAGGCAATTCGGCGGTGTGACATGGTTTGAAGCAGGGGAGGGATGATTAGAATTCTAGTATTACCAGATCAGGAAATTTTGCATGTGGACGATCCAGGAGCGGCATTTACCGAGCTATCACCGAGGCTTTACCCCAAAGTCGCCTTGGACCCGCGCATGCGCATGATAGAGTGACTTTGGCTATGACTCAATGGTATCGTTTATATAACCATGCGGAGATCACTTTCCCCTCGTGAGGAGACGATGATTTCCGTATAAACCTTTTTTGAGTCGCCCTTTGTTTGTGATACATACGGAGTTTCTTGCAATTCGTAGCCAAGAAGGTCTATGTGGGCCTTTAAATAGTATGTAGGATATAAAGCAGGCGAGGCGAATACTTGAGTGATTCCGCTTGGCTGAATCTCAGCACTTTGACTTATAATCTTTTTTCTGGCATCATCTGGAATCTATGACGCCGCACGAATATACTAACATCTATTGCTGATTTTATGAGCATCAGAAATTGGCCAATTGAGGTTGGCTTCAAACCATGACGACCTCTCTCTTTTTAAGGGGGGCCGGGCGGCAGCCTCCATGGGTAGGTAGTCTTGAACAATGTAGATCACGCCTCATGGGTTAGATGGCTCGGAATTGGAGGCTGATAATAGTTTCCATGGTTCCTAAATATGCGACCATACCTTGGACGAACGACGAAGACTCTCGTGATTCATACTATTAGATTGGTGTTCACATAACGAGATCGTGAACCGCACAGTCCAGTAACCATAGAATACAACCATATTACAACGCCATTCGAGCCTTAAAACCCCTATAAGACACTAACCCATTTGAGGATTTATTTCGCCACGAAAAACGTCTGTATTAAAATTTGTACCAAATTCTTTGATATATACGTACCTCTCGAAAATCGTCTACTTGAAGACTTGAACTAAGTTTATACCGCACTCCGCCATTGAATGACTGATTTCTGGCCAGGAAGAGGCATCGCGGTATGAAAATAGATTACATAGCCAGCAATTTCATTCGTCACGCTGTGACCGCGGAGATAATCTCACTTAACCATCGGTGCGAATTCTTCATTCCGTATTCCCAATAACCCACATGTTTTGGCTGGAATTATTCACACATTTGTCTCTTTATACACACTGATGTCGCTATAATGATGCCGCTAGTACAAAAGCAGGTACTACAACTCCCTGCCTAGCCATATGCAACGAACTCCTCAATGGACTCCATGCAACGACAGACTACGATTTCCTAAAATGCTGTCTTTACTGCCCTGTGGAAGTACAGCATTTCGGAGCTTACCATACTTCTGGTCCTTTTTAACGGGGCTTGACCGTTATTTGACCAGCATACGGCAGGTGTTCAGGGAATATAGGAAGGCAAATCACACCAAAAGTCGGAATTACAGTACGATCTGGTTATTCGTGACATTCCGGTCGTAGATATCCGTGCCGTCGATTCGCTATCAGCCTTTGATAATTCAGTCATGCGCTCTGCTGGAATCCACAGAGTTAACATTAAAGACCATTAGTTCCTCAGATATGGCCATGCAAGATGCGTATGATAAATACTGCTCGCAAAAATCAAGATTTCGGGGCATGTTAGTTGGTACTCGTCGATCTGGTGCTCATAGTGGAAAATGAACCAAGAAGAAGGAGATTTTATTTGATCAATTTCTGAGTTTTCTGTCTTTCATTATGATCGTGAATATTGCATTTTCTATGGCAAGGGATATACAAGCCTGGGAGAGACCCTAGACCCCCGGCCGAACCCAAAGTTAACTACGTAACGCTTTCTATCCAATGGAACTGGCTGTGGGTGATAGCCCGGAATGATGGTCGTCATACACTCAAGCCTGGATAGCTTTGTCAGTACGTCACCTAAGTCTGCACCAGTTTTACGAATAAGATGAAGAACGAAGTTTTTCGCAGAAATTCCAAGTTCATAAGCGTCAGTCAATTTAAGGAGAAGAAATTGACAACTATTAGTCTGGTTTCTTAAGCGAAACGGCCATTCGCACAAAATGCCCTTTAAGACACGAAGATCCACCACTTCATTCTTGTCAGGAGTCGGCAGCCGATGCTCAATTAACTTAATTTCCTCTTCAAAGTCACCTTGAAGATTGTTATAGGTGTTCTGAGGGTCATTGATGGGAAGAATATGTCTCAGATCTGATTTTCCCCTGTGGCTTCCGGGGTGGCGCCTTGGTAGCCAACCTCCGGATTGGCGGCATGCATCTCACCGCTGGTCCCCTTAGAGTTGAGGTTTCTCTTTTCATGTAGCTCTGAGCAATTTGGATGCTTTTTTTTCGTCGATCCAGAGCGACAAGGCTTCAAGAAATAGTGCAAACAATATGAAGATGCTACAGTCATGTGAGCTGATGATAATGATGATAGTAGGGAAATGAGGGCCTTTGATTATACAATACCAGAAAGATAAAGGCTTCATTTGCCCATTTGTTGGAACATGTGACCCCAGGGGGTGCATTGGCATTGCAGTTGTTTTGGTTATAGTCCACCGCGGAAAATATATATGCAGCGAGCCAACTGGGAAAAATCAGTAGCTGGTTTTGGAATCTTTGTAGTTCAAATAGCCTCACAGATATGGAAGAATCACATCAATGAAAACCACAAAGTCCTTGACTGGTGTGGTCTAGAAAGGTGATACAAAGGCAGGCAAGAAGACAACCACGGAAAGAGCAGCCTATTTCCATCAGTATCAAATAAACCTCCTCAGACTTAATGTATACTCACTATGATTTCCACATAAACGATGGTCAGTCCTTTAGGCCCAACGTTGATGAATGAGGACGTTATGCCGAGAACTATCACGCTACTCAGCCACTGAATTACCCTGTTGCAAAGGGAAAAGAAATGTCACTTGGCCGTCGGTCAGATAGGGGATTTTGGAAGTCATTGCGTCTGATTGGTATGTCAACTTCGACAGATGTAGGAAAGCCCACAATGTTTTGAATGATCAAAATACTCCTTGAAAGTATGACCATGCTTATATAGTTAATGAAAAGAAAAAGACTCCAGGGTGTATAGCTCATCTAATCTTACAAGTTAGAGTACTTCATGATGTCAAAACTCCCTGGCTCTTATCTGGTTTGAGTAATTAAGCCCGGATGTCATCGGCGCCTGCTACCCTGAACAACGATCTGAATTGGCAGTATTGTTATGAACAACCCGCGGAAACACACTTTTTGATTCACCTCACGGAAACTGAAGGGGGAAAAGTTGGAAAAGGAAAAGTTTTGGTACTTTACATGGCTGGCTGTCCGTGTCCGGTTTTGTTAGAGAGTTGGAAAGCACTGAAACCTTGTCGAGAAGCATAACCACAAGTCAATTACAAGTGGACCTCGCGTTATAATTGGCCTCAAAGTTTTAAGTGGTGGATTCACAAGATGATTGGCGCATAAAGGACGAGAAAGCCTCCCGAAATTCGACGAGAAGTAGTCATGCCGTGAATTTTCCAGCAATCCGGCTTATCCAAATTTTACAAGCCCTTTGTAATCTGTCTTGCATTGGAGAACACCTAAATAGGAAATTTACATCAAATGGAATTTATTCCGAATCCACTGCGCAAAGCCGTGCAAATATCTAACCGAATGGCGATAGTGTCTCTGGCTGTGACCCGTATTCCCGACGATGGGTAATTGTGATTTATGCAGATAATGGAATGTATGACGGCAAATCGGACAGCTGGCGTCCTTTGAAGCCATCCACTCGTCAATACAAGGCTTGTGGAATATGTGATTGCACGGAATCTGACGAAAGGTAGATTCGGGCTCCATATCTTCAAAGCAAAGATCACAAACGCTGGGTAAAAACGAACCGACTGATAATATCTCAACATGGAACAAATTGTGGGAAGTATCAAGACAGACATACAGGTAAATTTCTCCTCGCACTTGGTATAGCACGGCATAGCTGCTGTCTCGATATCTTCGAGACTGAGCGGAACCTGCCTATCTGCTGAAGATCTGCGAGTAAATGATGAAAATCTTTCTCTCTGCATCATTGACTAATGCAACAAGCATAAGGGCTCTAAAAAATATCAAAGTTTGGATCTGAGGGTAGAGGCTCAAACCATCAATTTGTATTATTTCCCAACATATTCTTTTTCAAATCATTAATAAGTGGCGGAAACTCTAACTTGAATAGAGTTCTACCGTAGAGCTTTGATAGAATCTGATAGGCGCAATGGTATTACTCAAAGAAGGTCCCCGTTGGGCGGCGCCTTTTGGTCCTATCAATCGGGAAAGTTAGACTGCACCGACCCACTCCAAAACAGTTGGAACGTCATCGGTTTTCATTCAAAGACTGTCGAAAACACCCACCAGCAAGCGTTTCTAATTTGAGTATATTCAATTATTTGTGGATTCCATACCGAAGTACGGATCGATAATTGTAGTATTCTAATCATGTGAAAACCTCCGCGGTCGCGGTAAGACCGATCGTGAGGCCTCTTCATTCACCGATTTCGTCGTTCTGCATCGTGGGTTACGGTTTTTTGCTAGCCCTGAGCTAGAGATCAGATAAGCTGCAATTCTTTTTTTCTTTTAAAAAAAACGGTCTAGGTCGTACAGTAGTAGTAGATATTGAGCAGATGGTGATAGGCTGCAGTTTATAATTTGATTGATACTAATCCACACGTGCAAGTCATGGCCATTTACAAATAGATTCCCATATTGAATAACTGATGCCCAAATCTCTCAAACCGACTTGGGTCAGCTTATTTGCAGAAATCAGAATGATCGCGTTTGATGGTATCGGCGCCCTTTTCGGCAACCATGTACACGGAATTCTGAATCCGACAGTCAGGGATGACAGGGATACAAGATGCGTCAATCATGCGGAGATTCTTTATGCCCTGAACCTTGAGGCCGGGATCAACCACCCCGTGTTGGATATTCTTGGACAAACGGGCGGTGCCACAAGGATGGAAAGATGTTTGGGAGCGATCAAGGACAGTTCTCTTCATGAGCTTGTCATCGTGCAGCGGCATTGGCCATGGATACTCGTCTTCAATGATGCCTTTAAAGCCCTCTCCATTCTTGAGGAAATCATATGCGTAGCGGATACCCTCGCCAATAGCAATAATGCCGAGATCGTTATTGAAGTAGTTCAAGTTGATGTTGGCTTGCTGCAGAGGATCACTGCTGTGGAGTGTCACAGTACCGCCTTCCGATACAGGACGGACAAGATCGACCATGACAGTCATATAGTTGCCCTTACTGGGAGTAGGATAGTGCCACTGGAAAGCACTGCCAAACAAACAGACAAAATCGAGCTCAAAATGAGGCTGGCCGTAGGGGCAAAAATGATCTTTGTTGTCGTTGGAGGCTTTGGCCTGACGGTACAAAGGATCTTTTTCAAGGTAGTCGTCAATGCGAGGAAATCCGACCATCTCCAGGGATCCCGAGCCCAGAGGCCCACAGTGATTATTCTCGTATGTTTTGATAGCATGATCAGTGTGAGTCGTTCCTTTCCGCAAAACATAATCGTCCATGCCATATTCGTCTTTGAGACGCAGAACGTAAGGAACACTAGGGTGATCAAGAAGATGCTGCCCCATGTGAGGACTATCGACAACAACTGGGATATTGTGTTTTTGAAGCTCTGCAGAGGGCCCAATGCCACTCAAAATCAGCAACTTAGGAATCTCAAAAATACCTTCAGATACAATAACCTCGCGGGTGGCAAAAGGATTGAGCTCTTGACCGGAGTCGAGGATAACAGTCACACCATTACAAGTTTTATCGGCAGCGTCAATAATGAGACTCTTCGAATGAGCCCGAGGGAGAATTGTCAAATTAGACTTATCAGCAACACAGAGAAAACTACGGGATCGGCGACCCTTGTAAATAGTGTTGACGCTGTGAGTAAGGCCAGACATAGTGCCATCAAAGATGTTTTCGGCGACTGGGTGACCAGTGGATTTCCACGCCTTTGTGAAAACGTCTCTGAAAGGCTGCATCTCAGGGGTGAGCTCCGAGTGAGCGATTGGGATCGGACCACCCCCGCCAATCTTCTTCATGTCTGGGGAGAATGCGTTATGATCGTCGTGGTATGTAACGCTCTTCCGCAGATAGCGTAGGTGTGGCTCCTAAGTCCATTCCTTACCCCCGTACTCCTCCCACATGTCATAAGTGCCCTTGGACCCAGTTGCCCAAGTGAAGTAGTTTAAGGATGAACTACCGACAAGCACCTTACCACGTGTATTGGGTTTTTCGAAGTGCTCGTAATCATCGCGCTTGACCACGGTGGTTTTGAACGACCAGTTACACTCGCTATCACGAAGTTGAATAGCATTTGAAGGGACTCTGATAGGCTCTAGATCCTTTGCGTTCTCAACACCTGCCTCAATGACGAGGATCTGAGCTGTGGGGTTCTCGGCGAGGCGACCTGCAACGACGTTGCCGGCTGTGCTCCCACCGACGACAATGAAGTCGAATCTGGCATTGTTCTGGATAGTCATATTGGAGGAGAAAAAATCCAACAAGGATTAAGAAATTGAAATGATTTGTATCGAACGAAAATTTGTACTGAGAAGAGGCGGGGACAGCGACTTCCATACGTCTTTCATAAGGCCGTGTCTAATTCTGGGATAAGGAGACCGGTTTACGAGCAATAGTTAATAAATGCATCCTCTCCCTGTCTCCTCATGTAATGAGGTCATAGAGTCTGTATATTTAACGTTTATGCGGTTCTATTGCTTTGCTTAATTGGAACGCAAAGAAAACCTATTAGATATTTATGGGATCATCCCACTATGTACGTCAATTTTATAGCCAGCGGCGTGAATGTAATCAAACCAAACAACAAACGTCCGACCGACTCGTGACGCGATTGACACAGGGGTGGTACAATGAATTTCCGCCACAACAATGAAAACAAACTGACTTTCAACGTAGCATGCGCATCGTTATGAGTATTGTGGGGTTACTGATAAGTTTTAGATACTTTTTTACTTTATGCTCCTCACATGACAACATGGCTCATTACTGAATGAAGCAAGTTTGATTGGCTGTCATCTGGTATCAGTTTGTTCTTATCGTTGAAAAGGGCTTTGCTTGATGTTTAAATTATCTATGCTTTAGGTGAAACGAAAAGTCTTTTTTCGTAATAAGAACTGTAAAATTTCAAATAGATTTATATTCAAAACCCAAAAACCCAGAAAGAGATGGCGATTTAAAAAACAAATTCGAAGCCGCGAGGCTCTTATGGGGCTGTGCCAGTGAATCGAACAATGGGGTTGCTCTGTGAAGGATATTCAATGACTTTCAGCCCGAGGCCATGGACCCTAGTCATAGCTTGCTGGAGACAAAGTAAGGGATATTCTTTGCCTCATAGAGATCCCTGTGGTCTGATTTGATGATGTCCGCGCCCTAGAAGATGAATTAGTTTCCTCGCATGATTGAGCAAAATTGATTTGATCACTCACCTTCTCGCCAATCATATATACGGAGTTCTGGATACGGCAGTCTGGAATCACCGGGATAACACAAGCATCCATAATGCGGAGATTGCGCACCCCATGTACTCGGAGCTTGGAGTCGACGACACCTTGATGGATGCTCTTGGACAGTCGCGCCGTACCACAGGGGTCTGTAAATTATGTTAGTGCTGTTGGCAGTCTTGATGCGGGTCGGTCTTACGGAATCCGGTCTGGCTTCGGTCCAAAACAGCCTTGTTCATATCATCGTCGGAATGGAGAGGCATCTTCCAAGGGTATTCCCCAACAACGATGTCCTTGAACCCAGCACCGTTGGTCAGAACATCGTATGTCCAGCGAACACCCTCGCGCATGGCCAGAATATCCAAATCGTTGGCAAAGAAGTTGAGATTGATGTTGGGCTGTACCAGGGCATTAGAACTGTTCAAGGTAACTTCACCCTCAGACAGGGGCCG